AACGCGCGGGACAAAGTTCGGACGACCTTATTTCTTCGGCCTTAATTCCCTGACGCGGGGAAGGGCGAGGGCCACCTCCTCCTCCTCCTCCTCCTCCTCCTCTCCGACGTCGCGTCGATTCTCGCGGCCCCGAGTGACGTCGCGGTCGCGAAAGGTGGGGCGAGACGGACGCTCGACGGTTGGACGACGTCGAACGACGTCGAACGACGTCGAACGACGAGACGGGGAGGTGGCAGATACGCGACCGCGTGGGTGCGGGGACAACGGACCGACGGTCGACGAGCGGACGAAACGGCCACACATGGACGTACATATCTTTCAAAAATGTATGTGAAAATATGTTTTTGTATGGACAAAAAATGTATACACGGAAATGGAAATTTCGGCCATAAAATATATTCGAGAATATATTTTGCCGAATAAATAGAAAGCACATATACCGAATATATTCTCGATTAGTCTCGCCGTTTAATCGATTAAAATACGTTATTAAAATTCCGCGGGATAAAATACATATATACTTTCTCGGATATATTTTGTTATATACCAAAAAATATTTTTTTCAAGTGTAATTTTCAAATATATTTATTTACGCGGGGAGATGGCGACTCCAAGAAGTCTACGAGACGTCTTGAAAAATTTGTCGCTCCAGATATTTAGCAAAGACTGCAAAAAAGTATCGATCAATTATTCCGTGCTCCTACGGGAAGGAGAGAGGAGATTATCTACGCGACCGATCGAGGATTCGGTCCCGGGGTACGTCGCGACGTCGACGCCGGATTCGCGGCCTCTCGCAATAACCCGTCGCCAAGTATAACCGACTAGACCGGCCCGTAGAGGCCACGTGCGCAGAAACGGATAACAAACGGCGCACTCGCGACCTATGCCAATCTCGAACTAAATATATCCGGCCAGTAATCGGACAGGACGCGGCCGGCCCCGGGATGCGCCTCACCTCGCCACGCGATCCGTCGGAACCGCCGCGGGAAAACGTCACCGGCATACGTCGGAGGGGATATTCGGCCCTGTCGACGCGACCGAGTCGACCGGGCTTGCGCCCGTTGGGACTTCGGCTTCGAGTAGACTCGAAGCTCGTTCGGTCGATCTTTCCTAGTTTCGTGAAGAAATCGTAGTCATTGTTGATAACCTTGGAGGGTACTCGTGACGCACGCGTCGCTGAGGTCGACACTCATGGACGCGTCGCGATCTTAAGCCGCTCGCGGACCGATCCCGACGCGTCTTCCCCTGCGTCGGCGGGAAATCCGCGACCGGGAGAGGGGTCGTCGAATTTTAGCATACGGATCGTCGGCTCAACTTCGGGGATTACTATTTACGGAATTCTCGTTGACTGGATCTCTTCGCCCGACCTCGGCCCTCCGGGGATCGACGGTAAAATGTCGACGTTAAACGTCGATTCGGATTTGGCCGACAAATAACGCCACCTGGAAGGAACGATCTCGGGGATCTGCCAACTCGCGTTTCGGGAAATTGAACCCTTTCGTCGATCTTCCTCCGTTTCCTCTTTCGAGCTCGAGCCCCGTCGCAAAAAGTGTCTCGCTGCCCTTCGACGATAGCTTTCGTTATCGGCAAAGATATCGTTAACGATCTTCTAACGTATGATTTCACCAACGACAGATGAAATTAATCGAGGAGCGTCCGCGAATAAATTTAGCGTGGAATTTCGCGTGGAATTACGCGCGTTGCGCGAAGCTGCCCGCCGTTACGGTTTTTCCTTGCGGATCGGGAGAATTCGCGAACGTCGAGCGACGCCTGGCGTCGACGGGGTCGACAAACGACGAAACGCCGATGTAGACTTCCGGTCGAAACGAAGAGGGAATCGATTCGCGGATTTTCGCGGCCGTCGAAATTGCCGGAGCGGAGCTCGGGTGTACTCGAGGCGGAAATTTCATTGGCTCGGCCTTCGCGGTGACGGCGCGAAGTGCGTCGCGAGTCGCGCCGTTTGTGCCCAGGTTTGCCAACTCACGGCGCTCGCAGTCAATGGAGAACGTGACTCCGACGATATCGACTGCGGCGCCACTCGAGAAGAAACGTTTCGGCTGTATTCGTAGCTGCTGGAACTCGATCGTTCGCGCCCTTACGAGAAACGGACGCGGCCAAAGGAATATGGATCGCGAAGACGGATCCGGAGGATCCGCGAGAAGGTTGGAAGAGGGAATTATTTTTAGGGCGAACCTCGAAACGAACGAGAGCGCCTCTTTCGTTCCTTTCGGGAACGGAACTCCGCCCGAGCCCGAGTGCATCGAATCGCATCTGCCCGGGAGATATCGCCTTATCCGAGAGATAGCCGAAGGAGTTTACGGTTTCAACGATAAAGAGCGGGAACCCTTCTAATTCGTTTTACGACGAAACTCGAGAAATCCCTATGAAGAGGGCGCCCGATTATTCCAGATCGCGCCCCGGGTAGCGAAGGCCCGGCAGCTGCGACTCCTCGAACGAGAGATGCACCCATCGATTTTCGGGTCGGACCTGCAGCTGCGGCCCACCGGGAAAACCGAGGCCGGATTCGATACAGGGATACGCCGGGTGGACGCGACGCGTGTACCGAGACCACGTACAAGAGTGCATGCCTGCCGGTGTGATTGACATTAGTAAGTATGCCATGGCCGACCGCTCGCAACGTGCCGGTACGACACCGATTGCACCGCTGCCTACACCGTCCATACCAACCGCGAGTCGCCGCGACGCCTCCCGGACCCGTCGACGGACCGTCGAAGGACCGTCGAAGGACCGTCGACGTCGAGAGTCCCCCCGCCGAAAGCTCGAGAGACCGTCGATCCGAGGAACTCGGCGACCGTGGACTCGATAGATAGTCGATCGCCGAACCGACTTCGGATAACGACGGCAGAGCCGTTTTTTTCGATCGATTCGAGAAGCGCGAACTCGGCCCGTTATGGAATCCCCTCGCTCGACGCTCGGGAGGAAGATCGACGACCGTCCCGTTACGTCGGATAAAAGGGAGTCGGCACAATTTCTCTCTCGATACCTTATTTAGGGTGATACAAAAGAGTCATTCTATGCATATAAAACGTCAAAATATTTATAAAACTGGATGCACCGAATCATTTCGAACTTCGGGGAGAAGACGATGCTCGCGAAATTTCATTTTTCAAAAAGAGACCCGTATTCTCGGTTCCAGTCTGGGATAAATACAAACATTTTTTTATTAAACATGATGTTTCCCCACGTGCTTCCTTAGGGTCTCCATAATCACGGGCGAAATATCAAACGATTCGATGCATCCGATTTGATCAATTTGGACCTTTTATACGTAGAATGACCCTTTCGTATCACCTTAAGGCGAGCGAGGATCGGTATCGCCGAAACGCGAGAGCGGTCGCCGCAGTTACGAGAAGGTTGACTTTTACTTTCGCCAGGAATTTGCCTCCTCGACGCCAGAGATCCCGGTCGAGATCCGGTTATTCCAAACTTTCATCGGTCCCCGGTTAAAAGCGAAACCCTGGAAGGCCCGGGGTCCGAGTCGGAGGGGATCAATCTTGACCCGGGAACGCTGAGCTTCCGCGAACGGGACCGAGGAACGGAAGCCGATGGATCGAAGCCCGAGGACGAGTCGGTTCCCCGTTTTTCTCCTGCCTGCATCCGATGCAGGGAACGCAAAGGGGCACGCAAAGGGGCACGCAAAGGGGCACGCAAAGGGGGACGCAACCAGGAAAGGAGTCGCTCGGGTCGACCTCCGATCCTCGCGGTGGCGTCCAAGGACGAGCGAGTCTCGTTGGCGAAACGCGGGCGACAACCGATCGGGGGCGAGCGAGACCACCGGATGGGGAAAGGGAGGCGGCGGAAAGAGAGAGAAAGAGTGAAAGTTCTGGCGAGTCGAGTTTTTGGCATTGGGCTTTGGGATTGGAGGGCCTCGGTTGATATCGAGGTCACCGGTACCACCACCTCTACCTCCGTGACTCGACGTTGACGGTACCGCCTGGACTCGCGAGTCCAAAAACTCCGAGCCGCCGAACCGTGCGCTTCGCCGCGGCCGGGACTCCTCTCCTCCTTCCTTCCTTCCTTCCTTCTTCCACCTCGCCCTCTCGTCGAACGAACCCGAAATCGAGGAATCGCGCGCGGTCGAAGCGGCAAGTGCAACTTCGAGGACGCGAAGTGGACGCGCGATTTCCCTGGATCGAAGGAAACGTCGCGATGACGTGCAGGAAGCGTGGATTCGCTGATCCTCCGGATTCCGGGGGACGGTCGAGGGCCTAAAGAGAGTCCAGGGAATCGTAAGAACGGGTCTCGCAACGAAAATCGGGACGAGGTACTTTATGGATTATGTGGATTTAAGAGAACGAGGTAACTCGGAGTGAAAATCACTCGTCCAAATTGACCCTGGCCTCGCCCTCGGGTCCGAGGTTACGGGATGTCGACCGAATCGCCGCGTCGTCGCCATTCGCGTGGCCGGTCATCGACGAGAACGAGAGAAGGACTCTTTATTATACCTGTGGCCCCTAAAGGCGCCTAGAGGTGTCCAATATCGTCCCACATGTCGAAAGGGATCCGTATTATCAAAGGGTTAACGGTGCCCGGTGATTCTCGTGGACGATTTCGATATCGTCCGGTTTCGCGTCCGACGACTCGAGTGCCCGGACGAATCGTTGAGAAACCGTTGGGTGTCCCCGGTCCGGGTAGCCCAACCCCGGACGCCCGGAAACGCGCCCTGGAGAGAAAAAGGGTCGAAATGACGCTTACGATTCGATGAATCCGAAAACTCGAAGTATCCGCAACCGAGCGTCGGACCCTCGCGGAGGAAGAAGAAAAGCGGACCGACGAGAGGGGAGACTCGCGAGTGAATCGCGATTCGTCGACGTCGAAACATAAGTGGAACTCCCGAGTGGAACCACAAAATTCAGATTCCTGGATTCGCCGAAGCAGTTAACGCTTGGCGAACGACGAGGATCTCGTAGCTATTCCCGGAAACGAAGATATCGTACGATTCGTGCCATGGAAGCTGCGGAATAAACTACCGACATACGATGTGCGCGAAGATGAGTGTACTGCGAGGTCGCCATTTAGGTACGATTTTCTTCAATCCTTTCGATCGTTGAGTCTCGTCTCCCTGAAAGGAGAAAGTTCTGGGCCCCAGGAGTACGTGAGAAAAGCGGGGAAAAAAGGAAAAGTCGCGAATAGGTATTACGATGTAATAACGAGGGAAAAGTACGGCACCGAATGCAAATCGGAGAAGTTGTCGTCGATGTTCGATCGAAAAGGAGGTGCTCGTTAGGCGCTAACCGTTAACTCGGGTCGACGAGAAGCTTTTAACGAACGGAATTTTTCGTTCGAACAAGATACCCTCGCGTATCCATTGATCTAGCCGAAAGCCAAGGAACGGCGTTACCAGGGACGCCTCGCCAAATTCGATCGTAAAGTTGCGAAATTGACGCGATATCGCAATTTACGAGCCCTCTCGAGACGACACCGATCTTCTCGCGGTTTCCCAAAGTTTTTCGTCCCCGTTTCCGTAGACGCTACCAGGGAGGAAACTGGAAATGCCTCGAGAAAGAAAAGTGGCTCGTGGCTCGAACGATCCGCGACTTAGAAATGATTTCCGCGAAGCGAGTCGAAGGAATCGGGGCCGCGCTCGAACGCCGAACGAGGACCGCGGACATCCGAGGTGGAGAAAACAAAGGGGCTCGGAGAAAAAGCCAACGTTTCCTGCATGCTGCCGTGAAAACGGAAACGCAATACCCTCCGGGACCTTTCCTCTTGCTTTTCATAATTAACCCGCGGACTTAATCGCTCCGTCGATTTACGCGTTTGCGTTTACCCAGCCCCAAGAAATGGACAAACGATGGCGCGCTCGATCGTTACCCTAAAACGCAACGAATCGCGAGATACCCTTAGCGGAGGCAAATACTCGGACTCCGACGAATTAGTTCCGGGAAAACGTTGACGTAAGCCTTTGAACGTAATTTGGGGGAAGCGGACGAAAGACGTCGAGTCGATCGCGAATCGAAACCCGGAAGGTTCGATCGAACGTAAGACGTTACGTAGAGTACCGGGCGCCACGTGGCCCGATCGGCCGGGAACGGCGCGGAAGAAATCCGGAGCGTTTCCCGCGTTCGCGTCCGTCTCGCCTCGTGACACAACGCGGCAAAGCTTGTCGTAGGAAAAGTAAGGTAAGGCCAGTGGTATAATAGAAACTTTCACCGGCGAGGTTCAACGTCCTCGAGTTCGCGGACTCTCACTCTCGGTCGACGCGACGGACGTAAGACGTCCCCCTCTTTCCTTTTCTTTTTCTTCTCGCTCTTTTTTCCCGACCACCGGAATCGCCGTTTCGCGGTGCGCGTTAATCGCGACCGGGAAAAGTCCTCCGGTTCGCGGAACCGGAAATTCTATCGAGACGAAGCTTGCCCGGTTTCGGCCATTTTTCCAACGATCCCGAAACAGTTCCTATTTCGAGGCGGACATCTTTCGATCGCTCTCCGTCGATTATTCCTCGATCCGCGGAACATCGAGGAGACGGGTCGGGTTTACGATTTTCATTTAGCGTTCCGTTAACAACTTCTAGAAAAGAATCGAACGAGGAACAAACTTTCTCTTTGCCTGTCCCGAACGATCTCCGAGAACGTGCGGGGTAAATGCGTTAAATTTGCTCTTTTAGGATTCGCCGAGATAATTTCGGAAACGGTCGGAGAAAAAAAATGTCATCGAACGTAAGAAATATGTCTTTGAACATCAATTCAAAGAATAATTATTTCACTCGAATAAACTCGAAATTTTGTCGGAACGATAACAATTTATTTGAATGAAATAATTATCGTTCGAATGGAGGAAGTATTTCATTGGTTCAACGAGATTTTTTTCTCGGCGTACAGCGCGTAACGTATCCCCCGGGTTTACCGTGTACCTCGGGTCCTCCCGGAAGTCCCCGTCGAGAGGTCCCCCAGGTGGAGAGCTCGGCCGGTCTCGATGAACGTTCCGAACCGGGCCCGTGGGAGGGTAGTTTAATCGCGAGTCACGGAGCGTCTCGCCGCGTCTCGCCGCGTCTCGCCGCGGCCGGAGAGGGGCCGAGAGTCGGCCATAGAAAGAGAAAGGCGCGGGAGAGAGGGCCGGACGGCCGAGAAGCGAGAGCGAGCGGGAAGCCTCGAGGAAGGCGGTCGCGGTGGTCTCGGGACGTCACGGCGTGGGAGAGTCACTTTCACCGTCCACCGTGGTCCTAGACCGTCCGTAACGGTAAATCGCGGACGGACGCTTCGGCGACGCGAGCCGATTTCACGCGGCGGAGCGACCGGAAACTTTTCCTTCCTCCGAATCCTCCGGATCCTCCGGATCCTCCGGATCCGCCGCTTCCCGTCGAGGCGCCGCGACGCTCCGACGCGTCACTCGGGGCGCGGGCCTCGGAACGACGACGTACCCCGAGAAAAAAATCTTATCGAACCGGAGAAATATTTTCCTCGTTCTAAGAATAATTATTTGATTCGAGTAAATTGGACGCAACGTTTCTTCGGAATTGCGACAATTTATGAAATATTTCTTCGGTTCGACGAGTTTTCCTTCTCGGGGTAGGAGGCGCGACGAGACGGAACTCTTCCTCGGGGCTGCGGACCACCGAGCCGTTCGCGAAAAGAGACGAAGCGGTCGGCGAGGAGGACCCGAAAATGGGATCGGTTTCGGCCGCGGCGTCCCGCGAGAGAGCACGAGGCCGCGGAGACGTAGGTTAGTGCATTGGCGGGGGCACGGCGAGCGATGGCGCGTGCATGCATTGGTTACGCAAGAACGGTGGCGTGTGTGAGACTGCTGACCCACATACGGCCAGGGAGCAAGGACCCCGCGCGCGCGCCACGGACGGGCATGCGCGCGCACGCCGCGACGACCGACTCGACTCCTTCCCGAGCGCGAGCCGCGAGCGAGGCCGCGAAGACGCCGCAAAGACGCCGCAAAGACGCCTTTGACCGGATCGCGAGGGGCCGGCGATGGGAATCGATATCGTTTCGAGTCGCGGGCATCGAATCGAAATACTTCCGGAAGCGCGAAGGTTCCCCGCGGGACGAATCGCGTATCGCAGTTTTCGAATTAATCGACTTACGGTGATACGAAAGGGTCATTCTTCGTATCGAAATATTTATAAATCTGGGGGCATCTAATCATCTGAAACTTCAGCGCGGGATTATGGAGGCACTAAGGGAGAACGTCCTACTCGTGAAATTTCAATTTTCAACAGAAATATGTATTCTTGGTTCTAGGGTGAGATAAATAAAAAAATTGTCATTAAAAATGAAATTCCACGAGCACCGCGTCCGCTCCTCCGTAATTTGCTCGTTCACCGAGCGCGCGCGTAATCGCGCCGTCACTTGCGACGAAGTAAATCACGCGATGAAATCACTTCGAACTCGTCGAGCCGATTCTCCGCTACCCTGGAGTCGAGAAGATCCGACTCGATACGATTTCGATCGAACGAGAGGCGACGAATTTCCTTTCCCTTATTCGAATTTATATTCGAACGAACGGGTCGGCGGATTCGTTCGAATTTAGATCCGAAGGTAGGTCGCGCTCGTCCGATCTTTGAGCGGATTCTGGATTCGAGGTCGAGGTCGAGGTCTCGAAGCGATACCGGCCAAATTGGAGTCGTAGGAAGGCGTCTAAATAGCGAGCAAGGGCGCCCGTTGCGCCAAGAAGATCGAAAACGTCCGCAACGTCGACGAAGCGCGATCGAATTCGAGCATTCGTTCCACTCCAAGTTTTCCGACGTCGCAGCGTATCGCGAATCGTAGAGTTTTCGTCGCGTCGACCGACAGCTGCGTCTTCTGGCTGCTCCCATTTTATGCGCGAGAACCGAGAACCGAGAATCGTGAGCGCCAGATATCATTTTGCAAGATGGTCTCGTAGAAAAGATCTTTGACTCCGTTCCACTGATCCCTGGGCGATTACTGGATACGAGGTCGAGGTCTCGAGACGACACCGGCCAAACCGAAGCCGTTACAAATGTATGCGCATCGTTCTAAATAAGCGACCAAGGGCGCCGATCCCACCGAGGCGATCGAATCCGAGCAAATATCGTTCCGTGCAGCGAGTAATTAAGCGATAGCGTCATCGTTTCGGTTCATCTTTCCTAGCTTCCTTCGCGAGTCGAAGCGAACGCTTGCCGATCGCGGGCGCGTACGATTAAAAAAGAAAAATGAGACGACGACGTAACGGCGATCCGAGGCATTCGAGGGGTCAATCGTTCGCGAAACTTTTCTTCGAATTGTAAATATAAACGCATTTTTAAAATGTCTATAAATAAATATTATTTAAATTGAAGTTTCACGGGGGTTAGGACTTTCCTTATACCCTCCGTAGTAACGTTGTAAAGTTTGAAGCGATTCGGTACCCTAGGTTCGGAGAAAAATGTGAAAAATAAGACCTGGACGCCCCTTTCCCGGCGCCTTAAACCGTAATCGTTTCCCCGCTGATTTCATTTTCCCTGAGGTATAATCGCAAAGGCTTTAATTACCGTTGTCGCAAGTCCCCTCGAATTTCGATCGCTCGTCTGCCTTTAGAAAGAAATGGCGAAAAAGACGCTTCGTCTTTCTTCCCTGCATCCTCGAGCCGAAGTCCCGCGTATTCGTTTACGCGAGATATCGCATGGAACGACGCAACAATTTGGACATTTTGCCAATGTCAGGGTAAAGAAACACTCGGCATCGATCCGGACCGTCTTTTGGAACACGGCGGAACGACGGCATCTTCCGGAGCGGTCCGAAAGGATAAGTTCTTCTGGCCGTAGCCTCCAAAGAGAATCTGCCGCGAGTCAATTGCTCCGGCAACCCCTTACCCCCTCGACGCTAATTATTCTCGGCTGGGGCCCGGTGAACCCCATAAAATGACTAGGCGTCCCCGATCCCCCGTTGCACCGTGCCCGGAACGTTACGACGTGCCGATCCAATTCCATCCATTGGCTAAACCGGGGTTAACAGCGGCTCTTTCGGAATCGGAAATCGAGCCATCGAGCGCGAGTATCGACGGGACCGGGATCCCGAAAATTCATCCCCTGGGAGTAACGGAGTGTCGTGGACCACTTGGAAATTCCTCGTCAACGAGTTGTCGCGATTCGAAACGGAGAAAGTGGGATCGAGGAATATCGAACGTGGAGTTTAGTCTCGTTTATCTGATTTCAGGAATTATGACCCTTACGAGCAGCCCGTGTGAGCTAGACAACATGAGCTTGTTTCAAGACCTCAAGTTAAAACGGAGAAAGGTCGACTCCCGATGTAGTAGCGACGGTAAGTTTAACTTTGTTCACTTTGCGATTCAAGAGCGGAGGAGCGAATCGAAGTCGCGGGTTCGCGGGAGCGAGAGAAAGCCGCTCCGGGATCGAAGCGGCGACGGATCTTGCCGAGCAGTTGATTTCGGATCGACCGGGACCGGGCGTCGAATGCGAGCCGAAGGCACTTTGTCCACGGGTCGGGAAACGTCGAAAGACCGATCCGATCGCCTTCCTTAACGCGACGGACGCGACGTCCGAGACGTCCGAGACGTCCGAGACGTCCGAAACGAACCGCTCGCAGTGACGTCGTCGGGGACGATCGTGTCCTTTGCTCCGGATCGCCGGCCTAACCGCGGTGGTCGCTCGGTTCGCAGGGGAAAGCGTGGCCGACACCTCGACCTCGTCGCCGGACAACATGCCGGGCTCGCCGGGCTGCCCCGTGGTCAAAGTGAAGAGCGAGTTCCCGCGGAGCAGTCCCAGTCCCGGGACGCTCCGGGAGCTGCGGGGCCAGGACGCGCGGGAGGCCGCCCTGGACCGGGCCTCCCCGGACTCGGTGTTCCCGGAGGTGGCGGTCGGCCGCAACCCCGAGGAGCGGCCCTGCACGCCGGCGCCGAGGGCGTCCCCGGCCTCCTCGCCCATGCGGACGCACGCGGCCGTCTCGACGACGCCGATGCCGCAGGAGGCGACGGCCGGGGAGCCCGGGAGCCCGGCCGACCGGGGCGGCTTCTCGGCGGCGCAGCCCAAGCAGGAGTCGGACAACTCGGTCTTCGACGGCGGGGGTCGGCCCGAGGCCCGGAACAGCCAGCAGCGCTTCGAGGCGGCCGGCCCCCCGCAGCCGCCGTCGACGCCCCGGCCCAGGGCGCCCTCGGTCCCGCCCCACCTCCTGGCCCACCACCAGTTCTGGGCCCAGGGCCCCGCCGTGCAGGGCTTCGCTACCCAGAGGCTGCTCAACGGCGTGATCGGCGGCGCCGTCAACTACGGGCAGAACGTCCTGGGGGTGTCCAGCGGCGGGTCCGTGGTCACGGGCACCGCCACCTGCAGCGTGGCCGGAACCGGAGCCGGAGCCGGAGCCGGAGCCGGAGCCGGAACTGGATGTAAGCCCTAGCCGCCCTCGTCGCCCTTGCCGCCCCCGCCCTCGGGCACGCACTAACGACCTCCGGTTGCAGGCGAGGGGATGAAGCCCCCGGCGCAGAGGCCCGCCCCGCCGCCGCCGCCGCCCCGGCCGCCGCCCTCCGTCATCATGGGCGAAGTCGGCGGCGTCCGGACGATGATCTGGTCCTCGCCGCCCCTGGACCCCGCGCCGCCGCCCGCGGCGTCCTGGCCCGCCACCGCCACCGCCGCCTCCTGCTCCTCCTCCTCCGAGGAGTCGGCCGCCCAGCTGCTGCTCAACCTGGGCCAGGAGTCCAGGGGCAAGGCCGGCTGCGCCCCCTATTCCGCCGGGCCGCCCCTCAACATGGAGAGGCTCTGGGCCGGCGACCTGACCCAGCTGCCCGCCGCCCAGCAGATGCAGGCCCTCAACCTGACGGCCGGCTCCAGCCAGCCCTGGGTCCGGAACGGCGGCGTCCTCAAGGCCGAGGCCCAGGGTCCCGGCTCCTCGCCGGCCGTCGCCCCGGCGCCCCCCGCCCCGCCCCTCCCGGCCCAGGAGCACGAGGAGGACGAGACTCCCATGATCTGCATGATCTGCGAGGACAAGGCCACCGGACTCCACTACGGCATCATCACCTGCGAGGGGTGAGTTTCGCGCCCCGTCCCCGAGGCTCCGTCGGCTGCCACAACCGTTCCCCCTCTCGTCTGTCCAGGTGCAAGGGCTTCTTCAAGAGAACTGTCCAGAACAGGCGGATTTACACCTGCGTCGCGGAGGGCGGATGCGAGATCACCAAGGCCCAGCGGAACAGGTGTCAGTACTGCCGGTTCAAGAAGTGCATCGAGCAGGGCATGGTCTTGCAGGCCGTCCGGGAGGACCGCATGCCCGGGGGCAGGAATTCCGGAGCCGTCTACAACCTCTACAAGGTGAGACCTCTCCCGGCGAGTCCGTCGACTCCGCGCGGAGTCTTTCGCGACGTCGCCGCGGCCGACGCGAGTCGGACGTGTCGGGGCCGCCGATCGAAACGCTCCGCGCGGAAGGCTCGTTGCAGGCAATGTCTACACCTGTCCCACGTTTCGATCAGGTCAAGTACAAGAAACACAAGAAGACGAACAAAACCGCGGGCATGGGGGGCGGGATGAGCGGCGGCGGCAGCAACGTCGGAGGGGTGAACGGCTCGGGCTCGCTGGGCGGCAGCAAGGGAACGGTCGCCTCGACGGTCCTGGACAAGCACATGGCGGCCGCGGTCGCCGTCCACCACGGCCAGCAGCAGCACGCCCAGCTCGCCGGGACCTTTCTTCCCCACAAGATTTCCGGCGACCCTCTCAACTCTCAGCCGACGCCCAGCCATCCCAACCACCCCGGCCACCCCGGCCACCCGGGCCATCCGGGCCACCCCGGCCACCCCGGCCACCCGGGCCACCCGGGCCACCTCGTCAACGGGACGATCCTCAAGACGGCTCTCACCAATCCCTCCGAAGTGAGTACGACCGGACGGAACGACGAATCGACTCCCGGGGCGGTTCGCTCGGTCGCGGCGCCTTGCGCAAGCTTCAAGGTTTCCCACGTTACGAAACCCGGCGTCGGCCTCGCTTCTCGACGCCTCCCGGGATGTCGACGTCTCCGGCGACCTCGGTGCTCGCGACCTGCAACGGGGCCAAGTATGCGCTCGTAAACGGCGCCGAAGGAGCGCCGGTCCTCCGAATCTCCGAGTCCTCGGGACGTTTCGATCTTCGCGAAGCTCGCGCGACTGGGTCGGGTCGGGTCGGGCAACGAAGGTCGCTTCTCCGAGGGGAGCGGGCCGGATAACGTCAAAGGTCACTCGAGAAACGGAAGGTGACGGACCCGGGGTCCACTTGCCGCGCGACGTCCGGCGTCCAGGTAAGAAACGAGGCGCGGACAATAGAAAATCAGCGACAACCTGTGCCAAGGACGGGCAGTTCTCGGGCCGTTTCGTAACTCGTGAAAGTCCGCGCGCAGGACACCGACCTCACCTCCTCCTTCTCGAGCGTCGGCTCGGAGAACGTCCTACCGCGCGGCGATCCGTGCGTGCGAGCCTTAACGCTTTCCCTACCTCCTCCCCTCCGGGGCCGACCTCGAGGCCCCGGCGAAAGGTCGCCGTCGTTCGCCAAGTCCAGGAAGTACGAATATCTCCCAGCCCTGCTGTCCTGGGCGAGAAGTCGAACGGGCTCGCTCTGGATGCCGTTCGCTCGAGGTTTCGCCGCCGCGACCGAGGAGTCGGGCTTTGGGTCAGGGACGACCGAACGTCCCGTTGTCGAGGACAAAGGAAAACCGGCTCGTCTCGAGGACGAAGACGCGGGATCGGAGCTCGAGTCCGAATCCACAGTCCCGGGGGGGGGGCGGGGAGAGATCGAAAAAGGAACCGACGAAGGGACGAGCGGCCCAGAAGTCGGGCGGAAGGAGGGTCCGCGGGCCGGGCTCGCCGACTTCCGTAATCGCTGGCTCTGCCGGGAAGCGAGTCCGTCGACTTCCTTGGTTCCTCGTAACGGCCCTCGGGGACGCGAAGCTCCGTCCTGCTCGAAATCGACTTCCCCCTGTCCGCGAAGCCGATCGCGGTCTTGTCGCCTGACCCGCGGGCCCGCGAAATGCCGACTCTGACGTCTCTCTTGATTTTAGGTGGTGCATTTACGACAGAGGCTAGACAACGCCGTGAGCAGCTCGAGGGATCGAGCTTTCCCTCTGGATGCCACGCTCGCGATGATTCAAACCCTCATAGAGTGCGACGAGTTTCAAGACATCGCGACGCTAAGGGTCGGTATCGTTGAACGCGCCTGGGCGCCGATTCATCCTCGATAGATTTAACGGTCCTCCGATGCGAGAATCGGTTCCTGAATAATTGCCTAGATATCGCGTCCCCCCTTAATGAAAAAAAATGAAACGAAGTCTTCTCTGTTTCCCGACCGCCCACCTACGACCTTTCGATGGCGTCGTAATTCACTCTCTAACGGCACCGTTTACAGAACTTGGACGAGCTGCTGGACCATAAATCGGACTTAAGTGAGAAGCTGTGTCAAATAGGGGACAGCATAGTGTACAAGTTGGTGCAGTGGACCAAAAGGTTACCGTTTTACCTTGAGCTGCCGGTGGAGGTTCACACGAGGCTGCTGACGCACAAGTGGCACGAGCTGCTGGTGCTGACCACCTCGGCCTACCAGGCGATGCATGGCCAGCACAAGGTTACCAATGCCGGCACCGACGGGACGGGTGCAGACTTCATGCAAGAGGTAATCGCCGATCGACTCGGACGAGCTCGAGTCTCGGGTCGGTTTCTTCGAGTTCCCCCTAAACGCGACGCGATTGCCGTTTCATTTTCTCGTTAAGAGTTTTCCGAGATGACTCGCGTTTTCCTCGAAAGAACCCGTGGGAAAATGCGACGACGCTAAAATCCTTCTTGTTCCGCGCGTAGGTGTCGAACAACATGTATACGTTGCAAACGTGCCTAACGAGCATGATGGGTCGACCGATAACTATGGACCAATTACGGCAAGACGTGGGGCTCATGGTGGAAAAAATCACGTACGTTACGCTCATGTTTAGGAGGGTGAAATTACGCATGGAGGAGTACGTTTGCCTGAAAGTGATCACCATGCTCTCGCAAGGTAAGCTCCCGACCTGGAGAATTCCGCTCCGATTGGAAAATCAAATCCCGCGGGACATATTGTCGATCGTCTTTCCTCGTTAGCCTTAAGATGTGCTCGTCGGCTATTAAAACGTGTTTTCTTGCATCGCTGCAACGTGGAGATGCGAAATGTAAGTGACCAAAAACGTTTCTCCATCCACTAATGTACAAAGACGAAGAATCCGTAAAGACGAGGGCGATCGGTTGACTTTAAATTCACCGATTGCTCTAGTTCTTTCCATTTTCAATTCCTCCCGAAGAGACGCAACTTCGGTAGGGCGTCATTTTATTCGATCGGTAGTTAAAGTAGAGGAAACCCATCCGCGTCGCGACGACCTCTAGAGACGTAATCGCTGGCAGAGAATTGGCCGTTCCTACATTGTTCGTTTCCTTTTTTCCCCTCTATTCTAGCTCGAGGAGACACGTTGGAATTGGAGCAAATACAGGAGCGGTACATGAGCTGTCTACGAAGTTTCGTCGAACATAGCGCTCCACAGCAGCCTGGTCGATTTCACGATCTCCTCGTCAGGTTACCCGAAGTAAGTTGCCGGGCACCCGACCGAATCCGCGCCAATGCGAAATCTCGTTAAACGGCGTTTCAAGCGACGCGGAGACCGGTGAAACGTCTCGATTCGCGTAACGGATATTTAACGTTCATGGCGATCGAGTCCAAGACGTACGTCGGTTTGCCCGGTGTTAGGTGTCGCGTCGTCTCGTATCAAAAGGGGAACCGTGCACTTGGCCGCATAGCTTACCGTAAAGACCCCTGGCCAAAATATCGACTATCCTCGTTTCCTTCGCGTTTCTCGCGAAGATCTCGATTCGTACCTTCTAACGGCCGATTTCCTGACTTGCAGGTTCAATCAGCGGCAGCCCTGCTTCTCGAGAGTAAAATGTTCTACGTTCCTTTTCTACTGAACTCAGCGATTCAAAGATAGTGAATAAACAAACGAGGTAAAAAGACTATTAACGAAGCGGATCGCCTCTATACTTACGAACTCGAACAAAAGGATTCGACGGAAAAGAAAGAGACAATGAACACGGAAAAGAAGCTTTGTTTGTGTATGTATAATAACTATAGTATAATATAAATGTGTGCGTGTTCGTTGCGTCGTACAAAGAAACGGGGAGGCGAGACCAGGCCCGACGAAGGAGCGACAGAGAGAGAAAGGGGAAGAGAGGAAACCGAAGAAATCGACGAAGAGGGCGAGCACCGAGAGGAGAGGAAAGAGAGAGGAACCTTGAGAGGACACATTGAGTAAAGTAGAGAGACGCAAAGAAAAGGAAGAAAGAAGGAGTAATCAAGAACTGATCTTTTTTATGGAAACTCAAAGACTATATTTCTGTACGCAGTCGCGTCATTGCGCGTTCACGTTGCATAATCCGATCGATAATAAGACTCTCGTACGTACGCTCGCCGTAGGCCACGGCTCCCTCGAGGACGACGCTCGGCGTCCTCCCCGACGCGACGACGGCGTCGTCCGTTTACCGCTGCATTTCTCTGGGTCGACCCTCTCGTTCGCCGTTGTCGTGCGCCGGCATCGCTGCCGGCATCGCTGCCGGACGCTGTCGGACGCTGCCGGACGCTGCCGGACGCTGCCGGACGCTGCCGCATCACTGTCGACACCGAGCGGAGTATTTTCTTACCGTTAGCCTTTTTCGTCGACGAGGCCGCCGACGGGGCCACCGACGGCGCCAACGGTTGTAAGGATCGGTTACCGAAGCGGCGATCGCCCCCGTCGTGTCGATTCCCCTCGCGCGCGTCGGCGGGACGGAACCGCGGACGACGCGCGGCGTGGATCGCGGTCGGGCGGGGCGCCGCAAACTTAGTATTCGCCGTTACCCTTCTTTTAGCGATATTAGGCTTACGAGTCACGTCCCCGGTTCCTCCTCCTAGTTCCGTTGTATTTCGTTCCCGCGAAGCGACCGAGACCCCCGCCAATCGTAACGAATTCGCGTTTCTTTCGTCGCGACCGCATTTTCATTTCGGACCCGGCCTCGAACGACCTCGCGCGTCGCTATTTTGCCGCGTTGCAATCCCCGGTTCCGATTTCGCATTTTCCAAACTATCGTCGTCGAGACGGAACGCGACCGTTCCTCTTTCGCGCGCGATTCGACCGACGAATTCAAGGATTTCGAACGAGGATACGATCGACGGGTCTTCGGGCAGTTTGGGGGTGCCACTTTCTTTCCTCGTAACGAATCCACGCGCTCTATCCGCACCTCGAAAGATCGGTTACTTATTTTTTTTTTTTCTGCCAAAGTAACGTTACGATCGATCGCGATAGTATTACGACGGACAAAACAAGACTTTCCTCCGAGACCGAGATGATTTCGTAGCGTTTTCGACTTTCCGTTTCCTCGTTCCGGGACCGTGGCGAGATTGGAACGAATTTTGCCCTCCTGAAAGTTACCGACGTTCCCCAAAATCCCGCGTGGTCGCCTCGAGGTGACGAATCGACTCAATTGTTATCACGTAATTACTCGTGGTACGAGGCGGTTAAACAACGAGTACCGGTGGCTGACCCTAGTTAACGTCGCGTGCATACGTTCGGAAGTCGCTTCTTCGCGTATACACTTGTATATACGTTTACACGCGGAAAAAAACACTCATATACATTACAGGGAAACACCTATGCGTTACGATTTCGTGCACGTTCCCTCTGCGCGATTTCTCGATCGTTTCATCTTGCCTCCATAGGAATTATCGTAACACGCGGAGCGGCGTGTTCGCGATTCCGAGCACGATGGACGACCTCGATCTCCTCGATCTCTCGCACCTTCCATCCTCCGCCGTCGCGAGCCAACGTTCAAAATTAACGAGCATCACCGTCGGTATCTTCGACGCTTTTTTCGAATACCTCCGACCGCGGATCTTCACGGTGCGACGAGCGAACTCGGGAAGAGGAAAGGAGCCCGCGGGATCGGGGGGAAATTCTCTTGAAAATCGGTGAAAAACATTTCCTTCTTTGAAAGCCGATTTCGTATGACAGACAACGATGCGATTCGGTAACAGGTGACGTTCGGCCTTCAAATTTTCACAATGCTTGGTGATTTCCAATCATTTCTGCTTGCGATTTCCAGCTGATTTCCATGTGATAGGAAAGAGTCATTCCATACATGTAATAAAACATGAAAATACTTGTAAAATTTTCCCCAAACTGGGGCCACTGAATCATTTGGAACTTCGGCACGTGATTATGGACGCCCTCGGGAAGAACGCGATGCTCGTGAACTTGATTAAAAAAAAAAAAAAAGAAGAAGAAGAAACATGTGCCTGATTGTAGTCTGGGATAAATAAACAATGTTTTTATTAATGAAATTTCACGAGCATCGCGTGCTTTCTTAGGGCCGCCATAATCGCGTGCCGAAGTTTCAAATTATTTGGTGCACCCAGTTTAGAGAAAAATTTGACAAACATGTTGACAATTTGATATGTATATATAGAATGATCCTTTCATATTATCTTCAAATCCATGATTTCTGAGGAAATACCCCCTGGCGCGGGATAATTTGTTACTTGTTTTTAAGCGGATGCAAAAGTCGCATCCGAAAGGTCAATTGTTCGTGAAACATTTATTGGGGGTACCGAATCGTTTGAAACCTTACAACGTGAACATGGAGGCTATAAGCAAGGTCTTGATCCTCGTGAAATTTCATTTTTTATTAATAAATATTAAGTCTGAAAACAAATTTTAAAAAAAATTGAAATTTGACGGGGATCAGGAGCTTCCTTGTAGCTTCCGTATTCACATCGTCGAGTTTGAAACGATTCGGTGCATCCAGTTCGTAGAAAAGTTTAACGAACGATTGAGCTTTCGGATGCCACTTCCACATCCCCTTAACGCGAGATCCATGGAACGATCGACATCGAATTCGGGGCGAGAGCGACACCGGACGGGAGAGTCGAGATCGCCGTACCGTGTGCCTGTCCATCGAGCTCGAGCTCGCGAGCACTCGTCCAAAGAATCGACGCGAACTACCCGGACCTTGGGCCTAATAGCCTAGGGATACTTGTCCATACTATAAGACTTAACTACCGATGGATACTTTATACGATAAAAAGAAAACTTGTATATTATTTGAGAATGCGTAAATGCGACGATGTAAGAGTTTCTGTATTCCCCGATATCGCCGTACCTTCGTGTTCAACCGGCGACCTCGCCGGGCCGGTCGAGACTCGACTTTAAAGACTCGAAAGGAAGAAAACGAGACAAAAGTAATAAGGCGCCGCGCTTAACGCGGCGAGACACACGGAAATCAGGGACGAACTTCTCGACTTACGGAACTTGAAATCGCGACGAGTCGACGCGAGATGGATCTCCTCCCATCCTTCGAGGGACTTGGCTCTCGCTTCGAATCCGACCCCTTGCCTCGACTTTCTTCCTTCCTTCCCTTCTCCCGTCCTCGACTGGATTTCGGATTTCCGATCCTTCTTTCCCCGATCGACGTCCGAAGACGGTATCCCTTCTCTCCTCCTCTCCTCGCGGACCGTTTAGGGGAATCGACGTCTCCATAAGATTGTACATAAAGTGAAAATGAACGATAAAGTGCCGGGACTATCGGTCTTCTAAGTATGTATATAGAATACGTATGCTTATACATATAAATACAATATATATATACATAAAATGTACATTGATGTCGAGGGAGTACAGCAGCCTCTTACAGGAAGGCAAAAGCGTTGGAACAGCAAGACTTAGGGCATTATAATATTACCGCGAGTATTATCATGCCCAACCTTTAATATTTAAGTGCGAGTGAGAGAGTTTACGAGATATAAATGCCTCTCGTTTGTGGGTTCAACTTTGTACATATTGTACGAAAATTTAATAATATAAACTATGTTGAAAGTACTAGTCTGTCTTTATGCTTCCGCAAAACCTGTTCTGTGTCCGAGTCAGGGGATTGTACGGGATTGTACGGATTGTACGGGATTGTACGCGGGCCCGATTTCTTCATTTACGCGATTTCGCGCAGTTCGGTGCTCCTTTTTCCTAGCCGATAACGTCGACTTCCGCGAACGGACTCGATACGTTTCATCGAATCATCGGCAAATGAGCCGCCACTCGTACTTTCGTAATCCTTCCTTCCCCCTTACCGACCGGACACGCCGGAAGTAGAATCGACCCACGGGCAATTCCCTGACACCAGAATGAAAACGCATCGTTGACCCAAAAACGACAGGCACGAACGAATGCCGCGCTGGCAATACATTTTCCATGAGTGAGTCAAAGTTACCAATTTTTATCTACGTTTAGAAAGCATACCTGTTATTATGGTTTACCCTCGACTATTGATTTTGTAATTGAGATTGGACACTACAGCGGCTGCTCTGCCTTGTGCCGCGTCGATGCCCCGAGCGAACCAAACCGAAGGATTTCGTTACGTCTTTTGGCATCCTGTCCGCTTGCTCGAAAATCGCAAATTTCGTTGAGCCGTAATTAAACGTTTGCCTTGTACTTGCACGGGAAAGTACCCGCTTTCTTCGGTCTTCGCGGACAACCCTGGTAGCACGGAATAATCTCTATAAACAGGGGTCCTTCAATTTACGCGGAGTATCCGTTCCACGTGGATTCGTTTTACGCGAATGAAAATCGCGTAAATAAAATCTGTCGGGAAAGAAGAAAAAAATAGAAAAATAAAAGCTAGTATTCCAAATAGCTTGACAAAAAAAATATTTAAAATAAACAACCGCGGATTGATTTTAAATATTTTTAAAACGTTTATAATATATTTGGCGGATAATATTTGAAAAAAGCTTATATTAAAAAGAAACGAAACGTTTTGTATTTCTATAAGAAAAATATTACGAAAACACGTGGAGCTAACGTTATATAATAATGGTAAATATTTACAAAATGTACGACATACGTTCGATATATATAAAATATAAGACAAAGATTTTGTGCTACTAGGGAGTGTGCTCCCTGCTTTGGGCCGATATGTCGAATCGAACAACGCAGCTCGAAAAATGCCGATTGTCTGGGACGATATTTTTTCGTTCGCTGTTTATCGCCTCTTTTAATAACATGCCACGAGAAAAAAAAAGAGTCCAAGTACATAAAAATCGAGGAAGAAAATTGTCGCGGCAAGGTCTAATCAAATTTCTTTGAAACGTCGCTCGGTTTCAATGATTCCAATGAAAAAACCGGAACGATTTAACGTTCCCACTTGAAAACGACGCATCCCTCTTTACTTTGACAATCGAATAATCGGGCAGACGGACGACTCCTTTGTTCGCGAATACTTGCGCGCCGTTAAAAGAAACAATTCATACGTACATTTACATACATTTTAAAAATACAGCAACGAAACATTCACTTCGCGTGGACCAAAGTCTCCAAGATGTGTTATCGGTCGAATTTGCCCGGCAAATCTCGGGAAATTCTTTTTAAATATTCATCATTTTTAATTCGAGGATGCCGACCCTGCAAAGCAGTATTAACGCCGTTACTTTTACGTCTACCAACGACGGTACAATTTGGACGAGAAGAGCGAAAATAAATTCCTATATCAAATGTACATATTAAAAGGAACGTTGACGCGTCCGGGCGTCATTTTGTAGGTAACGCGCGATTTAAACGTTAATCGATTAATTAACCAACGCGATGGTCGACAACGGTACCTGGTATATGGGAGTGCTGACAAAAATATCGTACTTCGATTAAACATTCGATTACCGCGGGCATCGAGCGGCGGCAAGGAAGACGGCATTTCGAAAGTGGTGTGTAAACCCTCTGTATTTTTATGAATAAATAAGATATTTTAAAAAGTAAATCTGAAGTCTGTTTGGAGATGCCTTTCATAGGGATTATAAATGTAGATAATATATTATACATAATGAATATAAATGCACTATATTATTATACATATAATTAGTGAGGAGTAAATAGAATTTTATATATATGACGTTTTATATATATACATATATATATATATGTGCATATATACAAAACGAAAATAATATTACTAGGAGTAAATAAAGTAATTAATGATTATTACACATCCCGATTGATTTACCTCAAATCTGCCCTCCTTCCTTTAGCGTACCAAGGTTAGAAAGGAAAGTCTTCTTCGGGGCCAGAGGATTCTCGAGTTCCTACGATCAACTTTCACGAGCGAAATTATCGCTTTCGTATACTACTTTAAAATATTGACCAATGACGCGACATCGCAACGATGCAACATTTTTCATGCGAATCTATTCGTATGAGAAATAATCCGTATGAACTCGAGGTTCAGGTCCGGACCTCGGTCCACGGATGGATCGGACAATCGGGTGATCGACAAGCGGAAAGATTCCCCTTGAAAGCGGTAAGGGCGCATTTTCATATTCCTTTATTTCGCGGTCATACCTAATTTTAATTTGTCGACGTCTCGTAAATGTGGCAGATCCGACGCATGGAAGAACGGCTATGGGATCCCATAAGTTCTCAAGTATGTAAAATTATGATTTGACAGTTATTTTCAGGTTCCCGTGAATTGAGATAAAATGAATGAGATTCGTACCCCGAGAAAAAAAATGTCATCGACCCGAGGAAATACTTTGTTAATTCAAAGAATAATTATTTGACTCGAATGGACTCGAATAAATTGGACAATTAATTTTAGTGAGAGATAACGAAATATTTCTTTGGTAGCATTCGAAGAGACGTTTCTTCGGTTCGACGAATTCCTTTTCTCAGGGCGAGTCAAAGAACGACTCGTCAGTTGAAACGGTAATCGCATTCTCGCGGACGTACCGGGATGGGATTCCAAGGCATCGTCGGAAGCTGCAGCGACGATCGATTGCAAAAATTGTGCTTTATTATTTATTTAAACATTGTACAAATACGACAAGCCCCACCAGATATTCATAAGAAATGTACTAGGGGTCATTTCTTCTAACGAGAATCGCGATCCGTTCCTCGAAGAAATCGGACCAAGACGGTACTCGTGCTCGCCATTGCGCGACATGCTTCAACGGACACGTGGACACTCAAATCTTATTTTTTTCTTTACGTACTTTTATTACAGTCATTTTCATTACGTTAACATAACAAAGTTGTATACTTTCAAGGTACAGGATGATCGATTACAATGGGGTCTATCGGTGAGATCTTCGTTAAGGATTATGCTTAGCGATCGGACTCCGGCACGAGAAGCATCGAACGCGTCCTGCCAGATCGATAGTTTTCTAGTTTCGAGTCCTTTCATCGTGGAAAGACAACGAGTGCTTGGACACCTCGATAAGGCTAAAGCGATCACAGAAACAGGCTTTCGGATGCGAAATGTGCGAACACCTCGGCACACGTAACGATTAACGCTTCATCTCGGGTAACGAGATGTTTCCTGTATGCCGAAAAATTTGCAGACAACGAAGATCTTGCGCGAGCCTGAATCGAACGAGATCCTGAATCTTTTGAGGGCGATTAAAGTCGATACCGACAGTTTCGACACGTTGCCCGGAAATGAATTAGGCGCCAAAGTTATCGCGGGCCCGAAAATAATTGACAGTAGAGGTAATACCGATCGATTCGATTGAACGCAATTCACGTCCGGGGGCGAGGGACGATTTGGTAGGGGCTACGTTTATTCGATCGGTCGCGGGATAAAGATCTACGTTGCAGAATTTATCGCGGTCCTGCTCGTTAACCAAAGGTTTACGCCCCACCGAGGCATTCCCACGATCGCTTCCGTTACATCCTCCTTGAGCGGATGGCATCGAACGAGAGGTGAGTTTGTACAACGGACTCCGTTCAGGCTCGGAACAAGAGAGCGAAATCGACGTCAATTCAAAATCGAGCGTATCGCGGCAGGGATTCGATAATTCTACTTCGAACCGATTACAAAGAGACATCCATTCGGTAAATCTTCGATGCAACGATGGTACTTAGACGATAGCGATACCTGTCAGGGCGGAAATCGACTCTCTCGGCTTCGTTTCGTTTGGATCGATCTACCGTTTCGGACGAATGCTCCACTCGAAGCATATGCAAAATTTCGATATTAAACACAAACGTAACGTCATTTTTTCCCTTCCAATGACGTTGAATACTCGTAGAAAAGAAATTGCGCTCTCCATCTTTGCCGCGCTCGTTTGTTGGCGTCCGGGAATTAGCCGGACGTAATGAAAATAAAATCATTAAAGTACCCTGCGGCTTTCTTTGCACCGTCCACCGTTTCTCCCTGAAGATGCCGTATTTGGATTAAAAATGAACATGACTAGAAAGCGATGCATTCGAATGGATCAAATGACATTTCGGGTAGATTTTGGGCAGATTCCCGCAGAGAACGAAGGAGGCCGAGACCGAGCCCGAGGAGGATCGTAGCAAACTCCGGAGAATATCCTCTCGCGACTCTATATCGCGTACGTCGCGCAACGGGAAATAGAACGCGTTCGATTTGACAACCAGCGTCAACGTCGATCCATCCGCTGTCGGTCTGTGATCGGGCATCGCGAACTGGCGAATCGACAGCGTCAGAATTCAGGTTTGTTAACGACAACGACCGATGCGCTTCGTCGTTTACGTATTGTTAGCGTATCGTTACGTTACGTTACGTTACGTTACGCGAAGGTCATTAATTTAGAGGCACGTTGCTAAGGGTTTCGGTTTTACAAAGTTGCTCCCTACGTTAAGAAACTTATCACGAGCCCGTCTACCAATGGCACGAGGAAGGGCATAAGAGGAAAATTCAGCAAAGGACGTGGCAATCTTTCGTCGTCCTATCCTAATCCCATCGGAATCCTCGTTGCGATTCCCGGCCCGTTCGATAGTGCCTCGGTATAGGCACGATTTGCGATTCGCGTTTACGATGCACGGCCAAGTGTTAACGAAGGAAAGAAATGTGCAAACACCGCTCTCGTGTCGTTTCTAACCGAGATATATAAATTACAAAATATGTAATATTTAAAGGGAAAATTGCATACAGCTACGGAATATTTGTACCATGATACTCGAGGGGTGTACCATTAAGGATATCTCCCTCTCGACCTTTCGACGGAAAGACAGAAACCAGAAAGTCATCGAAAAGAAAAAAAGAAAAAAACTACGGACGTACAGTTAACTAAACAACGAAAAGAAAAACCATCCAGCCTGTCCGGAAGACCTCGAAGGTGTAGACGCTCGTGCCCCGGGGTAAACCTGAATTCCAAGCACAGCGACTGTAATAACGAAGAAGCATTCACGATTCTCAGAGCCTCCTTACCGACGGAATGTTTATATGTCTCGTATTAATCTCCTTTCGCGTCACTTAACGGGCAGCCCCTCGTGTCTATAAATTATTTAGAAATCCTTGGCTTACCGCACGATATGTCCGCGTTGTTGCTCCGAGGTGTGAACGTTCTCTCCTCGAGAACGTTCACCCAAGATGACAAAAGTATTTATTTAGACCAAATATTTGCGTCAACGCAAACATTTTCAAGTCGGAGAGGTCAGGCTGATTTGATAACAAATGCGTACCCTTGCAACAAAGTCACTTCCCGGCTTATAAAAATTCATAAAATCCTTGTAAAGTCTTCCATTTCTCCATATAATCTCGTTCCAACCATGACCGATTCTTCGCTTCTTGTAATGTTATGCGTATTAAAACGAAAGAAATATCTTCGGAAATGAAATCGACGATTCGGAATGGCGCATTCTGCGATGCCCGATTTGAAAATTCCGCGTGCTCGCACGTTATCAGCCGGATCCACTAACGAAGTAGTTACGTGACTCCGTAAGGCCTAAACCATTACATCCTTCCTCTGCATCCACGAACAGATGGAGCACAAAGTTGGATCACAAGAAATACGGAGTGGTGATTAAAGGTGGAATCACTCTCTCTGAATCTGGCACTGCATGGAATAAAACTGGATTCCTCTGATCTACAGTTGTGAACTGTAAGATACTGGCTACGTTCCCGCACCGATAACAATAATTTGGTGCGGACCACACTGTTACCAGTTTCTCGTCAAACATGTACCTATAACCTAATTAAACAAAAGAATAACATTTTTTTAATACTTTGATAAAGTGAAAAGAGAGATTAGCCTTAGATCGTGTTGCGTATGAAAGAAACACACCTTCGTGAACTAGTTGGTGAGCTCTACAAATTAATTGAAGGGCATTAATTTCCATAAATTTATGAGTTATTTTACATCCAAATAGCCAGCCTGCACCTCGTGGACTCAATGTCCATGATTCGACGTCCTCTGGATCGGACCAAACCAAATCACAGAACGCACCTGTAGAAATGTTGAAGTCAAAACAATATTATCGTGATTCTACGGCTGATGTAATAAAATGTGTCGGGTGTAAACGTAATTGTTAGTTAATTGGGCTACGTGTTGGTCGTTGAATATCCATTCCGTTATGTTCACATTTTTATAAAAAACTCAACTTTTAATGTACTAATGAATAGGAAAGCTACCAAACCTTTATGGGGAATTTCTTGATTTCTTTCAATTGTCCTAATTTGATCCAAAGTTTTAATGGCGGGTGATAAACCACCATGTACGCAAAGCACTTGTTCGTCGATCAACTAGAATATCAATTCATCGACATCGATATAATAAAGCATATTTATTGTATTTAATATGGATACTCTTGACGATCGAGCAAATCCTTACCGCTGCAACTGTGAGCAGATCAAATACCCTACAGCAGTACTTCCAAGCATTTGCATTTCCATATTTATTTTGGCATTCATCTGTTAAATTGAAAACTTAATGTTATATCATTGCTATGTTCTAAACTGTTTCCAATTTCACCAAGCGGATTCAAAACACGTTGGAACTAAAGATACTTTTAACGATCGGTTTGGTAATTTTAACTTTGCTTTACAATTAACCTTCAATTTCTTAACATCCCCGATCACAAATGCAACCTTGCTGCCAGGAAGTAGCTATGCATCGCAGTAACAGATGCAACGTTCGATACACCGAGTGACATTATATTAAGCAAGATAACTCGGGTAAAACAATTACAATTGGAAAGCAAGTTGAAAACATTTAGGGTTGCGTCAGTAACTTAATTATACTCACCATAAAATCCATAAACATGAGTGATTTGTCTCGATTCATGGTTTCCACGGAGCAGAGTTATGCTATCCGACCACTTAGCTTTGAGGGTTAACAAACGAGTAAATGTTTCTAAGCTATAATAACCTCTATCCACAAAATCTCCCAGAAATATGTAATTTGTATCGGGCACTGGACCACCGTTGCGAAACAACTCTTCCAGATCATAAAACTAAAATCGTAAGATAGTCGCGTTGTAAGGAAATTACATAAAAACTGACAGATCCTTTCATTACTTGAATTTGTTACACATTTTCGTCAAGTATCGTTAAAAAGTATTTGAGGTTAAGGTTATAACCATATACTTACTTGACCATGGATATCACCGCATACGGTTACCGGAGTCGATACCGGCTGAATATTAGATTCTTCCAGCAAAAGATCACATACGATGTCACAAAGATTCTATAAAAAAAATGGTAAAACTAACATTTTACACATCGACACGTATAACCTAAAACAGCTGACGAGGCTACCAAATAAACTGAATAAAACATCTGTAATTAAAAAAAATTCAGGATTGAACGTTTAATTCCACGAAAATTATATACCTTAAGATCATTTTCTGGCAGATATTTGCACTCTTTTGCAATTTCAATCCACCTATCCACGTCTGACATTTTGGATTCGTAACGTCGGAAACTACAGATAGCGCCCCCTTACTAAATAGAATACGTATTTATGTTAATATAAACGGATTCTCATATATAAGCGAGTGAATTTATCCAGTACGGTAATTGGTGGAAAAAGAAAAGCCACTCTGTCGGTCGAAACATTCGTTTACAGAAACCGTAATTCGCAGAGCCTGCTCACTCCCACCGAATCTCGGGAATTTTCATTCCCCCCCACTTTATAACTTTGGAGCAAGCCACGGGATGCACAGCTGACAGTTCAGCACAAATGCTGGCCCGAGCACGCCTGTAAACAAATCTCAACTATATGCAGAGATGAGTTGGGAGATTGCTCACGGGCAGGGTCGCGCGATCGCATCGTGTGCTGCCCTCTGGTTTCGTACGTTAGCTTTCACCGTTTTTTGCTCCCAAGCGCGGCGCAACGAATTTCTGGTAGGGGCTCGCGCACTCGCGATGGCTGTGCCATCTACCAGTTGCCGTTGGCGGCTCACGTATTCGTGATGGTAATACCATGCGGCAGTTGACGGTGGTGGCTTACCATTATGGCAATCTCCCAACTCATCACTGCTATATGGCTGAAGGGGGGCAAGTGCGCGAGCCGTCCGTGTTCTCCGCCGAGGACAGCACAGAACGTGATCGCGCGACCCTGCCCGTGAGCAATCTCTCAACTCATCTCTGGTAGCAGCTGGTAGCACTTGGGCAACACGGTCGACGGTCTGATACCATCGGTTTGTTCACGGGTCACGCAGGCAGCGCCACCCGCCATATGATACTCCGCGAAAGAGCCAATGAACAACAACCACGATATACCCCGGGAGTTGTGGAACGTCTGCTAGAATGGCAGCGATTCGCTTTCTTCAAATATTATTAATTAATTTAACAATATGTTTTCTTTTGTCCGTAGCAGGGTACGTATGTAAAATTATTATCTGGACGTATAGATAAATTAGTAAAAACTACATATTATATACAACTTTCAAACCTCAAATTTATATTTAGTTTTCTCGTTTACACCTAATATATTATATTTCTTCTATCCTGATATTTTCTAGAAATTTAAATATTCCTAATTTACGAGTAAATATTTATTTGTACTATATTAACGTTTGTAACGTGATTGCTACTTAAATGTGGCCATTTGTACCTCGTCTTATCTTATGCTTACTTTTAATGTTTCATAGGAGGGATTTTTATTCAATCTTGGGATTATCGAGGACTGCGAGTACGCATGCTATAAAGAAAGCTTATAGGAAGTTAGCAAAAGAACTACATCCTGATAAAAACCAAAATGATCCAAGTGCTTCCGAAAAGTTTCAAGACCTGGGGATGGCATACGAAGTACTCTCGGATCCTGAGAAAAGAGAAATATACGACAGATGCGGAGAGGAATGCTTAAAGAAAGATGAGATGATGAACAGCGCCGATCCCTTCGCTAACTTTTTCGGTGACTTTAGTTTTCAGTTTGGAGGAGAGTCTCAACACAGACACGAAACTCCGAGAGGATCTAACATAGTTATGGACCTTTCTGTAACTCTTGAAGAACTTTATAGCGGTAATTTTATAGAGGTACACTTTGGGTTTGTTTTTTACGCTTTGTTATTAAACCATAAAACGTGTCCGGTTCGACACAGTTGTTAATTACATTATTATGCAATCTGGCAGATAACTAGGAATAAGCCAGTTGTGAAAGCAGCAAAGGGAACGAGAAAGTGTAATTGCAGGCAGGAATTAGTTACACGAAATTTAGGCAATGGACGATTTCAAATGATGCAACAAACGGTTTGCTCCGAATGCCCAAACGTGAAGTTAATCAACGAAGAACGTACATTGGAAGTAGAAGTTGAACCAGGAATGGTGGATGGCCAAGAAATTAAGTTCTCATCGGAAGGTGAACCTCATTTGGATGGAGAACCAGGAGATCTAATATTAAAGTAGGTTTGTGAAAACGGAAAATCGTTAAATTAAATTTTTTCCAATTATCGATATAAATAATTTATAGGATTCGTGCGCAGCCTCACCCCACATTTGAGAGAGTGGGGGATGATCTTTACACAAACATTACAATTTCATTACAAGATGCTTTAATTGGATTCACATTGGATATCAAACACTTGGATGGACACACCGTTACCGTTCAAAGGGAAAAGGTCACCAGGCCTGGTGCTCGTATAAGAAAAAAGGGTGAAGGCATGCCCAATTATGAAAATAATAATCTTCATGGTACTTTGTATATTACATTTGACATAGCCTTTCCTGAAAAAGAATTCACAGAAACAGAGAAACAAGGTAATTCTATAGAGATTGAATATTAAGGTACATTCATCTATTTCATTCTCATAAAATCTTTGAATTGCAAATCCTAAGGTAATAACGCGATTTCATGTAGAAATGGTCTCTAACGTGTATTACCGCAATGATCTAATTACTATTAAAATGCCTCTTCCACTTTTTTATGTGCCCTCTGTATTTTTCCATTTTTCAGAAATCAAGAAATTACTCGAGCAAAGCTCTGTAAACCGAGTTTACAATGGACTACGGGGAAACTAGAAAAAATTTAAAACCTACAGTGATCACAAATACTGTGTATAATGACAATGACACGAGTGCATTAAAAATCTGTGTTCGTGCTTAATACATGAGAAGTACACTTAAGGTACTTCACACGCTGCTTCCATCGGAGAGTGAACAGATTTGTAGCTGCACTGGAAATACTTCCGTGTTAATTCCTGTAACGCCATATTAGTACATTTTTCTTTAAAAATAAGAATCGCTTTGTACATGCGTGCATCGGTTGAAAACAACATATTCAAATATTTAAAGTATTTGAGAATGAATGTATTTAGGGTGAATGAGTATGTAAACAATTTCGTACTGAAAAAATGTTGGCATACCGTCTCTTTTCAATTTCTTAATAAATATCAAAACAGGTATGTACCCCCGCGCGATGTTTAAAGTATCTCTTGCAAATCATATTAAAATGATGTGCATTTAACCATTACCGACTGAACAAGATTTGTAGAACAAAATGTCATTCTTACGAGTGATTAAAAAAAGTCAACTCGATCCTGAGTTCATTCGATACAAAGAGAAGCGACTAAATACTGTCAACCTTATTAGTATTGGAGTTAAAATTAATGTAAGCGTATGACGTTCTAAATATATAAATTACATAAACAATCCGTTTTTACGAATAAACGTGCCTAGTAACGTTAAAAGAAACAGAAATCTATCTATTTATACAATGAAAATTACATACCTTTATTTTTAATTATTGTTAAAAAAAGCAGTCTATCATAGCTAGAACGTTACGGACATTTGAAGTACGGCATAGAAATGGTAAGAAAATAAACTGAACAAGTAACAAATGCAAAAAGGGAGTTCATGTTTTTCACCATTTTTTCTGACCATTATTCAACTCAAAATGCCTGGTTTAACTTGAACGGAAATCAAGTATCTAGTAAAACCTCATGATGCGAACGAAGCAATAACCAGCCACATCTCTATTTTATTACAACGGGAAGGAAAAAACCACTTGAAACGGTTTTAAGTGACCCAGGAATTGTAATACTTATTTTGAAATGAAATAACACGCACAACATGTGATTACACGATTTTGCCCTAAACACTAATTACACATGACCTCTACGTTGTATTTAAAATGTAACTTATTTATAAAACACTATTGATAAATTGTTCGACATATGTTCGATATACATACATTACAGGACATTAACAGAGGTAGATAAAACTTAAAGAAATAATGGAAAGAATAATTGCGTGTGTGCAAAATTGACGTAATTAGATTCTCTACTTGTGAACCCTACCAAGTTGTTGACACGAATAAATCGCACCCTGATAGAACGTCAGCTGCTGACTTAAATTTACACCTTGTACATGCATGTGCCTGCAATCGAACATTCATGTTTAAGCAGAGCACCCGTGATTACAACCGCTAAACTACTAATTATCCGTTTCGCGCATTGAAAGAAACAGAATGCACGGGCAAAGCAACTACATACTTGCACAATGTTTTATTGACAAAGTATAAAATAACTGAGTGAAATAGGTCGTTCCTACAATTTTGTTAAAATTAATTATCATACAGAGCACATAAATAAGATGACTTCTACACCATAAGTACGCCCAATGAGCGAGGAATAGAGGGTGATCGATTTACGAAAATATCGTTTAAATAAGGAAATTTACTCTTTATTTCCAAATATATCTCCCTCACTTCTGGACTGTCCAAAAATGCCTGAAAATACAAATAAGAATGCATGTAATATTTCCTCTTTTCAAGGAAATCATTGTCAGTTGGCCAGAGTAGGGGGTCCCCAATAGGAGAAGCACCCGTTGCATCCGTTTATTGATTTGTCCAGTCAGGGTTTCTATTTCGAAATTGGAACTGCCTTTGTACAAACGGTTAAATAAAAATCTCTATAACAAGAATCATTTGATTCGGTTACAAGTTGAAACACTTTATTTTGTATTAATTCATTTCTGTGTAATACACCCACACGTGTGTGCGTGTGCATATGCATACTATGTGTGTGTGTATATATATATATATATATATGCATGGGTACGTGAACGATATATACAAATATGGAATCTAGTTTGAGAGATACAGTCTCCGCCGACAACGCTTGTGATTGAAATAGCCTTTCCAATATCCAACTAAACCTCTGCTCAGACAAACTAGACGCAAACGCGGAAGCAACGGCATAAAAAGGAAAAAATAAAACTGGGACACGGATACAGGAGCGGTAAAGCGCAAACGGATGGCGCGTAAAATTACAATGAATAAAAAGTGTACTCGTAATCTATGTATAATGGCCGTGACCATGATGACGACAACGATGACGATGACAACGGCGGTGACGTTAGTACTTGAGAAGGAAAAAATATTGAATCGCATATGGAAAACGGGAAAGCTTCTACCTAGTCCGTAGCGACGACAGCGAAGTAGCTGCGTCTGACTGGGTGACGATGGAAGTTTTCCTTTCTTTCTTTCTTTTTTTTTTTTCACTCTGCGATGGTGCAGTTGTAGTTATCGTAGTAGTAAAAATATTAATATTAATATTAACGTTAATATTAATAGTAGAGATAGCGACAGTAGTAACGATAATCAAAGTAGTTATAATAATGCAATGGTCGTAGTTATAGTAATAATAGTAAATAGTATTAGTGCAACACGGATCCGTCTAATTTAATATCTAGTATGAAATGAAACGAACGAGATAGGTGAAATTTTCGCAAATCGCGTCACACCGAGCGATATGAATCACTATCTCCCTCGCCATATACTCACACACCATAAGAGATCAGTTGAGAGCTCCTTATTCCACTTACTTTTTATTCTTTTTTTTTATTCTAATGAAATATAGCCAACAGTCGGACTTAGATCAAATCTGCGACATTCATTGGCATTTCTTCGATACGGGTGTTGTAAAATTGCTCGATATCCTTCAAGATACGTTTATCATCCAACGTCACAAAGTTAATCGCCACTCCTTTACGACCGAAACGACCACCGCGACCGATTCTGTAAGATGGAATTCAAATGTTAATAATTACGAGTAGTACTTTACGTGGTATTTTCATTAAGCTACGCGTCCGTTTATGCCTTTAGCCTCACCTGTGAATGTAATTCTCCCGATTGGACGGCAGGTCGTAGTTGATGACGAGAGATACTTGTTGCACGTCGATACCGCGAGCGAGCAAATCAGTGGTTATGAGGACTCTCGAGGATCCGGTACGGAATTGTCTCATAATGAGGTCACGTTCTCTTTGATCCATTTCGCCGTGCATCGCGGAAACCGTAAAGTCACGGCTGTGCATGTTCTCCGTCAACCAATCGACCTTACGGCGCGTATTGCAGAAGATCACGGCTTGCGTGATACTCAGCGTATCGTACAAATCACACAAGGTCTCCAACTTCCACTCTTCGCGTTCAACGTAGACGAAGAACTGTTTAATACCTTCCAATGTTAGCTCTTCCTTCTTTACCAAAATGCGGATGGGATTGCGCATAAAGCACTTGGATACGTCCAAGACGTCCGAGGGCATTGTGGCGGACAGAAGAATGACCTGCATCGAACGAGGAAAATTATATTTATGTAGAAGCTACGAGAACTCAACCGAAGCGAGGGACTCAAAAAGAGTCTTTAACAACTCCTGAGTTTAGAGCTTTTGGAACCATCTAGAATTACCTGGACTTCATGGGGCAACAATTTGAATACATCGTGAATCTGATCTTTAAAACCACGAGAAAGCATCTCATCGGCTTCGTCGAGGACAAACAGCTTGATGCTATTAGCTCGCAATGCTCGGCGACTGATCATATCGTAGACTCGACCTGGAGTCCCCACTACGACGTGAACGCCTTGATCCAACTTCCTTATATCTTCTCTCACGTTGGTACCGCCGATACATGCGTGACATTGTGCATGCATGAAATCACCGAGCGCAATCACCACCTTCTGGATCTATGAAATTAAGTAAACAATTCAGTTAACGCGATCGTATCTATTAACTGAAAAAATTAAATTACTACGATCACATACATCGATCACATAAAAAATACTGAGATTCGGTAGTTGTGAAATTTAAAGATTTCAAGTTTTTAAGACAAGACTCGTTCCCTAACGTCACATCATTGGATCGTGCATTTACGTACCTGTTGAGCCAGCTCACGAGTAGGAGCAAGAATCAAAGCTTGACATTCATTGACGCTAGTATCGATTTGCTGCAGGATTGAAATTGAGAAGGTGGCTGTTTTGCCAGTTCCTAGAAGAAAGATAGTTAATTAGTAAACAAAAATATCATTAAACTATTAGAATATCAAGTCGGTCGTAAGAAATTGTACCTGATTGAGCTTGAGCGATAACGTCGAGTCCTTTAACACACGGTAGGATCGCTCGCTGCTGGATAGCGGATGGCTTTTCAAAACCATAAGCATAAATACCACGCAGTAATTCTTCTTTCAAGTTCATATCATCAAAATTATCCACGACCTATCAATGAAAAGAGTAAATGTCATAATTTAAAACAAATATAGGTAATACCTTTCCGATGGTTCCAAATTTTTCCGAATACATTCGTACCAATCCTAGGTGTTATAAAATACTTAAAACGTAATCGTACCTCTTCCCAGTTGGACTCGATGATGCCATCGGGGTCCATTCCTGGTGGGCCATCGTAGACGGGCTGTTCGCTTTCATTCGGTCCATTTCTAGAGTCACCCGACCATTGATCGTCGTTTCTATAACCAAAATTAAATCGTGTTAAAAATTACATTAAATTATAAAAAAGTTTCTTGAGAGATAAAGCCAACTTTCCATGACATTGTATGTCATTTTCTATTTAAAAGTAAAAGTAGAATTTAACTATTTGTTTCGATGTCTAAATTAATGACAGAATCGACACGCCGACACTTGGTGGAGTACGATACATGCCAAATAAAGCATAATCTTATTCTAGGATCGTTACTGCATTAACTAGTCGAATGCCAAAATAAGTGACAAGAAAAGCGCTGTGAAACGATCGTCAGCTCTTCGAATAACAACAGAAAAAGAAAACAACAATTATTATCATTAATAATAGGTTGGATTCGCAAAAGTTGAGCAGACACCTTTTATTAAATGCTTTCAATTATTTATAACGTTTGAGTGGTCATCGATTGCTTACATACCTTACCGACATTTAAATATAACGTTACATGGGAAAAATCTAGGTATATTAACCGAGGGTATTAGTTCACGTTTAAACGAAACAAAAATAACATTACGCCAAGGGTCAAAACGTCACCGATTAGAAGTACGTGGTTTCGCTGTAACGCATCGGTACCAAAACTGGAGGGAAAATTCCATAGTCGAAACGAGATCCTTGATGACCTAGTCAGAAATTCCGGTCGACTTACCTTCATCCATAAGACGGATTCGAGAACATAGTACTCGCCTGGCTCGATATAAATACTAACGTGGCGAAGTTCTCGAACAAAAGGAGTCGCGGAAAATTTAGAGAAATAGCGACGGCTTGACACTGACTCATCCAAAGGCATGGCCGTGATCGCGAAACGAACGGAGATGACTCGATCACCCAAAGACCGGATACGCGATCGGAAAATACCCAAGACCTCGCGAATTCGAAGGTCCACGAGCTCCGGGGACGATCGCGTTTGGGACACACGCGACATTACGTAATTCTAATGAAAGAAAACGTGCTTGGGCAGCTCGCAGGTAGTCGCGAGAAGGATCGAATACGGAGTGGACGGGCAAACAAAATACGTTCGAAACCGACGAAAGGGCAAAGGACGCGACGTCCGGCCTACCAACGAGGAAGGGACGCGTCGAGACGGCGGCGGCGTCATTTCGAGGTACACCAAGCGCGACAAGCAATGTGACAAAAAGTTTGGTCGCACGCCATGTTGTCAGCTAGGAACCCATGCATTCGTCAATCGGAGTAGACTTTTTCGCGAGCATTCCTCCACTCGGAGGGACGCGAGTCCGAAGGCCCGCAGGTCGGAAGCAGCCGAGCCCTAGGAAACCAAGCTGAAGCGTCCCAATGGAGCTTCGGGAAACGAAATAACGCGAAAAAAGCGGAACTTACCTTCGTTCGGACGTATACGACATGTTCCACTCACGGTAGCGCGACGGAAAGGACGAGTTCCTATTGCGTCACGAGGGACCTTTGAGAACGAGGCACGGCGTGGCGCTTCGCTCGGTGGCGCGTTCTGGCGCGGCTTAACACGCGTTCTTCAAGATGGACGAGGCGGACGGCGTCTACTTGCTGCCGCGTGATGCCAGCCCTCCCGATCACTCCCGACCCTCGCTGCTGGCGCCCTCTGCCAACCCAGATTCGTCGTTTCCGTTGGACTCTTGCACGGTTGGTTAACTGCTGCGCATGCGCACCGGCAAATTATCTCACGATACGGCGAAAGAAAGCATCGCGGAGCCAACTACGTCATTCCATTCAATTCCATTTTGGCAATTGTTGGCGATACCGTTAGGGTTCGAAAATTCTCGGTAACGTACAATGGGATAAGGTAACCGAGAAACATGCCGTTAGTTACCGAGAATATCGACAATTTATGAGAACGTTCATTTTCTTATTTATACTTTAGGTTTCTTCGTTTAAATAACGTTTCTTTTCTTTGGTTTAAAATATTCGTACAAAACTTTGCCAAATCACTTAAGGGAAGTAATTTACGTAAAATACCTAACAAATTACGCGATAACGATGGCGGGACTGAAACCTTACTTTTTCAAAGTGGGCAAAGTGTATGTACGTCACTTGTGAATAAACATTTTAGTTAAAGAAAAAAGGAATAATGAATAATGGCAAGTAGGAGCAAACCATTAAAAAGATCTAAGCTTCGACGTTCCAGTTTTCCATACATTCCATAGAAAATTTTGAATTTGAAGCATATCGGAAATAGAAACTGCGGAAACATTAAGTCTCGTATTCATGTAATTTACGTAACGTATAAACTTGTAAAGTAAAATACCTAAAAATGACTGTAAAAAAACTACGAAAATTACCTAGGTTATTTTACTTACCCAACCCTGAACGCGACGCGTTGGAAAACGTTCGATCGCGTATATAAATTGATAATATCTACTTGTCCAATATAACGACCGAGCCCACGCAAAGGGGTACATTGGACGCTTTCGGTGGGAAATTCAAAAGATCGAAGCAAGGCAGTCACCGAAAGAGGTAGAAAGAGTAAAATGTACATACCCCGATTTTACGATGAATTCGCGTCGATCGCTCTCGGTAGTTGGTTTTCGTTCTTGTTTTCTTATCGTCGAATTTCTGTATTTCTCCCTCTCACCTCGGTGACGCTTGCTCCGGAGTCAGTGAAGTCTTGGCTAAAAACTCGCAATTTTGCGTGACTTCTTCAAAGGATAAATTCTGCCCCGCCGATCCTAACGAACTGTTGGAGGTACGACGACGCGAAACATGTCCCGGAGCCCCCGTTAAACGCCCGCAGCCTTAGGTCGCGATTCCATCGCTCGTCGAGGGTTAACGAACCTCTGGTTTCGCCGGAGGCGTCGCTTCGAATCGCTTCGAATCGCTTCGAATTATGACCGATCGCTCGGACGCGAGGTCGGGGCAACAAATGTCGCGACAGGCATGGCTAGAGATGTACACGGAATCGGGATAACCAGCGAAAAAGTCCTCGATCGAAATCTGTCAATTGGTATTTTTTACCGCCGGATCACTACCGATGGTTCTGCGGGGAAGCCTTTGGCAACAGATGCCATTTTGTTTACATTGTACCCACGAACATTTGAACACGCGTTCACCTCAATGCCTACTCTCTTATGGACGTATAAAAACGCAATACCTATTTATGATACACTATGCACGATAAAAGTATCGACCGTCACCTTTGAAAAAGATCCTTTCCTAACATATCACACGAGCTACCGTATGTTAAATTGTATTATCCTCCTTTCATTGCAGGAAAGATTTATTTTGGATGTCGATATTTATTAAAAGTACAGTTTATTCTATAAACTATGGATGTATTACATCCACAATTAGTTTGGGTCGAGGGACGTTGTTATAGATTTTTTGAGAGCGACGAGTGGTCAAAGTATCGTGCTTCCGCAACTTATGAAGAGGAGGAGTATGAGCCCGATATTAATTCTGCGGATGAGTTTTGTAATAACGATATCGAAATAGTTCCCTTTGTAGGAGGCAAATACAAGCATTCTTTCTATGTTGCAAGGTAGACCATATTAATATAACCCTTTCTGTACACTTAAAAATTAATTTGAATTTATAGGGAAATGACTACATTTTCTTACGGCTTTCCAGGCCTTTCCTTCCATTTATAATTGGTGCTAAGGGTTCAATGCGTAAAAAAATAGAACAGGAAACAAAGACAACGCTGCGAATTCCAAAAGTAGAAGAAGATGGAGATATTGGTAATCGTTAATAATTGTCAGCCCAAAGACTTGTTTAAATATGTTACTAATTGCATAATTTAAAATTCAGTCAAATCCAAGTTCGATGCAAATATGCACGATGCATTAGAATAGATTGTGCTTTAATATAACCAGTTCAAAGATACATATAAATGTGTTGTTCCGTTATGAAGTAGATAAACCCGATGATTCTGCATTTTCAGAGATAGTCAGTTTTTATCGATCGGGAGTAATTTCTGCTCGACATCGTATCGATTTGCTGATGACATCAGTGAGAAATAAAATCCATGTTACTCACTTTATTTCTTTGCCACTAAACTGTTCTAATATAATAAAAGGTTTCACTGATTTTAAAGATGATGTTCTTAATAACTGTGGAAAAAGTGCAAGAGGAATTTGCCCAGAATTATTTCAAAGTCCTCAAAGATTGCATTTAACAATGGTACTTTTACTGTTACTTGACGATGCTGAACAAAAACGAGCAACTGAAATTTTTGGTGCTTGTGTTCAGAATGTAATAAAGTATGTATATTTCCCTCCACAATAAGAAAATTATTGTCATATTAGATTTACTTATTAAGTGACAGTTATGTCACTCATTCCTATATGGTGTACATATACTTATGATATGATCAATTGTAATGATGTAAAAGAGAGGATTAACCAACATAGAAATAAGACATGGTATTTCAATGGAATTGTATGAGTATTGAAAACTGTACAATATCTTGTTGCTCAGAAAATAGTTACCATATCAAACTATACTTTATACTTTTACAGACCCTTTTTGGAGAAAAGTGGACCAATTATTGTACAAATACAGGGTATAGATTGTATGAATGACGATCCTGCCAATGTTAGAGTCTTATATGCAAAGGTACATTCTGAGAATGAAGCGCTAAACAATTTAACTGGTGAAATTAAAAAATACTTCATTGAAAACAGTAGTAAGTTATGAATATATATTATCATTGTAATCCCGAAATCGTAGAAGTTACATTACTATTACAAAAATAAAATAGAATATGCTATGTTCATATCCTATTTATCGCAGAAGTATAGCTTCGAATGAATTACAGATTTTGTCAAACAAGATGACAGAGATGATCAGAAAGTAAAATTGCATATGACTGTAATGAATACTAAGTATATAAAGGATAAGGATGAAGCTTTGAACAGTTTTGATGCTAGTAATATATTGAAGGTAACAAGAATTCAGATCCCTCTTATATAATCTTTGGTTAAGATTGTCACATTTAATAAATATCGTGTCCTAATAGTTTTAAACACTTAATCAATGGATGTGCCTTACAGGTTCACAAGGATACTTTATTTGGAACTGTAACATTGAATACAATTCATTTGTCTGAACGTGGCAAATCATCGAATGATGAATATTATCATGCAACTGCAAAAGCAAATTTAGGTAACGAATAATCTCAAGCCATGGTAGCACCCGTTTTTAGACATTGTACTTCATGGTTAAAAAAACTCTACAAACTGGTGTCACATGATATAGTAGTAGATATCAAATATATACTGTACTATTTTTTATTTTTAAATTATGCATCAATTATTTTCTCCAATGGGAATTAAAAACACATTACATGTATTAACAAAGCAGTTGAAATTCTCCTTTGCCTCAAATTTAGAAAAAAGGAATTGATGTGACTATTTTAAAGTGTTCCATGTACTAATTTTGCGCATAGAGAATTGATTGTAAAATATATATTTTAATATTCTATGGAACGTTAAGAGTACATTCAATTATTAACGCTTTGCACTATGAGGTCACCTCTGGCGTGACAAACTAGGAAAACAATTATAGTGCAAAAGGTTAAATGAGTGGTTCCAAAACGTTTGAAATTAATTGTAAATATGATTTTCAAATAAGAATTAAAACATCATCTTTTAATATTTTTATTTAGTTAGATTATCCTGACGAGCATAAAGTTCTAACACTGCAACTTCATAAAAACAAAATTAATAATATCAATACTTTCTTGATTGCATCTGTGTACTGTATGCAAGTGTGAATATTTAGCGCGAAACTCTACCGAATTTCCTGATTTCTTCATATCAACTTCATGCTATGCATTATGTTATTTCGTGTATCCCTAGCCCCCTACGGCGGCCGATTACAGAACTACGCACTCCTTAATGATAACGAAATCTGAGACTTGTGACTTTTCATCTGTGTAAATACTTATGCCAACCTACATTGTGACAACGCCCTCGACTTTTACATATTACGCTCACGTATTTCTTAGTGATGATTGTACTAGGCTGTATTGTCTACGATAATAACAAGTGCTAAGTTAAATACAGTGGTTGAAAAATTTTATAACGATAAACAATGTCCTTCTTGTTTGAAAAGAAAATTAAATCTGAAATATTTAACAATATATATTTCTGGTCAAAACCTCAAGATCTAGCCAGAAAGTCTGTTTATTTTGTAAAATACATATCATAAATATTGTAATAACATTCATAACGGTCTTTGGTAATACGTTAATGCAATGGCTTTTCAACAAGGTAGAACCACATGAATGGTATCGTGTTAGCAATTTTAAGCTACATGTGATTATTTCTATTATTTTAAGGCAACTGACTTAACCTTCCTTCAAAGGAAAATGTTTTCTACAAATGGAATGACATAGGTACGTAATGTTACAGCCATTGAAAATATTTTTATTTAATTTGAGACCTTTTGTGGTAAAAACATTGTGTACATATTTTTGCTGTATTAGATCAAGTGATAATGCATGGCATTAAAAGAGTAGTAATTTTCTGCATACTTACTACCGTATTGCCAATGCTGTTACTTGCAATTCCGCTGTATCTACGTCATAGTCTGTATGCCGACGTAGCATATGCAGTTACCGAGTCTGATATTTTGGAAGTACAAGATGGAATTTCAACAATATTTTGCTCGGTAAGAATACAGCTTTTGAGCTTGCCATGTAAAGAAATATTAAGCTAAGTTTGCCAATTCAGATAAGTCCTACTTAGCAATAAATAGGCAACTTTTATGATACTTTACGTATTTAATATTTTATTTCTTCTTCAACAGAAACATACTTTGCAAATGAATGAAACTTTCAATGCTTTTCAAATGAAACATCGACCAGAGATAGCTTCGTACCGAAAACACATAAGGCTAAAAAAGAGTATGACTCTACCTGATGATACTTTGGAATATTGGGGTTTTTATCTACTGAAGGGTGCGACCGTTGCACTTTCTGTTTGTTCTAGGTAAACTGAAATTAATGAAATGCAAGTTTTCTCGCGTCATTTAAAAGAACCCGTTTTATGAGTATATATTCAATATCTAATCAAATATGCACCATACAACTTGGGCAATTATCAAATCTTTTGCTTTTATTAGATTCGAAGGTGCTTCGATACTTGTTGTTAAAGGTGAACGGAACCTTCGTACTTGTGGCATGTTGGAACATAATGAGAATAAAGCACGAGCAAAAGGTATATTTTTACCCGAAGCTAACAAACAAATGAAAGTAGAATCTATTGCACAATCAAAAACTTCTCATAAAGTTAATGAAATATCTTTGAGCACTACGCAGAATATAAATCTCAATAATTTACATACTAGTCAAGTAGATGCTTTCAATAAAAGCAAGCACCCAGAGGAAATCAATTCCTTAAGGGAATCGTTTCGTACACTCAGTGATTTAAATTATTCCAACACAAATAGTAGGCCCGTAGAAGATGAAGTGCAACATTTATATCGAACAGCGGAAACATACGTTCGAAAGCATATTCGTGAGGAAACACCAAAGAAACAACTACAGGAGAAAAGAAAGTTGCGGCATGCAAGACAACGGTTGCGTACCATTAAAATGGATAAGGGCAAAAAAGAAAAGGAACGGTATAATTACAAGTACGCGTTAAGAAAATCATTACATAAAGAGCAGAATCATAAAAAAGTGCATAGATCGATAAGACAATCACAACCTATGTTAGAAATGAAAATAAAAAAACTATCAGAATTATTAGAAACGGATAGAAATTTGAATGTGGAAGCAGAGGAAAACGAGGAAATTGAGAAAAAAGATGTCTTTCAAGATATTCAGAGAAACCAATTTAGAAAGAAGAGAAATCAAGCTCCTATAAAAGAACCAGCATTACTTGATCAAGGAGTCAAGCATGGTGGTAACGCAATAAGAAATTTAACAGAAACGGATGAAGAATCATCAGTTTCCAGTTTCGAGAATGGTTTATTGAACTGTTACGAGGGCCAAGTGTTACTTGCTCGTGAATTTGATCCCAATAAACTGTGCACAAATGTAAGCTATTTAGAAAGTGGTAGACATATGCAAACGAGACACGAAGTTGCCGAAGATGGATACTACTATTATATATTTTATAGTGACAATGATTTTGTCTCCAATGATATCCATGCTGTTTTTGACATTTATAAACCAACATTTCAATACGAGAACGTAACGAGATCGTGTATAAATGTGACACACTGTTCATTTTCACTTGATTTATTATCATCCAATAGGGTAATAGTCGAATTGCCCACTAAAGATGGTATCGAACAAATAGAGGATGATATCGCTCTGCTCGTTTCAACGTGTCAACCAAGAATGAGCATGTACATTATTTTTCCAATTTCCGTATTATTTCTTGTACTTGGATGTGCTTTTTTATAAATATAATTGTAAATGTTTGTTTAAATATTATCTAAACTAAGAATTAAGAACACAAGAACATTTTTTTAGGCCTATCTCCTGTTCATAATTGCACGTAATTATGACTACTTTTAGGGATTCATGAGTAATATTACTTTAATACAGGAAAAAAGTGTAAAGTACTTCAACTTTAATTCGAGTATTGAGATTGCGGCGAGAACTCGTTGATAATGTCGATAGTTTTGTAAAATATAAATTTATATCTTCATGAGATAAAATGCGATAAACTTTGTTAAAATCCTTGTTCTTACTGATGCGGAATAACGCTTTGTCGATTGTAACTTTTTGTATGTACGAAATGCGTAAAGTTGACAGTCTGATCTTTACAAAATTTAAATTTCTTTATCTTAACACTTTACCGACCGGCGAATTTGGAAGTAAATAAGGGATCAGGGGTATCGCAGAACCGATCGATAGGCTTCCGGTTGGTAGTGTCAAAATTTGGTGTCCTCGTGTCGTAAATTCTTAAATTTTGTGCCAGTTTGGTTTTCAAAGTGGAATATTTCTATAGGGGGTGGTAGGTATGTAATCGAAAAACGCGTGGACTGACCATTACCGCTCGATAGACGCGTACACGGAAACACAAGAAATCGTGAGCCTCTACCTGTAAAAATTAGCTCGATCGAGGAATGAAAAAAATTGCAATCGTTCCGCTCGATGCGGCTCAACGAGCACGCAAGGAACCGCTTTCGGCTTTATTGAAGAAATGTCAATCGTGCCCCCATGAACGGTAAGCTCGACATCTCGTAGCGTTTCGGCGACGATCGACGAAGCGCGAACAAGAGGTTCCGATTAGTTGCAAAGATAAACGGAATGGAGGAACTTCCGCCGTACGTTTTCTGCAGTTTTCTGCAGTCAATCGAAACCTCTTATTCGTCGTGCGATTCGTCGCTGCAGCTTTAATGAAATATCGGCCTTAATCATCCGTGCTTGCATGTGGATCGGTTTCGGGGTGCGGCCACTAGATGGCAGCGGTTTCCTCATGGCGACAAATCCCGGGAGTATGGGCACTCTCTGCTACTTTCTGGTACTATCTGCCGAGCGTCGTCCGCCGTGCCGTATTTACAATCGCGTTTTATTTCATTTCTCTCGAAAAAGTCCGGTTTTTCAAGGTGGTCTGCTTGCGCCTCTCCTTTCAGAATCTGCGCAACTTCTCGACATAGGAAAGAGCAGGAAAGAGGTCCTCGGCGCTGACGTGGGATGGATCGTAGGGGTTACGAGAAATCCGCAGTTTCGTTCGGCCAGAACAAGTATTAAAGGACGAGTATCCGGAAAGGCGGCGTCTCGGTGTCACGTGTTTACTGCCAATTGGCATCCCCTATCATTGACCAGCTCGTCACCGGCATTTTTCCCGGTTTTCTGTTGCCACTTTCGCCTCTTCGCATCGAGATGGGGAATGTCCACACTTGCGGCCCTAACGAGGCTCTCGTCGTATCAGGTAAAATCCTACACTGCTGTCACATTCATCAATTGTTTTACGCTTGCTTATTAATTGCTAGTGTGCCTAAGCTTATCGGTTATGCGTCACGCGGAGTGCGTACGCGAGGCTGTACGATGTAACTCGTATAACGAGCCACCGACCTTGGTGTAAACATCGAGCCTCTGTAATTAAATATTTTAAATATTAATTGCAATCATAACTACGAGATTAAATGATAAAAAGTATCGTAAAATAGTTTGGCCAAAGTATGCTTTTTAAATGCGCTACGGGGAAGGATACGTCATCGATTTAACTCGTAAGATAAACGGACATACCGTCGATAACGTTCATAAGCCCTGACTCCTTGACTCATGTTTGATCAAGATTCTATGTATTTACGTAGCGAGGGTAAGTAATCGTTTGATACGGGCGTCGGGTGGATGTTTATTATCCCATTATTTACATATTCAAAGTACCATGATAAAGTTGTAATATAATCAACGGCGAACAACTTTCTCAGGTACTGCGAAGATATGCATCATACGTTAGAACGCATAACTATGACCTTGATCAATTACGTACAATTGAATGCAATCGACGGCCACTAATCCAAGGGACATCGCTCGTGAATCACTATTTTTGGAAACAAGCTGTGCCGTGAAATTTATGGAACGTAAACTATTCGAAATACGAACGATCTGTGAACGTTAAGCCAAAGTCCTACATTAATTTACTACACGATGATTAAACTAGATGAAAATATAAGATGATACGTTAACTCGTGTAATCATATCGGCATACTAGCATTAGTATTTGGCTTTGTGTATTAGAACGAACGGATTACAGTGCCATAACTGTAATGGTGCCGTAACAACTAAGAACGACTCGTAATATTTAGATTATTTACCCAATGATAATATCATAACTGCTATTTCATGATCACAAAGTATCTATGAAGGGAATCGTTTAATCTCGGATTCGGTGTAACCGAGCGGATTCCTATTTCTGCATGTATTAACATTTTGTTACGGCATATCGTCCTCCCTTCGATACGACATTTCATCGCACCACCCTATAAATTGCTCTTAGGCAATTATATTCATTATTAAAACTCCAAGGAATATGCCAAAGTTACGAAAATTGTCATCGCTTTTCCTGACTAAATGTTTATAATACTTCCCACGAAGCTGGTGAATGTAAAATCATTTGTTGTATAATATACAGGGGGAAGTATATAAGGTATACTTACAGCATATCGAGGGATAGATATAGATAGATATAGCGAAGGAGCAAGACCTTCCGGAGTCCCTTTGGTGTCGGCGGAACGAGTTATTTCAATCATCAGCGATTCTAGTCGAACGCGGCAACGTTTAACGCACAACTAACATTTATTTAGCAGAATCACCCGAGCGTTGCTTCTCTACTTGACCATTCTACTTACACCCAACTCTATATCTAATCTCGTTTCCCTGGTTCCGGCAGACTCGATATTTCCATTTGGGTTTTTCTCTTTGAGACGTCTCGTCAGAAGTTGAAAATAATTTTTCTTATTGTCCTCGTGACTCGTCTCCGTTAATTATTTCCGAATTAACTCCCAACTACGATGGATCTCGGGATCCATCGTCATCTCATTTTAATCGGATTTCCCGAGGCAATCGTTTCGACAAGGCTTTTCCTCGATCATCGACGCGACGCGTCATCGATATGGAGTTTCTTTTAATCCATAATTAGTAGAATTCAAAGTGGAACATTTTTTTCCTCGCGTATATCTAGCTCGTAACGGTCGTTGGAATCAGGATCCGTGGCAGGGTCTATCTTTAGAGCTCCAACTTGACTCGTCATCGAGATTTCCGGCACGGCGTGTGCAAGGGACTCTTCCAGTTCGATACGTACCGAGAATTTTTCTCATTCATTTGGAGTTTGTTAATTATGTCTAGAGATCGGCAGGTCTGGATGGATTCGGAAAACCATGATTTTTCTTCGGGGATTTCTTCTACCAGTCCTCGAGGTGAGTCCTGTTTTCTGGCAGAATTTGGGGCCCGATCCAATTTTCGAGTTCCAATCGCGGAACTCACCCCGGATCACTTTTCCCTTCCTCGTCTCCGATTCAACGAAGCCAGGACCCGAGGCGGAACTTTGATCAGGAATTTCTCCAACTCTCGAGAGACGATTCGCCCCAAAGATGTCCCGCGGCTCGGTTTACAAGGGACTCCTCCATTCCCTCTTGATAAGGTCCGCCGCCTTTTCCCCGATCATGTAAATGCCGGCATTGACGTGACCGGTGGGCATGGTGGGCATGACGGAGGCGTCGGCGACCCTCAAGCCCCGGACCCCGTGGACCTTCAGTTCGGGATCGACGACGGCGTCCGGATCCGATGCGGGGCCCATCTTCACGGTGCCGATCTCGTGGTTCATCATGGAGGGCAGGTGCCGAATGGCGCACCTCCAGTAGTCGTCGGAGGCGAACTCCAGGTCCTTGCATCCGGGGATCTTGGCGCCGTGGAGTCTGCTGCCGTAGGCCTGGAAAGGCTCCGTCAAGGAGACGTTGACGGCGTGCTTGACGCCCTCGAGGAGGATCTCCAGGTCCGCGGGATGCGAGAAGAAGTTCGGTTCCAGGACGGGCCAGTGGAAGGGGTTCTTCGACTTGAGACGGAGCCTGCCGACGCTCCTGGGATTCTGTAAGATGGGCCAGATGGACCAAGCGTCCCGATTCTCGATGGGCCTGTAGACGGCGTCGTAGAGCTCGTCCGTGATCCGCAGGGCCCTCTTCAGGGTGACGCCGTTGTCGGAGTGCAGGGACCCGGAGACGAAGAGCAGCTCGATGTCGGGTCGCTCGTCGAGGGCGTACTTGGTCCTGAGGAAGGCCAGGGCCTCGGCTCCGCCCGGGATGGAGAGGGGCCCGCTCCTGTCCAGGAGGTACTGGAAGGCGTAGCTCGGCCTGGCGAGCCTCGTCTGCAGCAGCGTCACGCTCTGGTTCACCATGAAGGTCAGCCCGAGGAAGCCGACGTGCTCGTACATGTTGTAGCCGACCTTGAGGTCCCGAAGAGGAGTTATGCCCAGCTCCAGCAGATGGTCGGCGGGCCCGATGCCGGACAGCATGAGGAGCTTCGCCGAGTCGATGGTACCGGCCGACAGGACGACCTCCTTCGAGGCCCGGACTCTGCGCAGCTCCCTGTCCTTGTGGTACTCGACGCCGTAGGCGCGGTTCTCCGAGTCGATCAGCACCTTGGTCACCCTCGCCCCCGGGACGATGTCCAGGTTCGGCCTGGTCACCCTCAGGTACGCTTTGGAGGCGCTGCAGCGAGCGCCCTGGTCCATGTTGACCTGGATGTAGGAGAAGCCGATCTGATCCTTGGCGTTGTAGTCCACCACCTTGTACCCCAGACTACGGCCGGCCTTCAGGAACACCGTCGACAGTTCCGAGTGGTACGGGACGTGCTCCACGTGGACGTGCCCGTCCTCGCCGTGGTAGACCGGGTCGTCGATCCCTGGAATCCAAAGAAGCAACGAGGCTCAACGAACGACCGAGAGAAGAGGGGAAAGAGCCGAGCGGAAGTTGCGGCCACCTGAGACGTTGAATCTCTCGCTCTTCCGGAAGTAGGGCAGCACGTCCTCGTAGGACCAGCCCGTGTTCCCGAGAGCCGCCCACTGGTCGTAGTCCAGCTTGTTCCCCCGGGTGTGGATCATGTAGTTCAGGGTGCTGGTCCCGCCCAGAGATTTGCCTCGGGGCCAGGAGCACTGCCGGTTCTCCATCCCCAGGCAGGCGTTCTTCTGGGGGGCGACCTTGTACCCCCAGTTGTAGTTCGTCAGCTGAAAGTAACCGACGAACACCGGGATCTGGTTCAGGATCCCCTCCGGCTGGCCCGCCTCCAGGAGGAGCACCCTCCAGTCCCGGTTCTCGGAGAGCCGGTTCGCCAGCGCCGAGCCCGCGGAACCAGCTCCCACGATCACGAAGTCGTAGACGGTGCTCTTCGGGGTCGAGGCCGCCCTTATCCTGTCGGTCGTCTCCGCGTGCGAGCGGATCAGCTCCAGGAAGGACTCGCCGTTGGCCAGCGCCAGGACGCAGGAGACCAGCGGCATCAGCAGAACCGTTGGCGACTTCATTCCGTACCGCCTGAAACCATCGGGACCGTCGGAAACCCCTCGAAAACCTCGAAAACGTCGAAAACGTCGAAAACGTCGAAAACTTCCGAACCGAGGGAGTAATCGGTGAAAACGAATTCCATCCCCGAGAACCTATCGCCTCCGGTCTCATACGATAAACGGCGATGGGGTTCGGTTTGATTTCGAGGATTAAAATCCACGAGTTTCCTCGGTCCAAACCCACCTGCGTTCTCGACGGACGTCCCGAATTTCGCCTCGACTTGCCCAACGGCGCACTCCAACTATTGTCACCTGGGTCTCCGTGGTTTTGCGATGTCTTCCTCTCCTTCGTGGCCGAAGACTCCGAGCGAAAGCGACCGACTAAGCGTGGTCCACTCGACGGCTTCGGGGGGCCCGTCGGAGAAATTCACTTTCACGGGACGATCGCGTAACGCGTGCGTCCTGGGATCACTCTTTACGAGATTCTAGGGACCCCTGCTAGATCGCGCCGTCTAAAGTGCGGAGAGAACGGACGCTTCCGGGGGCGAGCCTCCGTCGAGTCCCTGTAAAACCAGAATTAAGGATAAAGCGACGAAAGAAAACCCGCCACTTTCAATTCTCGCCTTTGGGAATTCCTCGGGTCCTGGCGACCTTTCGCAAAGGAGGTTTCTTTTTCTTTTTCACGGGGAAAATATCGGACGTTCCGATGGATTTATTGTCACGTTGGCTGGCCAAAACTGCGATATATTCGTTGAAAATTGTAAGGTGCCGGGACAAATTGCTATTTCTCCCCTTACTCACTTATCCGAGGCTAGGATCAAGTCCCTGCGGTTTTATTCCGACCGAACTCGTGGCCTTTTTGTTACTTGTTTCGTTTCATGCGTAGCACCGGAATCCGCGTGCGCCCTCGTTGCTCTTCGGCGCGACTGATGCAGTAATTGCCCTCTCGAATTACCTGGTCACCGTTCCCGTGTTGTCGCGTGCCCTGGCCACTCCTTTCGACCCATAGGTGGGGAGAAAGTAATCAAAGCAACGCATCCCCAAATAGCGCGAGTCGTTTCGTCACGATCTTCCGTTTAAGGACTCTCGATAATCGCGTTTAGCGACGATTTTGTCCTCGATGCGTTGAATGAATGAAAAAAAAAATACGGTGAATACATTTCGTCAACGAGGACGTCAAATTTTTACGTTTAAGGATGTGACGCGTTTCCAAGATAGTAACCGAGTCTCCTTTTATCGGATTTTGCCGTTTCCACGTGTGCAATTTGCCTCCGAGAATTTTTAAACATTCGATTCGCGAGAGAAAATGTCTCTTCGTGGCGGCACGATGAGTCGATTAAGACGTTTTATTAATAACGAATCGCAAAACATTCCCGAATTATCGCTGCGGAATTTTTACGTGGAAAGGAAGGATTTTCATTTTCTTTCTCGATACGTTATTTAACGTAACCTCTATGTACATATTCTATCCGAATAAATTAGAGCAAGAACCTAGAAGGTTCCGGGAAATTTGGCGAATGGCGCATCTTTCAAAAAAGGTACAAATCGCTTCTCCATCGCCTCGCCCAGTCTCCGAATGATTTTACGTAAGACGTTCCAATTAAGGACAAAATTCTGATAACATCCTCCGAGACATCGAGAGGGTTTTCGCGCCCTGAGAAAAGAAGTCATCGAATCAAAGAAATATTCTGTTAATTCCAAGAATTGTTATTTGATTCGAATAGTCAAGTTTCCGAAACAATGTCGCATCCTATTTATTCGAGTTTATTCGAGGTAAATAATTATTCTTTGATTTAACGGAATATTTCCTTGGTTCGATGACATATTTTTTTTTTCTCGGTGCACTCTGGATGTCGGTATATAAACGCTTCTACCAGGTACTCGATTTTTGCACGGATTATCCGCCACTTCCGGGTAAAATTCGACTTATTCCTATCGCCTTATCTAAGGAATTGAAATTATTATGATACAGTATATTACATGTCGAGGTGCGCTGCACTTACCCGGGACGTAATAGATTTCGACGAATAACCCCAAATACCGCGTTAGCGTTTCCGATGAAACGGAAAAAGTGAAATATCGGGTTAAAAAGAAAATTTGATTTCTTTGGAACGCGAAATACGATACGATACGATCGACCGATTTTGGACGTCTTTGCGATTGTTTCCTTATCAGACAATTCCTTACGAGAAAAAGAAGTCGTTTGAAAGTTAAAATAACAAGTTGACGGCACGAGCCGCAGAACTCGCACGCCCACGATCCGGTACTTAACGATCGACCGATATTACGCATCTGGATCATGGCTGCGATTATTCGTTCGATAAAACATCTCGGAAAAATGTGATTTGAGAGGGGAAAGGGCCGGAAAGTGGTCACGAGTGCTCCTCGAGGTGGTGCGTGACAATTGACGAGCGTCCCGGCCGAGTGTTTGCGTCGACAAGAGGGACCGCAGATCGGCCGATATTATGCGCCTGGACGTTGTTTGTTTAACAAAAAGCCGAGCTCCTTGCGAATTCACACGTACGGCGCGATTATCTCGGGTATCCCCAGGTGTCCTTGAGCATATCTGCCAACTTCTCGGCGATCATGATGCACGGGAGACTGGTGTGGCCGGTGACGATTTCCGGCATTATCGAGGCGTCCGCCACGCGCAGCCTCTTGATTCCGATGACCTGCAACGGTCGGTTTCGATCAAAGAGAGTTCCACTTCCTGCCCGACTCGTTTGTCTTGCATCTGGTTACGGCCAGGCACGGGCCGCCCTTTTACCGGCGTTTAAAACTTTACCCCGCGAACACGGATGCCGCAAGGAGGGTCCCGATCCCCATGAAATTAGAAATAGAAAAAGATGACGTTTCGCGGGAGTCGGGACCCCTATGTCGGCATCCTTATCGCCTCGAGGAGTCAAAATTGATCCACCTAGGTGCGAAATCGAGTATCGCGTAAAAGGAAAGGAGCCATACCCGAAGAGACGGATCCACGACGGCCGAGGGGTCCTCGGGGGGCGCCATCTTGCAGGTGCCGGAATAGTGGTAGATGGTGAAGGGGAAGGTGCGGACGGCGCACTCCCAGTAGGCGTCCGAGTCGAAGGGATGACCCTCGCAGCCGGCCACGGGCGTGGCGTGGATCTTGGAGCCAAACTTCCGCATGGCCTTGGTCTCGGCGACGGCGATGGAGGCCCTGATGCCCGTGACGAGCGTCTTCACGTCCTCGGGATGGTCCATGTAGTTGGCGTAGAGCCTGGGCTTGGAGTTGACGTCGCCGTCCCGGAGGAGCAGCCGGCCGCGACTCTTGGGCTTCATCAGCAGGGGGAAGATGCACCAGGAGTACTTGCCCTCGATCTCGTAGTACGTCTTGTACCAGAGCTCGTCGCTGAGCCCCAGGGTGTACCTGAAGGCGGGGTCGGAGACGATGGATCCGCTGGCGAAGAGGAGCTCGATGTCCGCGTGGCCCCGACTACTCGGACTGCCGAGGTTCACAAAGGCCAGGGCCTCGCAGCCTCCGGGGATGGTGATGGGGCCGTCGCGCCTCGTCAGGTACTCCCTGATATAGGGATTGGCGGGGTTGACGATGTCCGTGGCGAGCAGGGCGACGGGCTCGTCGACGGTGAAGATCGTTCCGCCGAAAGCTATGTGGTCCATCAGGTTCTCGCCCACGGGCGCGTCCACCAGGACGGGGATGCCGTGCTCCTTCAGGTGCGCGGCGGGCCCCACCCCCGAGAGCATCAGCAGCTGGGCCGACCCGATCGCCCCGGCGCACAGGATCACCTCCTTCCGGGCGGTGGCGACGAACTTGACCCGGTCCTTGACGAACTCCACCCCGTAGGCCTCCTTCTTCTCCGGGTCGATCAGCACCTTGGTGACGAGGCTCCTCTTGGAGACGACGAGGTTGGGCCGATCCCTCGCGGGATGGAGGTAGGCGGTGCTACTGCTCATCCTGGTCCCGCGGTGCAGGGTGGTCTGCAGAAACGAGAAGCCCAGCTCCTCGGCGTTGTAGTCTATCGTCCGATACCCCAGCTCCCGACCCGCCTCGACGAACGCCGTGGCCAGGGGCGTCCTGTACGGCACGGAGGACACCTTCTGCGGACCCCCGACCCCGTGGTGCCTGGAATCCTTCTTCAGCTCCTCGATCTCTATGTCCTCCAGCTTCCGGAAGTACGGCAGAACGTCCTCGTAGGCCCAGCCCTTGTTCCCCATCTTGGCCCAGCGGTCGTAGTCCTCGGAGGTGCCCCTGGAGGCGATCATGTAGTTCAGGACGCTGCTGCCGCCCATCACCTTGCCCCTCGGCCACTGGCAGCTGTAGTTCGTCATCCCCAGGCAGTAGCGGTCGGACGGCTCCGACTGGTACTTCCAGTTGATCTCGGAGTTCAGCTGCAGGTAGTTGACCAGCAAGGGCACGTCCATGATGAGGCTCTCGCCCCGACCCGCCTCCACCAGCAGCACGGTCGCATCAGGGATCTCCGACAGCCTGCCGGCCAGGGCCGCCCCCGCGCTGCCTGCCCCGACGATCACGAAGTCGTATTCCGAGAAGGGCAAGGGCGTCGCGTCCGCCGGCTCCTTCGTCTGGTACTCCTGGCCCTGCTGCAGGAAGTCCATCATGCCCGACGTCATCGACGCCAGGTCGCCGATGATCGAGATCGTCTCCATGTCCGGAAGGTACTGCTGCAGCCATTGGCCGTCCGCCGACGCCAGGAGCACCGCCAGACTGATCGACAGCCACGCGAGGCGGCCCATCTCGCCGCGGGGTCCACTTCGTTGCCACGGCAGGAAGCCGATTCTTCTCCGTATATATATGAGAGATTACCGGTCGTCGCTTTAACGTCGTTACGTGCCTTCGGCGACGTGCACGCATCCCCGCCCGGTCGGAATCGAAGCGGCCACGGGGTGGCTCGGCCCCTCGGAACGGGTCGAGGAATCCGATGGGCCTCGGGGGATCCCGGGGGATCCCGGGGGATCCCGGGGGATCCCGGGGGAACCGAATCGTTTTTAACTTTACAACGGGAACGTTTCGCTTTTTATACAAACATTTTCAAATTGTATAGAAACAAGTTTTTTTTTCATTCAAATTTCATGGGGACCGGGACCTTCCTTGTAGTTTCCGTATTCGCGTTGTAAAGTTTTGGTTTGGAGAAAAGTTTCACGAACGAAACATCTTTGATGCCACTTTCGCATCACCTTAAGGATCCTAGATTTTGGTCTCTTGTGCGGCTGCCCCCTGGATTTTTTAACGGGAATGGGTACTCTTGTTCTTAGCGACGATAAGGGGGAAGGTTTCATAGGAGCTTGCGGAATTGTCGTCGAAGAGACGACGTTTCGTGTTCTGCATCTTTGCAATTATTTAATTGGCTTTTATGACTTCTCCGCGAGGAATAGGAATTTCCAGACTTGTATCCCTGTTTGCGACACGTTCCCCGTTTGTTGGGCTAGTGCAGGATTATCGGACCGTATTCCTTGATCGTAATCAATGATTGGAAATGGTCGTCGATGACGGCGCTGGCCCACGTGATCAATTATGCGGTTTATTCCCTGAAAATTCAAGTTCGGATGAACATCGAATTTCGCTTAACCCTTTCCGGGTGAAATTCTTCCGACTCCGTATTTTTGGAATCTTTCTCGACTTTGAATAGATCGTTACCGGTAAATCCGTAAGGTGGAATGATCATTTTCAGATGACGTTTTCTTCCGTTCCGTCGATCCGACGTCCATGCTCCTGGCTCGTTAAATAGCCAGATTGAGTCTTGTTTCCGAAAGATGGACACTAATCGATCGAATGGCTCCTCGTTTCGCGTGAAATGGCAAACATGCGGCGATAGCCGTCGAGATTCGGCCTTTCCATCTCTCGGGGTGCTCGATTGATAAATCCCGGCAGGAATTTTCGGAAAATCACGTTCCGATTTCGAGACGTAGAAGTACCATTTGTTGTTGGATTTGGCCGATTTTTATTCTGAAGATTATTGCTCGGTATACCACTGTCGTCGTGGAGCATTTCATTTTTGTATTAATAATAACGAAGAAAGAATACCTCCTCTGCATTCCATGGGAGCTCGGAAAAAGATTTTCTCGTCGACTTGCTTCTCTAAAATCGCCCTTCCTCGATTCCCTTTCATCGTAAATTAACGTTTCATCCACCTAAACGTTTCTAATGAGATGCTCTATGTAATGGCGAAAACCACGTCGAATCTCGTCCAATGATACTCGAGATTAGCTCGAATGATCGGACGGACAGGTGTCAACACGGGCTTCGTTTTATATTATGCAAAAATTAATTCTACGGTCGTGTTAAGTGCTTTTCTTTCGAAGATACATAAATCCGCGATGCTTTGTGAAAAAGTTTTACGTAAATATTCACGTTAATTTTTTATCCTCAATTTTGTAAGACACTCTTGAAATAAGAAAGAAATTTCATAAACATGAATTCGTGACGATTTCCACGTTTATGAATAATTTATTCAATGTAACCCTATGTTTTCGTGCATTGCCCGACTGTATCGTTCTTTTTTCAACATTCGACTTGTAATTAGATTTGAGAATCGCTTTTGGGATCACTCGTTAACGCTCCATCTTGTGATTTATTACTCCAGGTGAAAAATTCGGGGAAAAATGATCAGACGTCGCGGACACTGATGTTACACGTTTTTGATTAGGTAATCAAAGGACGTCAATGTCGACGTGTATTTGCGGTCGTTTCGAAGAGTCGTTGATTTGTTTTGTTGAAAAGGTCGCCCGATGGTTCTGAAAAAGGAATACCCCTTTCGCATTTGTACTCGCATCGGTGAGCGATCATAAAACGGGTGTATGGTCGTCTATAATTTAGCGCGCCTGCAATCAGAAGATTCGTTGAATGGAATTATGTACGTGTCAACAAGACGTTCCGCGAATTATTTTTCCGCCCACTAATCATTAGTCAAGACAAATGGAAACTAAAGAGTTTCGGATAACGCGTCCCGACCTCATTTTCAGAGAATCGACGGAAAATTGACCGTAACCTGGAGGCACCGTATTATCAGCGATAGAGAATATATAATTACCGGAGAAATGAATTTGAAAAAAGTCATGACTCAAATGGAAACGTTGGTTACATCGAGAAATTGATTTCAACGTTTTGTTATGAGTATATATTGGGATTTTAGGAAATAAGGTAATTTTGTCCTGGTTTGATTTTTATTTTTAATATAACGTATAGAGTTCTTGCATAAGTTCGAGCAAAATTTACTGATATATTTTTCCTTTCTTTTTTTAATATTTTATATACATTTCCTTCTCTCTCACGTAAAAAAAGTTGATTAAACCTGATTTTTGGCTCGGAAAATTATAACGTGTAATTTTCCTTTTTACCCTCCGCTTTAAATAAGTCTCATTAGGTATGAATTTACGATTAATTGAAATAATAAAAAATGTTTTTAATGACATCGACCACTGGTTGCATCATTAGATATGATCAGGCAACATAATATAACACGTGAAGTTTTATCGCATGTATCGGAACAATCATAGCTAATTTTCTTTAATTATTGTACATTATTTTCTTCCGACGAACGAAATTAACGTAACTGGCAGTTGACGTTTGGTTTTTCCTTTCTTCGCTGGACGACCCCGATGTGATACCTCAATTAACAATTTTTTCCCCTCCCGTTTCGAGGAGGAGAAAAACCTAAATACAAACATTCGGTATTAATCACGAAATGATGCCGTAAATGCTGATTATCGGCAAATTCGTATGAATTATGTAAAAAGTGAGTAAACTGCGTCAATATTGAGTCACTGCAAAAAAGTCATCAAAGTAACAATAACGAACTTTATTATATACAAAGAATTACACGATCATTTATTTGCTTATTATCCTTCTACTACGATTTGTTCGCATCGTCCTTATTAATTATACATTAGGTAGAAAATTAATTATCACGATTATATTACATAGCGCAAGTTACAAATAAGGTACTCGTGATCGTTAAATAAAAACACTTAAATACTAACAATTACATTGAACTGCACTTTTGTTGCACAAATGCACGCGCATTTACGGTAACGTAAAATACTAGTGAAAAATTTTATTTAACGGAGATTTTTCCATCTCCTAAATAAACGACTAGTTAGTTAATATTAATACCCCTCTGTTAATGATACACAAATATGTTCTTACTTTCCTTTAATCTCGCATTTCTAAAGTATTAACTTTTACATGTCGACATTTGCATGGTATAAAAAAAATGTTAAATCAGTGATTTCGCGATCGTCACTTGACTGACGTTAATGACGACGCCTTCTAACCGATGCTGCCGTTAAGGTGTTATGAAATGTACATTCTATATGTATGTGTGTGTATGTATATATATATATAAAAACTTCAAAGTTTTTATAAAACTTTTCTCCGAACTGGGTGCGCCGAATAATGTGAAACTTTAACACGTGATTAGAGAGGTCCTAACGAAGGTCTCGAAACTCAAGAAATTTCATTTCTTGATCAATTTTTTTGTTCTCATCCAGGATAAATACATTTTTTTTTGTCAAAAAATGAAATTTCGCGGATTTCAGGATCTTCATTGGAACCTTCATAATCATGCGTTACAGTTTCAAATTATTCAGTGCACCTATTTTGGAGAAAAGTTTTATAAATGTTTTGACTTTTGGTGTATATATTCATACCACCTTAAGATATTTCAGAACGACGCCAGCCTAACACGTTTAATTAAGAAATTGACCCGTGTAATTGAATCACTTTGGGGATCTTTGACGCCATCGCTATCTGAGCGGGGTGCCCAACCAGTCGCTCTTAATGATATCCGCAGCCTTCTCCGCGATCATGACGACCGGAGCATTGGTGTTCCCGCTGCAGATCGTCGGCATGATGGAGGCATCGACGACCCTCAGCCCCTGGACCCCGTAGACCTTCAAGCCCGAGTCGACGACGGCTTCGGGGTCCGTAGAAGGACCCATCTTCGCGGTACCCACGGGATGATAGATGGTCATCGTGATATGCCTGATATGGCACTCCCAGTACGCGTCGCTTCCGAATTTAAGATGCTTGCACCCGGGGATCTTGAGTCTGTGGACCCTGGATCCGAACTGCCGGAAGACCTTCGCCTCGCTGATCTTCATGGCCAACTTCGCCCCCTCGACGAGAGTCCGCATGTCAAAGGGGTCGTCGAAGTAGTTGGCGTCGACGATGGCCTTGTGGAAGGGGTTGGAGCTCTTCAGGGTGACGGTGCCGCGAGATCTGGGGCGCAGCAGGAGCGGCATGATCGTCCAGGTGTCCCTGTTGGCGATGGGCCTATAGACCGCGTCGTAGAGCTCGTTGGTCAGTCCGAGGATCTTCCTCACCTGGACTCCGGCGTCCGAACTGATGGACGCCGGCGCCATGTGCATCTGGATGTCCGGGTAGGACCCGGACCCGTTGGCGAACTTGGTGTTGACGAAGGCGTAGCACTCGACGCCGCCCAGCGTCGTCATGGGCCCTCGTCCGTTGGCCACGTAGTGCAGGGTGACCGGGGCGGCGTGGAACCTGTCCTGGACGATGGACACCGGCTTGTCCACGAGGAACGTCAGGCCGCCCATACCCACGTGGTCCTGCAGGTTCCTGCCAACGGGGAGATCCTTGAGGACCCGGACTCCCACCTGGCGCAGGTGCTCCCTGGGCCCGATCCCCGACAGCATGAGCAGCTGCGCGCTGTTGATGGACCCCGCCGACAGGATCACCTCCTTCCGGGCCCAGACCGTCCGCTGGAGGCCCCCTCGGTGGAACTCCACGGCCATGGCTCGCATGGTGACCGGGTTCACCACCACCCTGGTCGCGAGGGCGTTCATCGCGGTGTGCAGATTCCGGCGCAGCCTCACCGGCCGAAGGAAGGCCTTGGCCGTGGAGCACCTGCTGCCCCTCCGGATGGTGCCCTGCGCGATCATGAATCCGGTCTGGCGCTCGCCGTTGATGTCCCGGTTCTCGTAGCCCAGCTCCATCCCGGCCTCCACGAAAGCCACCGCCAGCGGCGTCTTCCAGGGCGACTCCTGCACCGTCAGGTACCCGCCGGTCCCGTGGTAGGGACTGTTCCGGAGGTAAGGGTTCCGGTTGTCCTCGGACTTCTTGAAGTAATGCAGGACGTCCTCGTAGCCCCAGCCCGGATTGCCCAGAGCCTCCCAGTGGTCGTAGTCGTGTCGGTTTCCTCTGACGTAGAGCATGTAGTTGAGGACGCTGGAGCCGCCCAGGACCCTTCCTCTGGGCCAGTTGCAGCGACCGCCCTTCATCCCCAGGCAAGCTCTGCCCGTTGGCTGCGTCCTGTACATCCAGTCCAGCTTCGTCAGCTGCAGATACGCCGCCAGAGAGGGAACGTCCGTGATCTCGTTCTCATCCGGCCCAGCCTCCAGCAGCAGCACGCTCCATTCGCGGATCTCCGACAACCTGTTCGCCAGGACCGCTCCGGCGGACCCTCCGCCGACTATTACGAAGTCGTACTCCGGGTTTAGGGGGTACTTGTCGATCGGGCGACTCTCCGGGTCCAGCTGGTCGTATCGGTAGTAGGACAGGCCCGCTATCAGCAGCGGGACCAGCCAGAGACCCGTCCCCACGAGGTTGATCGCCCCCTTTAGGGCCGCCGTCACCACCACCGCGTTGAACACCATCTCCGGATGATTTCGGGGGCCTCGGGGTTTTCTTCGCCAGCTCCGACGAGGTGCTTCTGGGTGGCATAATAGAGGGGGGCCCCCCTGCTCTCAGTCCTTCTAACGGGGCAAGAGGATCGTCGCTTTCTCGCGGTTGGTCAATAGCGGCACCGCTACCCCAGGTCTTGCCCGGACGCCCGTCGACGTCCCGTCGACGTCCCGTCGACGTCCCGTCGAAGTAACGCTACGGATTTCGCTCGAGATCCTTCCGTGAGTGAAAAATTAGGCTGACCGGAAATGGGGCTATTCCTCGAGAGTCGTTCTGCCTAGGCGGGTCGTCGAAGTCACGCCTCGCGGTTCGTAAGGAATCGGGCCGATGTCGAAGAAACGAGGCTGACCGGCGACGGGGTCGTTCCACTTCCCTTGTCTGCCCTGCTCGGGTTGCCGAAGTCACGTCTCTCGGTTCCTCGAAACCCTTTTCGTGCTACAAAACAAAGGCACAACTTTATACAATTAGACCTGCAACTTAGAAAATCGTCCATTTTTTTATTGCCAATTTATTTCAGGTAGATATTCGAGATACATTTGAGGTCGACTAAGGTAGCAAGTAGTGTTGGGACGAACCGTGCTCTCGAGTCGATTGCACCTTTTTTCCTTCAACGTCGTCCGCATCCTAAACACGTTTTACCGCCGATGCTAATGTTGTTAACGCATTGCGTAAACTGGACATCGACCAGGAAGTATTTTCCCCTGCAACAAAGAAATTGTACACGCCTTATATAACAAAGGAATTAAAATCGACTGCAAAAGCCTTTGTAAATTTCCTTTTTTTTAGGACAAGGAAATTTCTTGACAAGAACTTTGGATCGCGTAATCGGTGCAATGCCGGGAAGAGAAAGTGTATAGAATTTTAATCGTGACCGAAATCGTAGCTTCTTCTTCGGAAAAATGTACGATGCTCGTCCACGAAACTTTTCTTCGGGAAATCCGACGTCGAAAACTTCCTCCCAAAAAATCTAATTTTCGGGGAACTCTGCACCGAAAACGGTCATTCTTTCGTTGCATTTGTGAATCAATTCGGATACCCTCGCGCATAACGACGTGCTAATCGAAAGTAGGTTTTCGAGTCCCCACGTGGCTGGAACTCGAAAACGTCCGTGACACTTTTCCAAAGACGGTTCCTCGATTCCCATTCCACCTATTCGATAGAAAATAAAAACCGGGACGAGCCGCGAAAATTTTGTCCGATTTTCCCATTCCTTCGAGATGGGAACGTGCGACAATTCTTTCGCGGCGCTCTAACGCTGACGCGGATAACTTTATCCGTGACAAATTTAAACCATGCGAGTCGTTACATGCACTTGCATCTTACTGGAATGAAATCAGCACCGAGCAGAAAAGAAAACGAGACAAAAGGGACCGTTGCGTTTTGCTTCTTGGAATAATGTCCAATTAGCTAATCGTAGAGAGACTTCGAGTACTTTCTAACTGTAAGAGAGAAATATTAAAAATCCGGAACGGACAACGTTAATTAATGAATTTAAATGAATTTATTTGGCACGATGAATTTATTCGACAAGCCCTTTCTCCGGTCGTACTAAATCTTTAAACCGAAATTCGAAATTCCACTTGGTTGTAATCGATCCCTTCCTGGATTTGAATTTCACGCGCGATGACAACTTTAACGACACCGACGACGGAGTCGGACGACCGCTAATTGGATTTCTAATTGGCTCTAGATATTATCTTCGAAAATTCCCCGGTGAGGAAAATACTGCTCCATCGTCCATTGCTCGGAATTTCCGGTATACCGTAATTTCAAATTTCATTTCCATCATTTCCAAGGTTAATAATCAATTCGGTAATAAAAATGACGGATAAACGGACGTACTCGTTCGGAATGAAAACTATCGATTTCTAACCTCGAGAAAGAAACGAGAGTCACGCGGTAAATCGCGCCGATTACTCGTCCGATTTTTCCCGAGAAAGTAAGCGTGCTCCCATAAAGGAAGTTCGCTCCTCAGGTTCAGGTTCAACGAAACCGCGGTCGGCGATTCGGCTCTCTCAGGGAAAGTTCCATCCCTTTCTCCTGGCGGTGCTCCGCACCGATCTCTGCCTCCGAATGGACGAAGAGAGAAGAGAGAGAGAGAGAGAGAGAGGAATGCCGACTCCTCCTTGTTCTCCGACTTTGACACGAAATTCCCTCGCGGCACCATGTCAAGACGAGTCACTTCCCTTAGAGGTGACGAGAAAGTCCTGTTTTACCGACCGACCATAAAAGGGCGAGAAAATGGATATAACAAAAGTAAACGAATAAATAGACGAGGAGTACGCCGACGTATTGCACGAGACTCGAAGTTATGAAAAAAGTAGAATATAATAAATCGGACATGTCAGCGCGCTAATGATGGACAATTGGCCCGATTAAAAATAAATGAAGTAAAAATGAAAACGAGAAGATCGCACGTTATTGAGGAATAATTTCTTTTACTATTGAATCCAACTATCACCCCGAGGAAAACATGTGATCGAATCAAAGAAATATTTAGTTCATTCAAAGAATACTTATTTGACTAAAATAAGTTCGAATAAATTGGATGCAGTATTTCCTCGGAGTTATGACAATTTTTGAGTTTATTTGAGGCATATAATTATTTCTTGAATTAAGAAAATATTTTTTTTGGTTCAAGGAATTCTTTTCTCAGGGTGGGTACACTACTTTTTTTGGTCGAATATATAACGCGCGATTAAATTAGAAATGAAATTATTGCGCGCTTCGGGATTATTAAGAAACGTCATTATCGAATAAGGATGCCGAATCCGTGAAGGAATACGTCGTCTTTTTGAGACGCCTGAATAACGCGCAATATTAATGTCTGCCATTATTATATTAATGGCCTAGTGATTGCGGCAAATTGGTACTTTTGTGGTGCGGTAACGATCGCTACCTTTTTGCGCCCACGTGTCCGGAATGTTCCGTTTCTTTCCAGCCACATGAGAGCGACGTGTGTCGTTACATATTTCACCGAGCGCAATTGATTTTAACCGTTATCGAAGTGTTACATCGGTACGCGACTGCGGTTATTCGACAAACGTCATAAAGGTGAAAGCTCCCTTTTTCCTAGTTTTAATATTTTCCATTACAAGTGTTCATTTTCGGAATTCACCACGTCCGTGATTTTACTATAATTTTCCTCGATGCAGATCGGTCACGCAGGAGAACGTTTTCTAATAAAAACGAAAGTTCTAACCTCGACGGCCCCCATTTTGTCGTAAACCAACGCCATCAGGAAAGCGTCTCTTGAATATTTATGAAAAACCTGGACCGACTGGGCTAACGATATCACGCAAGAAAGTATAAAATGTACGCATAAATAGAAGACGCTAAACGTAAAATAATTCATGCCGATATCTATTAAATATTTCCCTAATTAAAAATGACACTCGAAGGAGTGAAATTGCGATGGTGATTTACGTCGTCTTTGTGGTTTTATTTCCGTTTTTCCCTCCCATATCCCGGAAAATGACGTTAATATTCCGCCGTGAAATCGCCGTTAATATTTGAAAGAAAGAGGAAATACTTGCCCCCGTTTTACCCTCGCCAATATTAGTAGCTCACGGTGCACGATTACACGCGCGTAATAGCGTGTAAGTACTTCGAAAGTCGTCATTTTAGAGCCCAATAATTGGATGGTTTTTATTTTATTTTCATGAATATTCTTCGAATAAATTTGTGCAAAATACGATGTTTAATCATGGGAATATTTAGAATTCGGCTATAAATGTTCCGTACGTTTATATTAATATATTATGCATTTTTTAAAAGAATTTATTATCGAAGTGAGCTTATTAAATTTAATGATTCGAATTTATGTCCTCGCAGTCGGTTTATTTAGGTCGATTGTCTATAGACGTCGATACGTTACGTTAAGCCGTAATGCGATCCATTCATAATTTCAGAAAGTATCTCCAGTACCTTCTCGATTACGTTTCACCGAGTAATAAGCAAGCTGACACCTTTTGTCGTGACGAATTGCGAGTGTACGCGATTCCTCCGGCCGCTGAAATTCTACCCGATTACAACACGTAATTAATGCCTACGAGAAATGTTTCCACATTTTCTTCTTGGGGAGCTTAGATGTACCCTTAAATCTTTATAAACATTTGTAAAACGGTAAGGCCGTAAACTCCCATTTTACTGATTTCGCTTTAAAAAGGTCGAAAAAAATGCTCCGTATCGTTTGATTTCCCGCCTCGTTAAAATAAATTCTTACATTAAATTACGAGTTACTCTACGAGTTTATTATTTTATTTTCTTGTTTGTTAATATTCATAAGCTAACATCGTTCGCAGGCCTCTCTCCTCGGTAATTTCAGCTGGTCAAAAAATCTCGGTAACACCGGGACAGTCGGATGTTGAATTTTCTTTTGCTGTAGTTACATTGTACGTCGTTGTTTATATTTAAAATGCATGAGCAAAAACTGGATGAACGAGTAGTAAATAAAAATGTAAAAGAGGAAGTGCCGCGTTTCCGAGAGGACGAGACAATTCGATATTATCTCGTTACGGATAAGAGGGAAAGCGCGCGCTTCTTCCTCTCATAAATATGTATAACAAGAGGAAGAATCCGTATTCGATCTAAGCGGAAGATTTCCCATAAGGCTGTTTCGTAATCGAAGTCAGAAGACAACGAATGCCCGCAGCGTAGCCTGCTCGTTTTTCTCCCGTTTCCTTTTTTTACTCTCGTTGAGTTATTACCACGATATACTGTTACCCATAAATAGGGCAAATGGCCGGAAAAACTCAACTGTTACGAACTCTCGATTAAGTTAATTTCATCGATCCGGTAAAACGTTACCCGTGCTTTCATCCTTTTGGAAGCGAATACATGGACTAGGAAATAATTATCCGAGAAAAATCTGCTAGTTTATATTTGAATCGATGGACGTACCACGTGACTCGTCCGGCGCCGCCATCTTGTTTTTCTCAGTCCGATATGCGGTAACTCGAAATATCACTTTTCATCGTAGTTCGTTAACGGTCAGATATTAAAAGTCCAGTCGAGGTCTCTCGATAACTCGAGTGAACAACCGAAGCAAATATTTACGCGACAAACGACGCGAGATTTTTCAAATATTCGCGTCATTTATGTATATTTTTGTCATTTTAACGAACGACTCGCGACAAATCATCGCTCTAATCTTGCAGATTTTTATTTGACGTTACTTAGCGGTTTGCTTTTTCGATATATATAAATGTCACGAAATTTTACCAAATGCCTCGCGATCGATCATCCCTGACGACCCTTAATCGTTCGGTAATTATAGTTAATATTTATTTATTATCACTAACCCGCAAAACCTGTGATCGAAATCACGCGGCATCCCCCGGAGAGTATCTCTCGATGCACCTCACTTCCGACGCACTTTCGGCGCACTTTCGGCGCACTTTCGGCGCACTTCCGGTGAAACGTGGTGCACCGTCTTGACGCGTTAATTGTCACTCCTCCTTTCCGACGTCTTCTTTGACGGTCTTCGGCACCGTCGGGCGGCGCAGTGGCACCAGCCGCGGCGGAGTCCTTGATCGAGTCTCCTTTCACGGTCCTCGGAGTCCTTCTCCTCGGAGTTTGGCAGAGAAAGTGGCGGAGTTGGCCGCGGAGTCGGCGATGCGCGAACCTAAGGCCGCTCGGACGGCGACTCTTCGGGGCTCTAATTGTAAGTGAGCCGAATTAGCGGATTAGCGAGCTCGAAGGCGTCGGGATCCCGAGGAGAGGAGGTCCACGACGAAACGCGGCCTGCCTTCTGCCGAGTATCGGTCTGAATTTCTTTTCGAGGACTACGATGACTCGCAGTCATGGTTTGGTGGTGAAAGTACTTTCCACTTGTGTACACTTCCTGCCCGCACCTATTCTCCGCGATGTGGTAACCGCGTCCGCACGCACGTCCAAGGCCGGGAGCTTCCGGGTCCCTCGAAATTTCCCTCGAAACGTCCTTGCCGACATTCCTTGCTTTTTATCGGAGACTTCACGTTTACATTTTTTATATTTTTTATATTTTTTATACCGTTTCTTTAGATTTTGGGGATTCAAAGTACAATTATTTCACTCGAATGAACTCAAATCAATTTTCATAACGTCGAGGAAACTTTGCATTTAATTTATTCGAGATTACTTGAGTCGAGAATTCAATTGTTCTTTGAATTAAAAAAATATATATTTCTTTGGGACCATTCGAAGAGATATTTCTTGGTTCGGTGATATTTTTCTAATGGTGTTATAAGGACATCTCGAAAGATGTCCTTTCAGCAAATTTCATCGCTTTTCGTTACAGGCATGAAATATAAATCTTGTTCCAAGCTGCAGCTCGTGTGTAAGGTGGGCAGCGAGGAGAGGTTATGTCGTTTTGGTAACGGTATACGGTTTAAATAATTGTTTTTTATCTTTATATTTCTTTGTGCCGTCTTAACAAGGGAAAGCGCGTTCGCGGGGAAAATGTCGCAAATCTGTCTAAACGAAGGCCTCCGGCATATTATTTTAACCCTCTTCTGCAATTAGGAGTCGTCGACGAGAAATTTCCTCCTCTTTAGAGAATATTTAAATGTCGATTTACCGGAACAATTTAGTTCGTAAGGAAAGTCCGGAAAAACATTTTCCTGGCGATCGGACGTCGCTTCGTGCGGTATCGCAACCGGTATTGAACATGGTATTAAAACTTATATAATTTGTAGCACCGGAATACCGGCGTTACGGCACTCCGTGTATGGACGGGGACAGGAAGGGAAATGGAATATTTATCCCGCGAAAAAGTAGAAAAAAGAGACGTCCTAAGAGGCGGATAAAATTCCCCTTTCTCCCTCGAGCGCTCTCTTCATTCGTTTTTGCTTTCCTTACGATCTTGACGAAGAATGCAAGGAACGTTCTTTCTATTTTCTTGGAGAGAAATGATAACAGATATTTTTATTTCAAATATTTTGGCACTCCAATCGAGAGTGAAACATATATATATATATATACGATTCTTTAATTTCTCTCGATAATCCGAATTGTTCTCGGTCCTTTATACTTAGGCTAAATTAAGCGCCCTCTCCATCGGAATCTTAAGTTAACGTAACCTAAATTAATTATGTATAAAAATATAATTCTCACATAAACGTTATTCTTTGATATTTTATCGTCTTATTTCGATGGTTCGGAATTTTTTTTACTGCTTCAATTATCGTAAGGTTAATATTTAAATAAACTAAAATATTGTATATACGCGAAAATCAGTTTGGTCGAAAACGTCTATAACGAGCTATTTTACGCATTGCTGGGAAATTAGTAGATTAAAAATGTACAAACATTTATGATCACGCGATAAATCTTTGCCATTCTCTCGAGTCGACCGATTCGACGGTTGCGTATTTTTCTAATTAAACAAATGATCTATTTAATTATTGAAACATCTAAATCCGGTGAGGCCATGGCTCGGTCCGTCAAGCCAGAGAATGATATTTCATTACGCCGAAAAAAGGAAAGCTCCACGTTTTCGTCCGTTCGTCATCTTCCGGTAGTCCGCTTCTTGTACCTCCAGTCCTCCTTGATCATATCGCTCGCCTTCTCGGCGATCATAATCGTAGGAGCATTAGGATTCCCGCTAACGATCTGCGGCATGATCGACGCATCCACGACCCTGAGGCCCTTGACGCCGTACACCCTTAACCGAGGATCCACCACGGCCGAAGCATCGCCGGAAGGGCCCATTTTGCACGTCCCGGTGGGATGATAAATAGTGAAGGTGAAATGCCTGATGGCGCACTCCCAGTACTCGTAGGTACCAAAGGGATGATGCTGACACCCGGGCATGGGGATGGCGAGAGGCCTGGACCCGAACCTCTTAAAGGCCGTGGTGTTGGAGACCGCCATGGCGATGCGGATTCCCTCGACTAGGATGTCGATGTCCTCCTTGTGCGTGAAATAATTAGGGACGATCTCGGGATACATCAGGGGATCCTTGCTCCTGAGCTTGACCCACCCCGAGCTCTTCGGCCTCAGCAGAAGGGGCAGGATGGTCCAGGTCTCCGCGTTCACCAGGGGCTTGTACATGGTGTTGTAGACCCGGTCCCTGAGTGCCAGGATCTTCCTGATGTGGTCCCCGCCGTCCGAATTGATGGAGCTGGGAGCAAAGTGGAACTGAACGTCGGGGTAATCCACGTTCCTGTCGGCGTACTTGGAGTTGACGAAGGCGAGACCCTCCACGCCGGGGGAGGTCATGGGACCCCGCTCGTTCAGGATGTACTCCAGGGTGACGGGGAGGGTCTGGAAGCGATCCTTGCGCAGGGAGACCGGCTCGTCCACGAGGAAGGTCAGGCCGCCCAGGCCGACGTGGTCCTGCAGGTTGTGGCCCACCTTCAGGTCCGAGATCACCGGGATCCCGTGCTCCGCGAGGTGCTCCTTGGGCCCCACCCCCGACAGCATCAGCAGCTGCGGGGACCCTATAGATCCCGAGGACAGAACGATCTCCCTTCTCACCCGGACCGTCCTCCGCTGGCCGTCTTTTAGGTACTCCACCCCGATCGCTCGCTTGTCCGCGTTGAAGATGACCCTGAGGACCTGCGACCGCATCGCGATGTGGAGGTTCTTCCTGTTTTTTACCGGTCTGAGGAACGCCTTCGCCGTCGAGCAGCGACTGCCTCTTCGGATGGTCCCTTGGGCCAGCATGAACCCGGTCTGGTTGGCGCCGTTCAGGTCTCCGTTCGCGTATCCTAATTCGATCCCTGCCTGGACGAAGGCCAACGAGAGGGGCGTTCTCCAGGGTGCCTCCTGCACCGTCAGGTAACCTCCCGTCCCGTGATAAGGAGTCCTCGCCAGGTACGGGTTCCTGTTGTCCTCGGATTTCAGGAAGTAGGGCAGCACCTCCTCGTAACTCCAGCCGGTGTTTCCCAAACGGGCCCAGGTGTCGTAGTCCAACCTGGAAGCCGACGTTTCGTTATCGTTTCCCTTGCTTCCTACGAAATTCCCGGGACTGTCCGAAGGTTTTGGAAAGCGATATGCGAGATTCGTAAGGATCGTCCACTGTAGAAAGTTTGGAATACGTGCCGAACTTTGAGTCTTCCGGGAGTGGACCTTTCGGGAATTGCGAAACCGCATAAGCGAGTTTTTGAGCTCGTCGAGAGGTATCCGTTACGTAAGGCTCGACGGTCGGGAGACCGTTGCCATGATTTAATTCGCGATCGGGTCTCGTCTCTCCCCGTGGACGTTCTCTCGTTATAAAATGCCAACGATACCGGTCGTTGCCGCATCAAAAATTGTTAGAAATTCCCTTCTGGAATTCGCCGACGTTCCCGGGCGGAGAAGAATTTTGTCGAAAATTTACCTATTGCCACGGATGTAAATCATGGCGTTCAGGACGCTGCTGCCTCCGAGGACCTTTCCTCGAGGCCAGTTGCACCTGTCCCCCACCATAGCCAGGCAATACGCGGACGAAGTTGGCGGCGCGGTTTGATATTTCCAGTCGAATTCGGAAAGCTGCATGTATCCCGCCAAGGCAGGCACGTCCGACACTTCGTTCTCGTCGCCTCCTGCTTCCAGGAGCAACACCGTCCATTCCTCCACTTCGGAAAGTCTCGACGCGAGGACCGCTCCTGCACTGCCTCCTCCGATCACTATGAAATCGTACATGCGGAGCAGCTGTGGGGAAAAACGAAACGGTCAATTTAATCGAAAATCGAGGAGGACCCGAACGGGATTAGAGACCTGCATAACGTTACGAAATCGTCAGACGGAGCGAGAACAAACGAATTAACGGGTAGGGGAAAAGTGGAACGCGATGGCGATCTCGGTGAGATTCTACGCTCGAGAAGGGACACCGAAACAATGGGAATATTCCTCCTCGTCTTCCTTTGACGATGGGATGCTTTGACCGTTCGAAAGGAGTTACGTAAAAGATTATTAATGATTTTAAAAAATCTCACCTCTCGGAACACGGTAGTAAACTGAAATATCTTTCGAGTTATTTTGTAAAAGAAAACCTGACTTTCGAACATCGGAGTCATCCGAAAATGGTCGCCAATAAATTCGATGACACTTTCTCTAGCCTATCGATGTTTCGCTTCGCCTTCGTCGGATCGGGCGATCGTTAAGAAATCCTGGATTACCTTGGTAGCATCGCTTGGATGCGATTCCGGATCCACCGCGTTGTACCGGAAGTACGTCAGACCGATCATTACCAAGGGCACCAAACTCCATCCAAGGAACGAGGTAGGCAGCATCAACCCGGCGAATCCGATTGGCATTTTTCTTCGATCCGCGAACAACTAAATTCATCGAATCTTGGACATCCCCTGCTTGTTCGAGTGGGACGTTAAATCGCTTTTCTAAAGGAACGCTGCAAAAGTTAACGACATCGTTACTCGGGTGTTTTTAGGTGAAGGACTCGTTGCGAAGCTTTCCGGAATGTCTCTCCAGGCGAATTGCATTTTAATCGCACCTTGAGCAATTGCATTTCCAGGTACGAAACGTTATCACGTTTACCTTGATTTTTCGTACCTATGACTACGTAGATCCATAGGAATCGGTAGAAACATGGAAATCGTCTCCATTCGACTCTCCGAAATGTCAAGGTTTTAGATTTCGCCAGCGATTCTCCATCTGTGGACAAGAAAAGTGAAATAAAGAAATTTGTCGGTGAATAAATACTTGATAAGACCGGACGCGTTCGATCGATTGATCGATTATACTTCGTCGATCCCCTTGTTCGAGTTCGTTGGTTTTCACGTTCACACGAGGGCGTTAACGCTTTCTTGCAGATTATTAAAAGAATAATTTTCTTGCACGTGCAAACGTATCCGTGTCACGAGATCAAATTTCCCGCGGTTTACCGACTAGAAAGCTGCTTCTCCCTCGCGGTTTCACCGCCAGGTTTAATTCGTTGAAACCCTTGACCCTGGAAAATCTAATTGTATATAAAGACACCAAATGCGAATCTCGACTCGAAAAGACAATTACCATCCTTCGACTCTTCGATATTATCTTCGATCGATATATTAAAATCCAAATGCCCGCTGCGATGACCAAACCGCTTCCATGTATTATACATTTTTAACACGGACCGTTGCCCAAATTCCCATAATCGAAGCGATCACCTATTTACGCGTCTCCCCAACGGAAGTTGGTATTTTATCCCGAACGATGATCGATAGCCGAACGGTATTTACGTTTGCTTACTCCGTGGTCGCCGACAGCGCCATCTGCGGTGACTCTCCTCAGAGTTTCGCGAACCGTCGCCTGCTTCGCTCCGAGCACTCACTTTTCCGCATCTATCGGTCAAATTTCTAAATATATATATACGTAAATATTCCCTCCCTTCCTCGGAGCGTGGCCCAGGACGAATTACGGCGACAGCCGGCGAACTTAACTGGCCGCCTAATGCGAGAACAGTTGGACGAGTCCTTCGTCTCTTCGGTGAATGCTAAGAGTGAAAACCGGTCGGCCCCCACCTCGGACTTTCCTCACCAACTTCTCTCTCGACACGCAAACGTAACCGGGTTAACCCTGCACCGTGCGTTCGCTGCACGGGAACAATCGCCCAGAGGACCCTAGAAATAATTAAGGTGAAGTGAAACATCCTTCAAATCAGTCGATTCGAATACAACACTTTTTTTTAAGGGTATTAGACCAAACTGTCCGAAACTTTGACACATTACTCCTGATCATCTAATTGTCCTGACACATTCAAAATTTGGATTTTTCAAAAAAATTTTTTAACTCAGTCCAGACCAGAATTAAAATGGCGTCAAGCCCTGATATTTCGATCGATATACAATTATCGAAGGCTCTGATATGAGAATCGAAAGGGTCAGGACAATTTTACGACAATTTAGAACACTTTGGTAATCGATAAACTCGCATTTGAACGGGATAAAGGCAAAAAAAGTGTTGTATGCGCTTCTTTGCTAAAACGATGGGAATACGAGGTCTCGGAGTGAAAATTTAATTGACCTGGAAATCACAGATGGCGCAGAGGGTCCCTCCGCAGTCAATTAGGGCCCCAGAAGGCACGAATCCAGAGGATTTCTAGAGTTTCACTTCGATTTCTTTATAATTATTGTACGAAAACGACAGGTGGAATATGCCATTTGGTACAATACCCAATATAATTCGACCCAGTTGTCAATATAAAAACGAACGTCGGCAACGTAGGCATTTAGAAAAATCTTTATCGACGTTGATCAAGTTCCTCGACGTGTTTCACTTCACTTTAACTAGCCAGAAAAATTCCACCCCGCCTCGATTGTAGACATTTTCTCACTTTTCGACTTTTATCCAGGAATTTCCATTTTAAATTGTACGCGGTTAACTGTACGAATTTTTATCTTTACGTATTTTCTAGCTCGAAATTTTTATTTTAAAAACTACGAATTCGGAAGCAAAAGGCGAAAGAGGTTTTTTTATTTTTGCGACTTTGTTCCCGAAAAGTTGTATCGAACGCCCTAGTGATTTGGCGCGAAACTGTCCGGAGGTTTAAATTACTTCGTCGTTTAAAAAACGATCTTCGAAACGAAGTTTGCAGCTGAAAAGCATTTCTAATTAATTTTGCTTAGTTTTGCTCGTTGAAAATAGCGGAGCGATATATTTCACGACGGTGGGTGACGAATCCGGGTCGGAATCCTCGAAGTGGGTCGGAAACGAAGAAAGCGTCGATCTCTCGTGGTTTTCGATTTCCTATCGAGCAAAGTCGCGTGCGAGTGCTCCCGTGTACGTGCGCGCACGCGCACGCGACCTCCCTCACGGAGACGCGCGATTCGCCGGTTCTTTCGGCCGCGCTTAAGGTGATACGAAATGGTTATTCTGTATATATAAAACGTTAAAAAATATTGAAATTATTTGCCGAATGATTTGAAACTTCGGCTCGTGATTCCGGAGGCCCAAAGAAAGAACGCGAAGTTCATGCAATTTCATTTTTAGAAAGAAAATATGGACCCAAAAAATGGAAAAAATGTGCATTTATAAAATGGAATTAATTTTAACAGGTTACGTAACCTCTTTAACCCGTTTGGAAAATGTTAGCAACTTGAGACGAGTTCCAGGGAACGCCGATGTACCGTGGAACTCGACCGATTCGGGGACCGCTCGGCTTAATGGACGCTGGCGCAAGTTCCAAGGAACTGCAATTTCCCTGACGAAATTCTTCGTCACTTTCTCTGAGAATGGTCTTTTGGAAATATCGGAATGGGTTAGCGCTGCCCGCGTGACACGCGAGTCTCGTAAAAGCTCAAATGTTACGCAACGCGTGTCGTCGGTGAAATTAACTTTCATTCACGGAATGGAAGATTGATGTACGAACCTAACCTCAACGCGCCGAACGCTAGAGGCGACTCCGCCCATTTCTGTTACACCGAGGAATCCTCCACGTGATAAAGACATTTTGCAAGTCGTTTTAATTTTTATCTCAATGATCACCACTCCAATTTTTCGGACGGGCCAAAAGGTTAAGATTCGTAGTAGAAAAATAGTTTTATTCACATTTTGAAAAGCGGCAACGGCGTGAACCCGTAATAAGCTTCGTGGAGCTTCGTTGCTCCAATTTATGTTACATTACATTGCCCTTTTTTATTCTTACTAAGAAGTCTCCGCCGGCCTCTATCGCATTTTTTCATTTCGCTTAACTTAATTCTGCACTTCGCGGTGCGCTTAAAATTGCGAATGTATAATTTCGATGCCAAATTCTATTGCGCGATATAAAATTGAAAATACTTAAGCAGCTCCCTGGTCAGCCGATTTGAACGATACATCAGCTGTTTATTAACGCGATTACAATAATCCATCCTATTTACAAACTGCCTTTCTACATAGTAGGAACTAATAAATACTATCGGAATCGATATCTCTAAATAAAATAATATCGCTAGATGAAATACTCTACCGCATTTGGTTTTACAACAAAAAATCTCGCGAATCCTGGAACGTGGCTCCGGATTTGTACCATTTGCCTGGAATGTTTGCCATTCACATTATCGCTACACATTTTAGAGCCGATTACAACATTACTCCCTGAACTACTCGAACTAGTTTGGCCCATTTTTCCCCGAAGCTCGTATAAATTATTTCTCTAAAAATTTAATTACGAGTGAGCCTTACAAATAATTATTACCCTCGAATAACTTATTTTATCCCCGCGTAAAAAAATATTTACTCGAGTACTCTTCTCAGGATACATGAAAATTTCCTGACACGAAATGATCGTTAAAAATAATATCTTTTAAATTATTCATCCGCCGCATAGCCTCGTTTTATGTTATTTCTTTACAAGTTGGGGCTTTTTGCGAGTAATTATCGGGTGGTGGAAATTAGTTTTGTACATCCCGATTATGGCACCTGTTGCCAGTATAGGTGAGACACCGCAATACCGCAACATCTTAAAATAATTTTAAATTACGCTAAAGTTAATATTAATTAACCACATCGAAATGTTGTTCCGTTCAACCTTTATAGAACAATTTCCTTGGGTAATCGTATATCAACAGGGATCGATCATCGACCGATAACCAATCGTAATTATCAATAACATTCGATCCTTTGTCAGAATTCACAGCAGGATCATTATCCCCGCCGATGACACCGATCATGACGAAGGTATTCAACCCCCTAGCTATTATATTATCGTCATCGTAGTCGTTGTCGTTGTTGTTGTTGTCGTTACTCGATGACGCGTTACGTCAAAGGCGCGATCTTAAATCCCCAGTCCTTCTTAATAATATCCGACCCCTTCTCGGCGATCATCATAACGGGGGCGTTGATATTTCCGCTGGTAATCCTGGGCATGACGGAGGCATCCATCACCCTGAGCCCCGAAACTCCGTAGACCTTCAACGAAGGATCCACCACCGCCATGGGATCGGTCGAGGGTCCCATCTTCGCGGTGCAGCTCATGTGATAAATGGTCATGGTGTACTGCCTAATGGCGCAATTCCAGTACTCGTCGGTGTACCTGGGAATGTGCTTGCAATTAGGGAGCGGCTTGTCGTGGAACCTGGCGCCGAACCTCCTCATGGTGGAGGTCTCCCCGAACGCGATGGCGGCCTTGACGCCCTCCCTCAGGACGTCCACGTCGTCGGGATGGGTCAGATAATTGTGCACCATCACCGGATGCTCCAGCGGATTCTTGGACTGGAGTCGAACGTAGCCCCGGGACTTGGGCCGCAGCATCATCGGGAACACCCCGAAGACGTCTCTGTTGTTGATCTTCCCGAAGACCTCGTTGTAGAATTCGTCGGTCAGCCCGTGGGCGTTCTTCACGTGGGTCCCCCCGTCGGAGTTGGTGGACGAGGAGGTCAACATGAACTCGATGTCCGGCCAGTCGTCCGTCCTGTTGGCGTACTTGGTGGAAATGAAGGCCACGGCCTCCAGGCCGACGCTGGACGTCAGAGGTCCGTCCTCGGTGATGGCGTACCTCAGGGCCGAGTTCATGTTCACCAGCCGGTTCATCACGATGCTGATCTCGTAGTCTATCAGGAAGGCCAGGCCCCCGACGGCGATGTGGTCCTGCAGGTTCTGGCCCACCCCCGGAGAGTCGTAGACGACTTCCACGCCCACCTCTTCGAGGTGCTCCCGCGGTCCCACCCCGGACAGCATCAGCAGCTGCGGGGTGTTGATGGCCCCCGCCGTCAGGATCACCTCCTTCCTCGCCAGGACTCTCTCCTTGCGACCCTCTCGGACGAACTCCACCCCGTAGGCCCTCTTCGTCTTCGGGTCGATCAGCACCCTCGTCGCGTGCGACCAGAGGGAGAGGTGCAGGTTCCTTCGCAGCTGCACCGGCCTGACGAAGGCCTTCGCCGCGCTGCACCTGGTCCCCCTTCTCATGGTGTACTGGTAGAAGGCGAACCCCGTTTGCTGGGCGCCGTTCACGTCCACGATGTCGTAGCCCATCTCCTCCCCGGCTTGTAGGAACGCCACCCCCAGGGGGGTGTTGTACGGTGCGTCTTGGACCGTCATGTATCCACCTGAAAAATCTTTTCCTTTAACGAAGGAAATCTAAACATTTTTATGCCGACCTCGATTTTCCAACTCAACAGAAAAATGCTCTCCGATGTAGGCGTTTCCGACAATTCCAGGGTACTGGGTTAAAGGACAACCAAGTCGATGCTCGGTCCGGGGGAAATGGACGGAAATCTCGATCGGTATTTAGAAGCGTGTCTCCGTTCAAGCCGTATTCTAATTTGTCCTTCGGAACTCGTTGCACGAGAAATTACCCGATCATGAGTGGCCGTCGTGTACCCGGCAATTAGAGAGCGTGGTCTCGGATAGGGCCTCGTAACCTTATGACTTCCATTGGATATGGTTAGAAGGCAACGAGATCGGTCGATAGGTTCCCAAAGTTCGATTCAATCAAAAAGAAGCACTCGAAAAATTCGAATATGTTATTTCGAAGCGTCCTAAAGTTATTATTACCGTAAGTCGCCTCCATTACCTCGTAACCTCCAATTATAAAACATGTAATATCTATATTTATAAACGTAAACCAAGTTAATCGGCAGCGTCCCAAAAAAAGAAACTAGAAATCACGCCTGGCACCACAATGGCCTTGATTACCGGTAGTTCCCAAGTCCCTGGTAATTAGAGCAGGTTCCCGGAAAGTGCTCTATAACCTCCGATTGTGTAATTCGAAAGGTCCTTCCTTGTTTTCGGTACTTAACGACGTAAGAAGGTGCGCTCTCTTCTCCAAAGAGAAAATCAAAACGAACGAACGGAAGATTAATTCGTAAAAGCCCAAACTCTCTGTATTTCATGAATTAAAAAGAGACTTTTTCCCTCGATTAATCCGCATGATCGGATTCTAAGTGGCTGCAAAGTCTATACGATAACTGGAGCGTGTCCGTTGCCGCGAGTCCTAGGAAAATGTCCTTTAATCCCGGCTCGCGATGCTTCTAAAAAAATTCCTCCGACAAAGTCCGTGTACCGGGGTATGTAGAACAACGTTCATAAATGACGTTATATATTAATAGGGACTTTGCACAATCCGACCGTATAGATCTTAAAGGTTAGAAGGTAATCGGAGCAAACGTTTAAAGACTACCCTGAACTATTAAAATATTTCTTATTTATGCGAGTTTAAAAAATGAACGATCGTACCTGTACCGTGATATTTAGCGTTGGCAGCCAAATATGGATTCCTTTGGTCCTCGGATTTCTTAAAATACGGGAGAACGTCCTCGAATCCCCAGCCAGGGTTCCCAAGACTTTCCCATAAATCGAAGTCCCTTCGATTACCTCTGATATAGAGCATCGTGTTCAAAACGCTCGATCCGCCGAGAACCTAAAACAACGTCGATATTTTTCATCGAGTGAAACAAAGTGCCGGCAAGAAATTTTACAAACGTGAAAACGCTTGACAATGGGCCGGCAAAATTGTTCTCCAGAAACATTTTTATTACATTGACAAAAAAAAAATAATGTTCTTTTCTTGCGACAATAAATAATATATCGCTCGTTCGTTCGAATAGGGACAGGAATTTGTTGACCGTTGCAGCAAATTCTGATTGGTAATTTGGTAAGCGTTTTTTTTTTTTTTTTTCAAAGAGAGTTCTCCAATGGTTACATCTACGATTCGATGGAATTGCAAAGGTTTTAGGGGTAGGTGCGATTATTTTATAATATATAATAGGAAGAGCAAACTCGTGGAAACGTCTTCTTTCCCGTGTACTCTCTTTGAGACTCCTCACCTTTCCTCTGGTCCAGCAGCACCTGCGATCGACCATTGCTTGACACGCGGAATCCTGCGGCTGCGACCTGTATTTCCAGTCCAGTTTGCTCTTGTGCAGGTAAAGAGAGAGTATGGGCACGTCGGTAATTTCGGTCTCGTGGCCTCCGGCCTCCAGAAGCAGGACCGACCATCTCGGGTTTTCGGTCAACCTGTTCACCGCGATGCTCCCCGCCGTTCCACCCCCCACGACGACGAAGTCGTACTCCTTGCGCAATTCCTTCGTCACCCGGGGGTGGTTCTCGGGGTCCATTAGATCGTAATTGTAATAAGCCAAGGCCGCGATCAGCGTCGGGACGAACGTGATCTTCCCTAGACCCAGAAGCAGAGTGGCCGCCTTTATGGCGCCGCCCACCACCGCCACTACCCCCGTCATTCTCCTTCGCCCTCTCTTATTTTAGGAATTTGGACGTTAAACGATTTTCCGATATCCTCCAGCCTCCGGATTCGTCACCCGAGGGCATCGGGACCCTCCCTAAATTTCCACTCGCTCGGAAGCATTTTCCGTTTTTATCGTCAAAAGTGGACCATCCCTCTGCCGATGCGTCTTGATTTCTGTTTCTTAATTTTTTAATTTTCACGCTTTCGTGGGGAGAAGCAGGCCGATTACGAGCCGAAGTGCAGTCGATCGGTACGATCGATGTCCCCAGAAAAATGGGAAGTGGTCGTTTCTTCGACAGATTTTGGTCTCGTCGAAATCATGTCGCTCGATGTTCGTTCTTTCCTCCCTTTGGGGGAATCTGTAAAAACGTGGAGTCGCTTTAGGGGAAAATATAATGAATAAATGGAGGAAAACGCGATCGATCGTTAAATGTCTCGATACCCCCTAGTCGTTTGAAACCGAAACCGTATCCCACTAGTTTCGCATTGGTAAAAGTCATTGCCAAGACCGCGTTTGTATTTTCTTTCCGGCAATTGACATTGGTGGCGCTCCTCGCATCCGGAACCGTTCTCCGCATAATAATCGAATTCCCCCAAGAGTCTAATTTTAATGCACGTTTTTGGCATCGCGAGGCCTTCGGTCGTGCCTGGTGCAATACACTTTCTAACGTAGAATTTCGAGACAATTCGCGATCATTAACATGCACGTAAAATCCCGGGAGAAAGTCCATAGTTTCCGACTTCGTGACGCTCGCCAACGGAAAAGTACTCGAGCGATCGGGAGGATTTCCCTTGACCGTTTCGATCGTTTCGACCCCCATTTCCATTGATCGCGTACGGGTGAAATTAAACTCCAATTAAAACTCGGGCGTTACCGTTTCCTCGATAAAGTGGATTTCTCTTGACCGCCCCGAACGTTTCCACCCCATTGACCATTATTTATTTATGGTCCGTTGAGAACGGGGATAAATTAATATTATCGAACAAGCGTTATTGAGACTACTTCATGGATCGCTCCTATATTCGGTGGCTCCGAAAGTGACCGTAAAAATTGATTTTACGATCAATGTTAACCAGGTTAGACACTTTAAGCCCAAGAGCGGGGAATAACGACCGTGACCGTCCACTTGCGAACTGTAATCGTTCTCGAACGATCCTTTGGGTAATTCTCCCCAGTAGTCGTGACCTACGGGCAATTCTTCCGAATGGCCGAATTTCCGGCTTTTCGGTTTCGAAAGGCCCGCGCTTCGCCTTTGATTGCGTTTACTCACGTTCACCCTGACTTTCGTTTTATACTCGACGAGCGAGGTATGGCGAAACTATTCCCGGTCTCGATAACCGAACTATCGGACCAAACCGTACGAACCCGTGGATTCGATGAATCGCCCTCGGCCGTTGCGACACCATTTTTGGAAAGTCACTTTCGCCCCCAAAATCCCTCATGACAATTCTCGACCGACTTGCGCAATTTCTGGCCTTACTGGGTCAAGATCGCGAAACCTGTTCCTAAGATTTTGGTAATATCCCTGCAACGCTCCATTTTTATTATCCTCGAAAAAAAAAAAGATAAAACAGGTTTCCGCTAAACTCGTGGACGTTATAACGTTTTTAACGAACGGTTGAAATAAAGGCAGTGATTTCTAAATTTGCGTTTAAAACGATCGCGTTTATTAATATGTATATATTTTTCAATTTTGAGGGACGATCCATTTAGGTCGCACAAGCTGCATTCATTTCCTGGAGAAACTGCGAAATGAAACTTCGATTCGTGCAATCTTCGTCGCGGACAATTACGGAAAGTGTGGTCATCGCACTTACCAAATACTCAGGGAGTATGACCGAGTTTCATGGAACGTAATTTCAGGTGCACTCGGAGCGTGCAATATCGAGAGGGAGAAGTAAAAAGGGATATCACGGGCCAGTGGATACCTGCAAGAAGTGCCGCCATTGAAAACTACACGAAAAATGCGACACTTGACATTGGACTCCTTATTCTCGTTATTGTAAATGCGCGCTAATTAAGTTAGCCGATACCATTAACGATTTCGTGTATGACCTATTTTTCGGAACGTTTTTTCCGTATTTCTTATTTACGATATTAATATTAAATGTACTTTTAAAGGAAACATTTACTAATTTAATATCGGCAACTTTTAATTCATGATTTCTGATTGTTCGATGATGCGCATTAACCCCGTTCATTCCCTCCGTCCAATTAGACACGGTCGCGTCATGGCACTTTCGTAATTTACGTACTTACCGATGACATAATAACGACGCGGAAGAACTTACCGTCGCGTTTATAAATCATTACGTACGTTTATCATTATTCGTCATTCTTTAAGATTTATTTAACATTTGAAGGAGATGAAAATGAAAATAATCACAAGATTTAACCATTTTGACCGTCTGCACTTACCTTGAAAAATATCCAAATCGACGAACCTTGCTCGGTCACGTGACCCGCGTTAATTTTTTTTCTCGAAGTCTTCCCGAAGCAATAATTTCTTCTCTCGAAAAATGGTCGTCGAGTTCGGGAACGCACTTCGGGAAAGTTAGGCGCAATTCGGTGCACCGATTTCTAAAAGTAATCGAAAACTAGTCTCGGGGACAAACGCGACCGGTAAATAGCGAGTTACGGGATCTGGATTTATTCTGGCGTGAAGGCATCGCGATCGAAGGTACTCGGATGGATCGGATGGATCGGATGGATCGGCGATCTTTCGACGCTACACGTGCAGGTCGGACAGTCGGCTCGGCCAGTGAAAGTCGAGGACTGAGAGTCCGGCATCTCTCTGGACGTATAAAGGATAAATGGCTCCCACCTCCTAGACGGTGAAGGACGCCCGGGAGTGCATTACGGTGCCGAACGCGCCGGACTCCCTCAAATGAAGGTAGACCGTAAATCGGCTACCTAGAGAAAAATCGACATCGATCGTTCCACGTTTCTAATTGATTTTCTGACGCGTGAGAAAATTCGGCCGTAATCGTTAGGAGAGGAAGGAAGAGGACCGATAATTCCGGGAGTTCCCCCTTACCCTGAGAAAAAATATTCCATCGAATCAAATAATTATTCTTTGAATGAAGAAAATATTCCTTTGGTTCGATGAGTTCATTTCTCGGCGCAGGAGGCGATGGATCGGTCAAGAATCCTGGTCACAGGGTCCGGGACGCGAATTACGAGAAACATTGGGACCGACGACCCACGAGACGCGACTCGGTGCTTAAAACGATACATACTGTCGCAGGATATCGAACGACAAGAGGAAGAGACGGTATCACCTCTCGACTCGCGAAAGTCGAAGGCCTCGGGTCGACTGCCGAGTCGATTCTCGGGTGTGCCAGGACGAGGGTCGACTTGCCCCCTCCCGGGGATCTCCGGGATCTCCGGGAGTCCCCGGCATCTTCAGGAACGCCCGCGAGGACCTCCTCGCCCGTTCGCTTTTGCAGACTTTACCCTCCTTTCGTCCTTGGACCGAGAATTTCGTTCTCTCCTTCGTCAAAATTCCCGCGGGCTCGTTGTTCCCGGAAATTAATGAATCTCGATGAATATTACGGTGTTCAATTTACCCGGCAAATGATTCTTCGGTTTCCGGGACTTTAATTTACGTGTCCGGTATTTTGGCAACGTTTGCACGATCATTCCAACGATTAACGATCGCAATGGCTGCCATTTGCGAGTCATTGAATGCGAATGAAATTCCAGATGTATGAACTTTCTCACGTTCTACCTTTTTCGAAAAATGACGATCGTTGAAGGTTGGCAGTCATTGATTGCCAGTGAATAATAGCCGGTCGTAAAGATCACTAATGGCCACTGACAAATTTATAAGCGGGTCATCGAGGATCTCGGACGCGGAGTTGCCCAACTCCAGCCCACCTGTACTTTGTCTTATTTTTAATTTACGCGGATTATATAACTCGCGTGGCTCATCTCGGCCTAATTTCTCGGCTCGAGCGGAAACCTAGATCTTTTACCCTTCCCTCAAAAGTTACGTAATTATTTTCAAAGAGACTCCTAAATCGAAGGGGTAAATGATTCTTTGAACGACCCCTGATCTAATCTCGTAAAGAAAACTAGGGTCGTTTGTTATAAATAATGTCAACGGCCTGACATAATTGTTTACTCATACTAACCGATGTATCAGCAAGCACGGGATAGCGCAACGCTCCAAGTGAAAGTAAGAGTTTCATCGAGAACGAACTTGCCTTGCTGAAAATCTCGCCGAAATGACGTGGTGGATTTTCATCCGCGTCATAATGGTATAAATAGTTTCGTACAAAATCCCGCAGGGGAAAGCACACGCTCGAAAAATATATTTATCGACAGACGCCGTAATGGCGATCGGCGGCCATCTTGGACTTGACTGAAAAAATGCTCAACTTATTCGAACCGTGAAAATTCTTATCCCTGAGGAAAGTGATTACAAAATTGTTAATAATTATTACATATGAAGTTTCTGACGGCTCATTTTTATGTTTCAGGTATGCTTGGAAGTACTACAATGGCATTGAAACAATAATTAAGGTAATGGAAAACGATAATCGATCCTTATGCAATTATTTACGGACGCGAATAATAGAAGGATCGTTTATCCGTTCCTTATTGATTTTTTTCAACTTTGACCGGGATAAGATTTTACAATATTCCCTACAAACGGATGTCACGAAATACGTATTTAACCTGTTTGCTGTGCGACGCCGGTCTAAGGTCCGCCATTTTTTTTTTCTGCAATCTGCAATTCAGCCACCATTTGCGAAATAATTTTCTGCCAGGAAATAGCTGTCTATTGACTTACGACCGATTATGCCACAATGGACAGGCTTTAATTATGCATTAAAGCCTTTTCTCTCCGTGCCCTACGACCGGCAATTATAATTATAAAACGAGGAGCCGCGTCAAAGAAGTTTCGTCGTCGTTATCAACGAAGTATTCACAAAATTTTGATAAAATAAATTTCATTGGGGAATTTGTTGAGTAAAGACGTCGGTGACATCTTTGGGAGTGCTTTCGCTTTCTCTCGCTAATCGCACCTTGGATTAATTTTTTTTTTTTTCTTAATCCTTTACCCTGCAATTTGCACGCGACGCCATTACGGAACGATAGCGACGCGACCCTATTAGGTTATGTCGAAATGACAAACTTCGGCTGTTAATACATGATTACGTGTAGATGTTAACAGGGTCCATGGTTCAATTTGCGCAAGTTGCTATGGCCGGATTATTGTCGGATGCATTTCGCAAGGTGAACGTTGCTAGGCATATATAAACAAGTGACATCTTAAATTGATGGTTTGTCGTGGACTTTGAGCGACTTTGTCTTCAAAAAAGAATCATAAAAGGTCGGATCGAAATTACACGGTCAGAAATAATTCGACGATATACATTTTTACCTAAAAAGTGTACATATCATTTTGTTAGCAAATTATGTTACTTATTTCGAGGTCGTAAGAAAACTCGAAATATTCATTTTCCTAATACAAACTAAACTAAATAACAATGAATTATCATACATTTTTCCGGAATTGAAGCACCTATTTCTAACGAAGAATTTCCAGAATGATAATTTTTTTTAATTAAAGAAAGAGCGCGGAGAATATCGTTAGAAAAATTGTCCTACTTATATCGAAGATATTTCCACCTGCGCAAAAATTCAGAATCTCTATTTTTCTAATACAAACTAATGATCGAGCTAGTTAATAATAATCGATTACGACATATCTTTATGCAACCGAAGCACCCACTTCTGGTAAACGTCCGTACGGTTCCAAAAAGGAGAGCGATTTCCCTTGCACGTCGATACGGAAAAGGATATTATAAATAAATGCGCACGTGAAACGAATAAAAAATGAAAGGGTCAACTCACTGAGGACGAAGCCACCGAGTCTTGATCATGTCACTGGCCTTCTCGGCGATCATGATCGTCGGAGCATTCGTGTTTCCCCTAACGATTTTCGGCATTACGGAGGCATCGACGACCCTGAGGGAATCGACGCCGTACACCTTGAGCTCGGGATCCACCACGGCTTCTGAATCCTCTTTGGGGCCCATTTTGCAAGTCCCCACGGGATGATAAATAGTCCTGGTGTACTCCATGGCGACGCAAGCCCAGTACTCCAGACTTCCGAAGCCGAACCTCGCGCAGGCCGGAAGAGGAACGTCCACCAATCTGTATCGATGACTTTTGAACGCATCGCTATGTAGAAGGCGAAGAGCGATCTGGATCCCCTCGATCATGGTCTCCAGGTCGGGCCTGGCCGTGAAATAGTTCGGGAAAATCAGGGGAGCACCCCAGACGGGGTCGCTCTCGTTCAGCAACAGGTGTCCCCTGCTCCGGGGGTTCAGAAGAACGGGTCTGACGTTGATGGAGTCGTAGTAAGCGAGAGGGGCTATGGAGGTCTCCACGGCGTCCGCGGGATCCGCCAAAAAGTCCCTTAGGTTCCCCCCGTCAAAGGTGTACTGGATGTCCGGCTTGGAGGGGTCGGGTTCGTAGCTCGTCCTGACGAAGGCGCTGCACACGAGCGACCCCGTCGAGGATAGAGGCCCTCTGCTGGTCGTCTTGTACATCCGGATGTCCTCTTCCACCTGGTCCAGGTTCCTCGCGGTTGAAGTTTTCTTGTCGATCTCGAAGACCACGCCGTCGGTCGTGACGTGGTCCTGCAGGTTGCGGCCCACCGGGAGGTTCTTCGTCACTCCTATCCCGTGTCGACGGAGCTCCTCTTCGGGGCCGATCCCGGACAGCATCAGGATCTTCGGCGAGTTTATCGCGCCTGCCGACAGGATCACTTCTCTCTTTGCGGTGGCTATCCTCGTGACTCCCGATTTCCCGGAGGCGAACTCCACTCCGAAGGCGCGTTTCGTCTTCGGGTCCACAAGGACCCTCGTCACCTGCGCCTCGGACTTGACCTCCAGGTTTTTTCTACCTCGGATCGGCCTTACGAAGGCGTCGTATGTGCTCTGGCGTTTTCCGTTTAAGGAGGTCGATTGTAGCTTCATCGTTCCGATTTGCTCGTTCGCGTTCGCGTCGATCGCGGCGTACCCGATGTCTTGCCACGCCCTGAAGAGGACGTCCACGTTCTTGTCCTCGTAGGGGAATCGCTCCACGCTTTGAAAACCGCCGATGCCGTGGTAGGACGGATTCGCCTCCACGATCTGAAAATTGTAGGCAAAGGTTTAAGTCGCGCCTTATTTTCGTCGATTCGTCGGGTAACCTTCGTCATTCGTTTTCTTCAATTCTTTCTGGGCGATTCTCGAGGACAAGAATCTTTACCTTGAGAAGTAAAAAAAAAATTATATGAAATATTTTTATCCAAGTTACTTACGTCGGGGTCGTTGTTGTTTTCGGATTTGATGAAATATGGCAAAACTTCGTCGTAACTCCATCCATGATTTCCCATTCTTGCCCACTCGTTGTAGTCTTCTCGGTTTCCTCGGATGTAGATCATGTAATTGACGGCACTGGAACCTCCCATTACCTGCAGAAAAAAATTTTCAGATTTTTCAAAGACGTCACGTGTTTTGTAGTTATTTTAAAAGAAAGTCATCGAACCTTTCAACCATATTATTATCAAGAAGTTGTTTTTCCGCTTCGCCTGTTGATATGCAACCTGTCTCGCGATCGTGTAGAAAGTGTCGCGTTCTTTCAGGGTTTCATACAATTTCGAAAGTATTTAACTGACGGCAACGAAATCCGAAAATTTTACCGAAATCAGACTACGACAGCCTCCGGATTTGCATTAGATTAAAAAATTGTGGAAAATTTTTCTTTTACTTTAAACTCACAGACTTCAAGGAAAATATTTTCTTTTTTTTGGAATGCTTACTTTTCCTCGAATCCATCCACATCCTCTATTCCTTCTCGATCGACAAGAAAATTGTTCGGGCTGAGTTCGATACATCCAGTCGATATTGCTGCTGCCTAATAAAGGAGCAAAAGACGGAACATCTACCACCTCTGGTTCTTCTATGCCCGCTTCCAGCAAGAGTATCTGTAAAATCAACAGTTATTATTGTACACATAGATATATAAAAATCATATATTTGTTACAGGACGAGTCTTATAAAGGGTCCATAAAGTGATATAGAAAATATTATGATATCGCGATAAAAATACGAAGACGAGACGAATTAATGAATACTTGTACGTCAAAATTAAATTTCAGAAACGACTTCGCGTTCGCATGAAAAGCGTTCTACCAACATTCGCAATTTGTGCGCAAGTTCCGTTTTAATTGTCCTCAATTACGCCTCTCTACTGCCCGCACTAATTATCCTTCAGAAATTGTGCTTTACTGGCAATTACTTACGCCAAAGCCCATGCAAAGCGTTTAGCAACTTAAAACGGACTAACCTAGGAATCGATTGTGCATTTTTACAATTTGACAATAAATATCGTAAAAGTGTATCGCCCCTAAAGCGTAAATAAAAAAAAAAAACATAACCTGAGATTTATCTGAGAGTATTCTGTAATAAACCATGCATTTATTGTGGAAGCACTCACCCTCCAGGATGGAACCTCGCTTAGTCTGTTCGCCAAGACACACCCTGCGGATCCAGCCCCGACGATAATAAAATCATATTCCTCGGAACCTGGGGTGTATTCTTGTGAATGTCCGATTTCCAGGTTCTCCGGTAAATGATTGAACTGAGCGCCCTGAAATTGGTCGTTCGCCAAACTCTGCTGAGAAGAAAAATCCACGACGATTCGCTTTTGCGCCTCCGCGGCGTCGAGGTCTCCCGGCCCGCCATCTTGGATTTCTTGCGCGCCGGAAGCAGCGCCATCGGAAGCATCTCTAGGAACTCGCTTTAACGGACGATCTTGCGACTCGTCGAGATCAAAATAAACATTTCCATCCGAGGGAAAATTTGCCACCGCTAAATTCTGCGAATTGCTTTCTGCATTTTGCAGATCCGCGGTAGTACTTCCTTTGTACGTCTCGGAGTTTAGGGACCCCTCCGATTGAAAAAATTGAGGTTGAATTTCCGGGACTTTTAAATTTTGCCACCAGTTGATGTACCACCCTTTGTCGGGGATCTGCATGCGCGGTGAAGCTTGTTTAATTTCTGCTTGACTTTGGAACTGCGGACCGTTCTCTTGTTGTGGCAAAGATTCAGTATGGCTTAAAGAAAGTTGCAGACTACTCGTTTCCGGGCCCAATTTTGGGTTTAAATAGTGACTCGGAGTTTGTAGGACGTTTCGATGGTCCGTGCCTGGACCTTGCAAGAGCGGAGAGGGGTTTAGAAAGTACCCGAACAAGGGTGTCGTTGCCGTCTGTCCGTAGATTATGTACGGGCGACCATGTTGATTTTCCGCGGCGGCGAGTTTGCAGTTTTCTTGCACACCGCTCTGCAAAGGCTTTTGCAAATGGCCGGAATCCTTCGACTGGCCGAAAAGACGAGCAATTAAAGCCAGGAACATGAAAGCCGATGGCTGGCACGTCGATACCGTCGAGTATGGAGAACACAACTCTGCTAGGTTAGGTGGCACCCACGACATTTTGGAAATTCGTTCCTCCAGTTCCTAAAATTAACGTGCACGGACATAAGTTTCTCTTTAACGACTCTTGATATCGAACGTCACTTAATGAACATTTTTATTTTAAAACCCTTGAACTTAACCGGAAATGGAACTTCGGACATCTCGGAACCCGCGGCGCTCGCTTCGTTGGCCGTCTTTTGCGATTCCACGTCGCTTATTAATTTATTTTAGTACTTCATCCCGACCAATTACCCTTTCCATGCCGACCGAATGCCTTGTAGGAAAATCCCGGATTTAATCGCTACCTCGACTCCGGTAATCGACAGAAAACGAGCCCAGTAAGTAGAAGCGCTCTTTAAACGCGAAACGGGAGATTCGGTTCGCTCGGCTCAACGAATAAACGTATCATTATCGAATAATCGCATCGCGTAAATTACATACCTCTATTTTATATTCACACTTCCGACGACACCCTTCTTTGATTTCCCCGCCGGCGAGTTATCGCTTCTTTCCCCTGCCTATCGGGTCCCTTACCCCTGTTCACGGTTTATTCCTCATCCGTAATTCACAAATTGTAAAAGAAAAATGATCGTCTTACGAGTCATGAACGTCGTAACACTCCCAGCGACAACGAAATGATATATGGCGGCGGAAAATATCAAGACTTCCAGACTTTTTCCAGTTATTTCTTCATTTCTCTGGAAATTTAAGATACACCGAAATTCACTATTACACGCTGGTCGTAACGAAGACTTCCCAAAATTTTCGAACTTTGTAAAAAATGTTCCTTGAAACCGAATCGACGTTCGCTATCACGCGTTGGTCGTGAATGGATTCCCCAGAGCTTTGCGCTAACGCGAGGCAAGAAATCCGAACTCGGGAATTCTTTTTGAAAAATTGGAGAAATTTCTTGAGATTATCCTTGAAATTTGAAATACCGAAACGTTCACTGTCACACATCGGTCGGGCAGTCCTCGTCGTCGGAGCGGTCGCTCGAGAATGCAGGGTGTCGGCTAGTCGCGCCCCGTAAAAAGCTCGTAACGGGACAAGAGCGTTCGGAATTATCTCGGAGCCTGTGCTCGAGTAGGTTACCCCTCTAGTCGGCAATGGCGTTGTTTCGCCTTCCCTACTTTACGAGCTGTCTCGCCCGACCAAATTCTCGCTCCGTGCCTTTCCTATCCCATCAACGGGGAACGGGCCCTAAAGCGCTTGCCACACGTAATCGCATAACCGAGTAATCGCGTAATCGCGCAATTTTCCCGGATTTTCACCCGAGTGCCGTTTTTTCATATTTTTATATTTTTCATATTTTTTTATTCTCACGTTCATCTTGACGATCTAACGCGACAGCTGGATGGACCCGGCGCGCCGTCGATGATTGCAAAAAATATCAACGTTTGTAACAAAAAAATGTGAGATTTGTAAAAAAAAAAGTCGGTCGCTTCTAAATGTTTTTTCTCACCCCGACGTCCGTTTATTTCTAATTATTGAAAATATTCTCTAATTTTTGCACATTGTTTCGGTCGGGATTTCAGCGAGGGAACTGAGAGGAACGGAAGTGGGGCGAGGACCGATGAAAATTTGACGAATAAAAAGTACTTTTTCTACTTTGCGTCGAGGGACGGAGAGACGTCGGGTCGTCGTTGATAAGAACAAAAACAAATCGCTCACTTTCGGATTTTACAGCTCGCTGATCCGAGTCGCGACTCGCGTCTGACGATTTTTTCTCATAGTAGGTACTTTCACCTTGGATCCATAATCAAAAGAATCCAAATAAGAACCCGATCCGGATGCACTTTTCGTGCCGGAAACTTTTCCTAAGTCCCCGGTTGCGGTCGCTCGCATTATTTAACCGCGCGTCCGGTGGCTAAAGATGTATATAGCTAAGGCAATATCGCGGTTCGGAAGAAGAAAAATTTCTCGGGAACGTTGTCCTTCGCTGGGGGGCCAAATTTCTATTTTTTCTATTTTTAGGACGTCGATCGATTTGTTCCGAAGAGATCGTGGACGCCATTGCGGTGCCCGTTAATTGTATTAAAAAATATGAACGGCGCTACAAGATATCTAGCGGACTAAGAGAAGGGTCGGATCGTTGGACCCCTAAAGCTCGTCCTTCCGCAGCCATTCCCGTTTGATAAGGTCGGCTCCCTTCTCGGCGATCATGATAGTCGGAGCATTGATGTTCCCGCTGGGCATGTCCGGCATGACGGAAGCGTCGATGACTCGGAGGCCCTGGATCTTCTGGACCTTGAGCCGAGGATCGACGACGGCATCGGGATGACCGACGGGTCCCATCCTGGCGGACCCCGTGGGATGGTACACGGTCGTGGTGGTGTGCCTGATGCTGCACTCCCAGTACTCCCTGCTGAAGGGCTCGGTTCCCGCGCATCCGCCGATGGGAACGTGCCTCAGCTTGATTCCGAACTTCTTGAAGACCTCGGTGTCGAGGATCCTCCGAACGAAGTCGACGGACTTCAGCAAGGTGTCCACGTCCTCCCTCGCCGTGAGGTAGTTGGCGAAGATCCTAACAGGGTCCGCGGGATCCGCGCTGCGAAGCTCGATCCGACCCTTGCTCTTCGGCTTCAGCAGGGCCGGACCCATGAAGACGACGTCCGAGTCCAGAGAGGACCTGGTGAACTCCTGGACGAGGTCATCCGCCACGCCGAAGGCGTTCATCAGGGCCTCCATCTTGAAGGTGGCCCCCTGGGGGACGAACGTGTTGTGGAACTCCACGTTGGGGTACGGGTCCTTCGGGTCGTCGACGTTGACGAAGCCCAGGAGATCGACTCCTCCGATGGTGGCGAGCTCGCCCTTCCTGTGCACCAGGTAGTCGTACGCGGCGTCCAGGAAGTAGGTCGGGGAGATGGGCACCTTCGCCTCGTCCACGTAGGACATCTGGATGCCCAGCCAGATCACGTGGTCCTGGATGCCCCGTCCAACCGGGAGGTCGGCGAGGACCTCGATCCCGAGTTCCCGGAGGTGATCCTTGGGCCCGATCCCGGACAGCATCAGGATCTGCGGGGTGGACACCGTCCCCGCGGAGAGGACCACCTCCTTGGAGGCGCGGATCTTCAGACTCTTCCCGTTCTTCAGCTTCACCTGCACGCCGATCGCCCTCGTGCCGTCCATCTCCAGCTTCTCCACCCTGGCCGACTTCAGGACGAACAGGTTCTCTCTGTCCTTCGCCGGCGACAGGAACGCCCTGGCTGTGTTCGCCCTCAGCCCGTCGCCAACCGTCCCCAGTGCCTTGCCGAACCCCACGAACCGGTCCCCGTTGAAGTAGTCCAGCACCGGAACTCCCAGCTCCCTCACCGCGTCCAGCAGGATCTCCTGCATCCTGGACTCGGTGTAGTTGAAGTTCCGCACGTCGAGGGGTCCACCCTTCCCGAAGAACCTCCCCCCGGTCTTTTCCAGCAATTCCGGGTCGCAGTTCTGGGATTTCATGAAGTATGGAAGCACTTCCTCGTACGACCAGCCCTCGTTCCCTCGTTCCGCCCACGAGTCGAAGTCCTTGTCGTTGCCGTAGACGTACAGAAGGACGTTGATCACGGAGCTGCCTCCCAGGGCCTTGCCCTTCGCCCATTTGCACCGCTGGTCCCTCATCCCCAGACAGGCTTCCTTCTGCGGCTCCACCTCGTACGAATAGTCCTCCGCCGTTCCTTGCAGCTGCAGCAAAAGTCCTGGCACGTCGCTCGTCGGAGATGGGTCCTCTCCTGCCTCTATCAGCAGGACCTTCCAGGATCCGACCTCGCTTAATCTCGCCGCCACCGCCGATCCTGCCGATCCTCCTCCGACCACGATGAAGTCGAACTCCGGCTCCTTCGACGAGGAGATCTCCTCCGTCCTGTCCCGGGGGTACTGATTGGGCCGCGTTATCGCGCACTGTGCCGTTATCAGGGTTTGCAGCAGGTGCGCGAACAGGGGGATCGGCGATCCGGCGATCGCCGATGTGCAGCTCGCCGGCAGACACGTTTCCATCTTGGATTTCGAGCTGCTGACCTGGAACCCGAAGAAAAACTCGATCTCCAATTTAGTCCTCTTCCGGGGACATTTTTTAAGGTGTTAAGAAAGGGTCCATCTATTTAGAAAACTTTTCTTCAAACTGGGCCCACCGAATCGTTTGAAACATCGACACGGGAATATGGAAGTTCTAAGAAAAACCGCGATGCTCGAGACGTTTCGTTTATCAGAGACATTTTTTTTTTTTATTTTGCTCGAACTAGAATTAAGGACACATACTTTTTTGTTATTAAAAATTAAATTTCATGAGCATCTCGTTCTTCCTTGGGGACTGCATGGTCCTGTACTGAAGTTTCTTGAATATTTTGACGTTTCATTGTAGATAGACCCTTTTGTAACACTTTAAGAAAAAAAAAAAAAATTAGGAATTAAATGGATTTTTGAAAATACCGAGGTTGGCTTCGAAAAATGATATTTTCCCCCTTCTTAGAAAAAGGACAGAGAGAAACTTGGAATAGGAACTTATGTACGGTTTCAGCCGTATTGCCGAGATTTTCAGTGCTCCTGGCTAATTTACATGATAAAGGAGTTCATGAAATTGTAATAACCGCCAAGTGGCTCGGATCTGGAAAATGTAGGAAGAGGATTGTGAGTGTTTCTTTTTCTATTTTTTTTGTAAATCATTAGCACCTCAATGCCATATCTGTGATCTGTTCCGACGGAAAGGTTGCTCACTCGTAAGTCTATTTTTGAAAGTTCCTTTGTGCCTTTTATTTCAGGGCTCCTTTAACAACATTACGCTAAATGTTAAAAAAAAAAAGAACGACTCGTGACAGGACGGCATTTATAATGATTTTCCATTTAGCTATCAATCGTGTCCCATGGATGGAAATAATACATGACCCCAATAAAAAGAATAAAAATTTCATGAAGAATAATTTACAAGAATATATTGACTCATTGAACAAAGGTAGAGCGACTCGTCTTATTTTAATGACCACCGAATAAAAATAACGAATCGCGGATTTCCTTAATAATGCGCCCCTAAAATGCAATCGGAAAGCATTGAAAAAAATGGACAAAATAAACGAATAGCTGCATTCTCGCGGAGTTTTAGTTATTAATTGAAATTCGTTTAAACTGGGGAATAAAGGTAAATGTTGAAGGAAAAATTGGGGAGATGAAAAGCTAACTTACCGGGGAATTTTTTCTTGCCCTTTTTGGATGACTATGTCAGCTCGGGATGAGCTTCTCGCGAGATGACTCCCCAGGGAAGTCTGTGAAGCAATGAAGATAAGTGACACGTTGGTTCAGCAACTTGGAGATTTCTGCCCCACCTCCGACCGATACGAGATACTGGCTTACCTATCCCTAACAGCCAACCAGATAGTTCTTCCTGGAAACCCTTTTTTCCTTCCGTATTTTTTCTCTTCTCCGTTTCAGATCCCTGTGTACATTTACGAGCTCAACCGCGACCTTATCTCCTGGTTTCCTATTTCTAGCATTTCCATTACATGTGTACATATGTACTTCTCGACCCTCCGATTTGTCTGCATTCGGTAAAAAAAAATCGAAATTTTCTTTAAATCTTTAACGCGGTGAAACGACTAGAATTGGAGTTGTCCTCATTGTCCCTAATATTCAGATTTCTATGCATTTGTTAAACGAAATTCTCAACGCGCTGAAGTAACTCGAAGTGAGGTTAGTTTCAATTACGTGATTTGGACTTATTTGCGTTCGTTAAAGGAAAATTTTAACACCTCGCAATTACTCGAAAATGAGGTCGCAATTATGTGCTTCCCGATACTCGAATTTGTATACCTTCGTTAAAAGAGAATTCTCAGTATTTTACGGTATCTCGAAATGAGGTTAGTTTCGTTTCGTCTCGCGTTTAAAGTAATTCCTAGATGTAAATAAAGCGTTTCGTTACCTTTCCTTTCTAGAAACGTCCCAATGGGAATTAATCTACTTGCATTTCCGGAAAATCTCCGAAACTTTGCGGGATAAGGGTTCCGGAAAAAGTGAGAAGCTTCTCGGCCCTCGCCATCTTGCTTCACTCTGGAGAGGAAGAATCTCTCGAAGCTGATTCTATAATAAAGTTAAGGCGCTTTATCCGAAACCCTGCGTTTCTGATGGCTGTCGAATGGTCGGGAGAATAGCCTATTACCTGAAACCTTGCACATTCAGCTTTCGCTTCTGCATCTTCTCCATTATAATCCTAATGTATATGTTACCGTGAATGACCGAAATTGGAGAATGTCGACATTCTCCAGATTTCGGTGTTTCACCGTAACATATACACACGGTACGTTTTCGTTGGGCCTTGACAAGTGAAATTTATAATTATTGCAGGAAATCAAATCTCGATTCCGCTCAACGCGTATACTTTTTCCTGAATTCTATTCGGCTCAGAGCCAACATTTTCCCGGCGACGCCATTTCAGAATTAATCCGCCTCGGTCGACGACAATTGGAAAGCTTTTTGTTCGAAAAAAGGGTGAAAGAGCTTACCGAGGCGTAGAATCGCGACAGAAGAATGGTCTCTTTGATATCGCGCACGGCTTTCATGACTTATGTCACGTTACACCGCCTGAGCAACAAAAACAACTCCTCCGTCGATATTGCAGAACCCGCAATGCCGACGTTGCACTCTTTGTTTAAAGAATCGGTCTAAGTGACTAACGAGGCGGCGGTCGAATTATGGAAATTGTCCCCGAGTTTGCGACATTTCAAAGTACCCGCAATTATAATTGCCGGCGCCTTGCGAAACTGGAACCTTTTCGATGCCGGTTACCCAGTTATTGTTGGACTCGATCGGTCAGAGTCTCTCCCATTTAATTGATTTAACGATTCGCTTCAATTATCGCTTTTTCACCGGTCAATTCGAGAAGTCATAGCCTGTTAAATGAAACTTTTTAATTGGAATGCTAAGAAACTTGTATTTAAATCCCAGGCCGACCCGCGGCGCAGTGCAACGCAAAATGTGCAAAGTCGACGGGAAGACTATTTTTTTTTTTTTTTTTTTTCATTACAAGAAGCACCGACTAGAGACTTGCTCCATTGCGTAATTAAAATGAAAATGATATCTTTTGCGGTATCGGTGGTGTGCGACTCGTTTCGCCACCTGTCTGGTACTTCTGTTGCTTTTTGCGAAGTTGCAACCGAGTACCAAGGTACATGCGTACCTCTTATTTCAATCGAGGTGTACTTTCAGCTCGAGTAGGATTTATGTCGGCATCGAGTGACACGAGACAGTCGATAAGAGACTCTTCTCAATGAGACATTACCGAGTGAATGAAAATAATTATCAGTGCTGTCTCGTTTCGGAGGGATGAAAGATAACTATGACACCGAAAGAAAAATTAATGAACTAATGGAGATCGATTCTCGTACCGATTTTCGATGAACGAAAAGTATTTGCAATTATTGATATTAAAAATCCGATTTTTAAAGTCGACGCGTCCCAACGATAGGTATGTACATTTCGGTTCGTTATTTCTTAAAAAACTACCCAATGGAGAAATCGACGTGGAAGAGGTTGATAAAAATCACCCAAGGTACTCGTATGCGCGTCGAGGGAATGAACGCGAGTCGGCCCAAAGTACTGTCCGGGTAAAGTGACTGTGTCAGGTGCAACGAGTAGGCGCAATTATCCTGGAAAGTAAAACCCACCGGTAACAACTGTTCCGTAAATATTACGAGCGCAATGTACTCGCGGACATTACTTGCATGTTCGAGGGGAATTATCAGCTACTTTTGCGTAACCTCGTTATTCCGTTATTGAGTAATTTTCAGCCACTCGAATGATCGTTCCGCGACTTGCTCCGAATAAGAAAAAAGAATCTAAAAATAATCCCCACGGAGAAGCTACCAGTGGTTTTTATCCTCCGAGAAAAAATTTTCTTTGAATGGTCCCAAAGAATATATTTTGTTAATTCAAAGAATAATTATTTGACTGAAATAAATTGTCATAATTCCGAATAATTGTTGTATCCAATTTATTCGAGTCAAATAATTATTCATTGTTCGTTCAACATTAATGTGCCAGCAATACACGAGATCGTTTAGAACTCCGCGAAATGCACTTTCGGCTGCATCACTCTTTCCACCGTAAAAAAAAAAAAGTACCGCGACGTTTCCCTGTCACATCACCATTAATCGTTCCCGCTTGAACTTGACGCGAGAGAAGATTTAACCAAATACTTCATAATAAAAAATAAATAAAACCATGCGTTAAAAGAATTTTGTGTACAATTATCGGTTAACATTCAGATAATTTCCGACTTTTTGGAAATTATTTCACTTCCATAAATGTAGAGTTAATTTTCGGTCCAAACAAAATGGCGAATTTTTCCTCTTACGAGGTAAGATCGTAAAATATGGAAATAGTGGGAGGTGGAAAATGGCGTAAGAAATGAAAACAACTAAAAGAATGCATCGCGAAACGTCGTGATAAATCAGAAATAACGTCTCCTCGTAAATCGGGGAGGATTCTCTCGTGTTTGCGACCAAGTGTCGCGAATCAGGTCGGCGGCCTTTTCGGCGACCATTATGACCGCTGCCACGGGATTTGCGTTGGGCACGATCGGGAAAATGGAGGCGTCGGCAACGCGGACATTGTCGATGCCGTAAACTCGAAGTTGAGGGTCCGTCACGGCTTCGGGGTCCCAACTGGGACCCATTTTGCAGGTCCCGGATTGGTGGTTTTCGGGCCCCGTTCGAGCGCGGATCACGCACTCCCAGTAGGCGTCGGTGCCGAAGTGGTACCTGAGGAAAGGATAAAAAATCGGATACTACGTTATCGGAAAAGTTGCCAAACCTTGAATTTTTTCACAATTTCTCTACGTTTAATATACCAATTTATTTGTATTGCCAATAAAAAATTACCCGGTGCACCAGGGGTGCTTCTCGGAGTCCAGCTGCAGGTCCCACATCTTCATGGCCTTGGTATCGGCCAGCTCGGTGACTTTCCTGATCCCCTCGATCAGGACCTTCACGTCCTGGGGGTCCTCGAAGTAATTCGGATACAGAAGAGGAGGGTCCAGAGGGTTCTTCGACCTAAGGGTCATGTACCCCCGAGTGTTGGCGATTACGACGGTCGGCCTGGCGACGATGTCCCTCCTCGTGGGGCACGTCCCTAGACTCCCGTTGGGACACTCGATGGTGTGCCCGGTCTTCGGACAAGTGGAGCTGAACCCGTCGAAGAAGACCTGGAGGTCGGGAACCCCGGGCACGGCGTACCTGCTCTCCAGGAAGGCGGTGACCTGGGTCAGGCCCGTGCTGGAGATGGGTCCGGTCCTGGTCTCCACGAACTCGTTGACCGCCGTCAGGGTCAGGGTCTCGAAGTGCGTGTCGTTGATGCTCATCTTCACGGGAACGGACACGTGATTGTGGAGGTTGCGGCCCACGGGGAGGTCCTTGACGACGGGAATGCCCAGGGCCTCGAGGTCCTTCCCGATTCCGACGCCCGAGGTCATCAGGATCTGCGGGGACCCTATGGCCCCTGCCGTCAGGACGACCTCCTTGTCGGCCACGGCTCCCCTCCTTCGACCCCGGAAATCCACGTACTCCACCCCGGTCGCCCTCTTGGTCCTCTCGTCGATGACGACCCTGGTCACGTGGGCGTTGGTGAGCACGTCCAAGTTCCTCCTGCGCGCGATCGGCCTCAGGTAGTTCCTCGAGGTGGTCCCCCTGATGCCGTTGTCGGTCAGCATCGGCGCTATCATGAAGCCCGTCTGGTTTAAGCCCGACAGGCCCATCGTCCTATGGCCGAGCTCCTTCGCGGCCTGAACGAGGTAGTCGGCGAAGTCCGGCTTGTGAGGGAAGTAGTTGATCTTCATGGGCCCTCCCGTCTTGAGTCTGGAGAACAGCTGATTGGACACCATCCGCGGATCCTGCGGATTTTCGGCTCGCTCGAAGTAGTGCTCGATCTCGCCGTAGGACCACCCTTTGTTGCCCATCCGGGCCCACCTGTTGTAGATCTCCGGGTGTCCTCTGGCGTACATCATCCCGTACATCCCTCCGGTCCCGGAGACCATTTTTCCTCGCGGCCAGGCGCACACCCCTCCGCTCTCTGGAAATCCCTTAAGGCGTTATGAAAGTGTCATGTACATATGCCATTGTTGGTTCTTGCCCGGGATAACTCAAAAATTATTTTGTCGGAAAATGAAAGACCACCAGTTTCAAGACCTTCGTTAGGACCTCCTTAATCAAGTGTTAAAGTTTCAAATTATTCGGTACACCCAGTTTGGAGAAAAATTTCGTTCTCGTTGTAGAAACGTTTTGGGAGCAATTGAATAAAAATGTTGAAAACGCCGACGTTCCTCCCCGATGCCCGAAAGAAGTCTATCCTTTTGTTAGAAAAGAATAGGTAGAGAAAATTGGAATATAATTATTTTTTACCCAAGCACGCCGTCGGATGCGGCTTCGTTGGCTCCGTCAAGAAACGCCAATCCAGGGACGAGTTAATGGCGTTGAAGGCCAGTCCTGGGAGAGAAGTCATCGTGGGCTCCTCGGGTCCTGCTTCCACTAATAAAACCTTCCACTCGGGATTGTCGCTTAACCTCCTTGCGAGAACGGGTCCTGCGACCCCGGCGCCGACGATGATGAAATCGTACCTAAAAAATTTCTCATCAAAAGTTGTTTCTCAACGAGGGACATGGAATACGATGAAATCAAATTTCCTTTTATTTTTGTTAATCGTTAGAACCAGGAAAACGATTATTGTTCCGTTTCTCTCGTGCCATTTAAGCGTGATCGCTGTTTCCTACCTTTTCTCCCGAGGAATTTCGTTTCGTCCCGCCCTTCTACAGGGATCCGAAATGTCGCACTTGGCCATCATCAAAGTCTGCAGCAGCATCATGAAAGAGGTCAGACTTCCACAGGCTGCGTTGAAATAAGTCGTATCCTCGAATTGACATTGCACGCAGGATCCACTGGTAGCCGTGGGCGGCTCCATGAAAGAGTCGCCCATATTTTCTTTCTAAAAGCGAAAATCGCAAAAATATTGTATGGACCCCCTGAGAAAAAAAAGGTCACCGACCCAAAGACAAATTTGGTCAATTCGAGCAGTAGCGATTTCACTCGAATAAACTCAAATAAATTGTCATCGTTCCGAAGACATTTTGTATCTACTTTATTCGAATTTATTCAAGTAAAATAAATATTCTTTGAATTAATAAAATACTTCTTTGGTTCGATGAATTTTTTTTTCTCCGCGTGCCGCTCGAAGAAAAGATATTTCAGAATTACCGTTGAGCGTTGATTTTCGTCTGGAATATTTTTTAGATTTTTACAGGGATTTCGGGGCGACGAGCTCGCGTCGAAGCTCGCGCTTCGACTGCCTACGGTTGGTTTTTTCGTTCGGTATTTCTGGGGATTATTAGGCGGGAAAGACCAATAATTGTACAACCTTGGCATTGTAGGTCAAATTTCGCGAACACCTGCTCGTTTCTTTTTACCGACCCATTTGATAACTCCCGCATCTCGACTAGTATCGACTTTTGCCAAGACTTTCTCGTGGGAGGTGAAATTCGTTTCTTCTTTCCTGGTGAGCTAATCGGGTCGACGGATTAAAATATTTTCCAAAAGGAGGAAAACGAGTGGGTTGAATTTTCTTTTAAATTGCGGATCAAATTTTTCGCCGCTTCGATGACCTTATATAATATTTTTAAAATTAAATTTTCCGATCCTCAAATTATTACAGCTGAGTCGAAAGCGACGCTAGGTTAATAAATCATGAAAGGTGTGGTTAATCGCACGTATTAATTACCAGGGACTCGTAATTGAAAATTTATCGAATCATCGATAAGATGGCGAAATTTTAAATTAAACACAACGCCCTAAATTACGTCGCACTATTTTTCACGGGTCCGACAACCTGTTTAAACTTAAAAAATACCCTACAAACGACTAGTAAATGTTTAGATAGCTCAGATAATATGATCGTAATAATTCCTTGCAATTGAAATCGATTTCGCTAGTTTAACCAACACTTTCGACATTATCTCCTCCGCCGAGAGAGCTCCGAATATCGTCAAATATTTCATATTCTTCGCAACGGCAAATATTATTCTTCGGGAGAACTCGTTGAAGTTATTATTGAACTTTACCTGTAATTACGCCTCGAGGAAAAGATCAAGTTCGTTGAGTGTTATTTTTTTTTTTCTCGTCGATAAAACTCTTCCGACATTCGTTATCGCACATCCGAAAATTCTCATCCATTTATTGCGCGAGTCCAAAGATGGGCAAAATTCCAAGTTTTGCTTTCACGGTGGAAAAGCATTTTTAAAATAATGATTTTTTCACTTGCGATTCCGTCATTGCCAGTTCATTCGATTTCAAGAGGTCGTTCATCCGTTAAACTCTTTCACAGCTCGTTCACCTTTTACGGACGTCAGAGCTCGCGACGAAGACCCACTGTACAGTCAGTCCGCAATTATTCGAGATATCACGAACTGGCCGGAGAGTAACGTCGATTATGCTCCATTCTATCCGACGAAACCAGATACGACTGTGAAATACTCGGAAAGTTTATCCTGTCGGAAGTGTCATCGTCCCGCCCCATCCGGAGACGTTTTCTAAGCCAAACGTGACCACGAATTTAAACCGTGATACTAAAACTCGAAAGAATATTTCCATATATTAAAAAGAATTAAATGTCGAAAAATCAAGAATCACGTAGGGTCGACTATTACTATTTCCGATGAAAAATCGCATTTCCTATATTTTTTCCCTGAATGATTTTTGAAAATTTAGAAAAAAATGTAATCGACCCGTAATTCGAATCGCCTTTTTACTTTCAATTTTCATTATCCCTCGCGCCTAAATAAGTACTTAAATAGCGTAAAGTCGGACGCCTTCTTTTTTTCGACTTTCTCGATTTCTTTCTGGAATTAGATTCCGAGGACGCGAGCTCTTCGTCAAATAATTCCAGAATCGTCATCAAATCCTCCCAAGAATCTCCTCTCTCCCCCGAGGAGGAATTTCCCTGCTTCTTCAACTTTTTCGCAATCCTTTCCACCGTTTCCCTGGTTTTCTCGTCCAAATTGCTCTTCAAAAGCTGCCTCTTGATTTCCTCGAATTGAAGGAAAGTCGTCTCCACCTCCCTCCGCCACGTCTCTTCTCGTTCCTCCATTTCGCAGCCATTTCCATCCTCCTCTTCCTTATCTTTTCCCGAAAGGGCCGAAGAATTTCCCCGATTTTTCCACCTCTTCCTCGCTTCGCGCAGCAATTTCCTCCTCTTCTTTTGGATCAATCTTTCCTCGACTTCCGGACTCCTCATCCCGACCCAGTCTTCCTTTATCATGTCGGCGCCTTTCTCGGCGATCATTATCGTCGGTGCGTTGGTATTCCCGGTGACGATGTTCGGCATTATCGACGCGTCGATAACGCGGAGCCCTGCTATTCCGCGGACGCGGAGCCTGGCGTCCACGACCGCCATCTTGTCTTCCGCAGGCCCCATCTTGCAGGTCCCGCTCGGATGATAAATCGTCATCGTGTAGTATCTCACGTGGCAACGCCAGTACTCGTCCGAGAGATATTCAAAGGACGAGCATTCCGGGACGAGATTCGAATTCGGCCTGGCGTTCAATTTCCGCATAATTTGGGTCCGGCTCATGTCGTGCACGAACTTCGCCCCCTCGACCTGAGGACAATTTCGACCTCTTAGGATCCGTCTCTTCGAGTTCTAATATTTATTTATTCGAGATGATCGCTATTTCGACGAAACTAAAGTTCTTACCAAAACCTCCAGGTCGTGGGGGTCGGAAAAATAATTAGGCACGATGACGGGATGCCGCCTCGGGTCGGCGTCTCTCAGTTCGATGTATCCCCTGCTCCGAGGTCTCGTCAACAAGGGAATCACCGAGTAAGTGTCGCGGTACAGGATATCCTCGTAGAGAGTCGCAAAGAACTCGTCCTTCAGTCCGGATCCCCTTTTCCCGAACAGGCCCCCGTCGGAGTTGTCGGCCGAGGAAGCCAGGAAGAGCTGAACGTCCGGATGGTCGTCGGATGCGTCGGCGAACCTGAGGAGGATATTGCAAACGGTACATGTCGAGGTGTTCGTTTCAAAATTAATACTCGTTTGAACAATTCGGATGCAATTTGTTCATGAAATGATAAGGCACTGGGACTTTCTAGGATACGGTGCCCCGGGTTCGGAAAAAAGTTTCGTTAAGGTGAAGTGAAACCCCCTTCAAATCAGTCGATTCGAATACAAAACTTTTTTTTAAGGGTATTGGACCAAACTGTCCGAAACTTTGACACGTCGCTCCTGATCATCTAAGAATTGTCCCGACACATTCAAAATTTGGATTTTTCAACAAAATTTTTTAACTCAGCCCAGACAAGAACCAAAATGGCGTCGAGCTCTCATATTTCGATCAATATACAATTATCGAAGGCTCTAATATGAGAAACTAAAGGGTCGGGACAATTTTACGAGAATTTAGAACACTCTGGAAATCGATAAACTCGCATTTCAAAGGGATAAAGGCAAAAAAAGTGTTGTATGCGCTTCTATGCTAAAACAATGGGAATACGAGGTCTCGGAGTGAAAATTTAATTGACCTGGAAATCACAGATGGCGCAGGGGGTCCCTCTGCAGGTCAATTAGGGCCCCAGAAAGCACGAATCCAGAGGATTTCTGGAGTTTTACTTCGATTTCTTGATAATTATTGTACGAAAACGACAGGTGGAGTATGCCATTTGGTACAATACCCAATATAATTCGACACAGCTGTCAATATAAAAACGAACGTCGGCAACGTAGGCATTTAGAAAAATCTTCTTTATCGACGTCGATCAAGTTCCTCGACGTGTTTCACTTCACCTTAACGAGACCTCTTTGACGCGATCCTTACGCTACGTTAAATAACCCAAAAATAAAGTAAGGAAAGAAAAAGCGGATCGATGACCGATAAAGAAGATAAACGTCTCACTTGGTCTTGACGAAGGCCATGGCCTCGCACTCGGGCACCATGTACAAGGGTCCGGTCCGATTCCCCAAAAACTGCTTGATGGAAGCCAGGGTGAGGAACCTGGGCAACACGAACGCGAACCCCGTAGGTTCCGGGCACTCCTTGGGAGGATCGATCAGGTAGGTCATGCCTCCGATGGCGACGTGATCCTGAAGATTCCTCCCGACCCCCGGGCTGTCCAGGACGAGGGGCACCCCGACCTCCCGGAGGTGATCCTTGGGCCCCACCCCGGAGAGCATCAGCAGCTGCGGGGACTGAACGGCCCCGGCGGCCAGGAGGACCTCCCTCCTGGCGTGGGCGACGTATCTCTTCACCCCCCTGCGAAATTCCACCCCGAAGGCCACCCTGGAGTCCGCGTCGACCAGGACCCTGTCCACCGTGGAGCGAGTGCCGACGTGCAGGTTCCTCCTCTTCGAGGCAGGCCTGAGGAACGCCTTGGCGGCGCTGCACCTGAGTCCGTCCCTCAGGGTGCCCTGGGAGAGGGCGAAGCCCGCCTGGCTGGGCCCGTTGACGTCCACCTCCCGGTAGCCCATCTCCTGGCCGGCTCTTAAAAAATAGCCGGCGATGGGAGCGCGGTACCTGAACCTCTCCACCGTCAGGTACCCTCCGGTTCCATGGAAAGGCGAGTCCCTCAACTCGGGGATGGTCATGTCCTCGGACTTCTTGAAGTACGGGAGCACGCTCTCGAAGTCCCAGCCCGGGTTCCCCAGGTCGCTCCAAAGGTCGTAGTCGCGCCTGTTCCCCCGGACGTAGAGCATGGCGTTCAGGACGCTGCTGCCCCCCAGGACCTTCCCTCGCGGCCAGTTGCACCGGTTCCCGATCATGCCCTGGCAGTACCCCAAAGAGGGCTCCGTCTTGAACTGCCAGTCCAGGGAAGTGAGCTGGAGGGTCGGGAAGGCCAGCGGCACCTCGGAGAGGATCGTCTCGTCGCCTCCGGCCTCCAGCAGCAGGATCGTCCAGTTCTGGTTTTCCGAGAGCCTGTTCGCCAGGACGGACCCTGCCGAGCCCGCGCCGACGATGACGAAGTCGTAGCTGGGGAGCAGCTCCTTCGGCGGAATCGCCTCGACCCGGTTCTCCTTGTCCAGGATGTCCTGGCGGAGCAGGACTATCAGGAACCGAAGGAACACCAGGAAGCCCACTTCCTGGCCGTAGGACAACGCGATCCGCGTTGCCGAGAACGCTCCTAGGAGAGTCATCCCCGGGAACGTCTATTTCGCGTATCTACCCGGACAAGGATGTCCTATCCCGATACGCGGTGACGCGTATCTCGGAATTTTGTGCCCTCGCCTCTTCCGAATCCATCCGCGCGAAGAGGTCTTCCATGTAGCGAGTCCGAAGTTTACTTTACATCCTGTATTAAAATATATTTTAATCGATTTCTGCCTCTTTACTCATGCGAGCACGCGTATACGAGGTATAACCCGATCGGGAAAATTCTGCAACGTCCGAAATCCCGGTCGCGTGCAATATCGCTCCCGGGAAGAACACTTTTTCTCCATTCTTTCGGTAACGGGTAACCGATTACGAGGATTTAGCACATATTTGGTAAGCACTCGAGGCACGGTTCCCCCGGGTTCGTTTCGACACCCAGCGTTGACGGCGGTAAAAATGGGAAAGAATTTTTTTTTTTCGTGCGCGACGTCCCGAGATAAAAATTACGATTGTTCCAAAGAGGGTTCTTTGACAACTAATAGGGAGTCAATGCATTGACACTTTCGATGACGCGCGCCACTGTTGAATACGTGCCAGTTTAATTATCGCGATGCGAGTACGTCGAGTTGCGGGGCATGCGGCAACGAGTAACGCCTCGTCAGCTGTTTTTTTCCCCACGCAGTTAAGGTGAAGTGAAACGTCCTTCAAATCAGTCGATTCGAATACAACACTTTTTTTTAAGGGTATTAGACCAAACTGTCCGAAACGACACATTACTCCTGATAATCTAATTGTCCTGACACATTCAAAATTTGGATTTTTCAACAAAATTTTTTAACTCAGTCCAGACCAGAATTAAAATGGCGTCGAGCCCTGATATTTCGATCGATATACAATTATCGAAGGCTCTGATATGAGAATCGAAAGGGTCAGGACAATTTTACAAGAATTTAGAACACTCTGGTAATCGATAAACTCGCATTTGAACGGGATAAAGGCAAAATAAGTGTTGTATGCGCTTCTTTGCCAAAACGATGGGAATACGAGGTCTCGGAGTGAAAATTTAATTGACCTGGAAATCACAGATGGCGCAGGGGGTCCCTCCGCAGTCAATTAGGGCCCCAGAAGGCATGAATCCAGAGGATTTCTGGAGTTTTACTTCGATTTCTTTATAATTATTGTACAAAAACGACAGGTGGAATATGCCATTTGGTACAATACCCAATATAATTCGATATAGCTGTCGATATAAAAACGAAAGTCGGCAACGTAGGTATTTATAAAAACCTTCTTTATCGACGTTGATCAAATTCCTCGACGTGTTTCACTTCACCTTCGGAATTCGTAATAAAAACGTGTATTACATTTAATCGATGACTCCGTTAAGAAGCATAGTCCATAATTCGTGTCTACTATTTACGGAAACGTTAGTCCTTTATTTCATTTCCCTGAGAGAGCGTACATTACGGTTAATTAAATTCGTCCATACCGTTAAATACATACATCGTTTCCAGTCGCGTGCATTCGATCATCGGGATTACTCGTTCACCTCATCGTCTAAATCTGAGAAATATTTCACTTTCGTATACATGAGCGCTCGTTAGAGAGTATTCCTCGACAAGGTCGAGAGTCATGTATTATATTTGAAAATGACTTTGCAAAAGCTCGAGAAAGTTTTATCTGCATACTAACGACACGCGGGATTTATGCTAATGACTGAGAATAAATTAAATCGGGTCAGTCCGTAACAATGTGGAATGCCGATTTTTCTTGTGGTCGTTGTGCGCAGCAATTGTCACGGGATATTTTCAAACGAGAAATGTGGGTAATGAAAAAAAAAACCGTACGCTCTGCTACGATAACCTACGACATTGTTATAAAAACGTACGTATTCTTTTCGGGTATGAATAAGTGTCTCTCGCGATAGCGCTTAAACTAACATTATTCCTACAAAGAGTCCGTCCCGTTCTGTACATTATAATACATCGAGATTAGTATCTCGTTTCTAGCGTTTCCTTATCAGGAGGGTCCGTGCCGGTAGCGATCGATCGTTAATTAAATCCTCCACTCTCGTTCATTAAACCGTCGAACTCGTACTCGACCCGTTATCGATCGCGTTAAATCGACCAATCAAACGTAATTACCCGAATTAATCAACGTATTGGGTTTTAGAGGGAACGATTCACTTGTTCCTACTTTCTTTCGCTTAACGATTGAACGCGGTTCGATCGATCGATTAGCCCCGGCCGAATAATTATCGTATCTCGTAATTTTCTTGGACCATCGCTCGCTGTCGTTACGATCCGCTATTTTAATTTTAGTCACGCCAACGGCCATAGATTTGGACGTTACGAGGACACCCCGGACCCTCAGACCCGATGTTTCCTTTTCGACCAGAACTCCTTGATAAGGTCGGAGCCCTTCTCCCCGATCATGATAACCGGGGCATTGGTGTTCCCGCTGACGAGATTGGGCATGATGGAGGCATCGATGACCCTCAGGCCGGCAATACCGTAAACCTTGAGTCGTGGATCGACAACGGCTTCCCTGTCCCAGTAGGGCCCCATCTTGCAGGTCCCCACGGGATGGTAAATAGTGGCCGAGTAATACCTGATCATGCACTCCCAGTACGCATCGGTGTACGCCTCGATGCGCCTGCATCCCGGAAACTTCAAGGAACTCAGCTCGCTGCCGAACTTCTTGAAGGCCTCGGTCCTGCTGAGAGCGATGCCAATCTTGACGCCTTCCACGAGAGTGGCCATGTCCTGGGGGTCCTTGAAATAATTCGGATATATCAGGGGATGATCGAAGGGGTCCTTGCTCCTGAGTTCGATGACGCCCTTGCTCCTGGGCCTCAGCAGCATGGGGATGACGCTCCAGGTGTCCTTGTTCCCGATGGGTCCGAAAACCGCGTCGTAGAACCTCTTCGTCAAGCCGTGCACCTTCCTGATCTGCCTACCCCCGTCGGAATTCGTGGAGCCCGAGATGAAGTGCAGCTCGATGTCGGGGAAGTCCTCGGAGGCGTTGGCGTACTTGGTGTTGACGAAAGCCAGGCCCTCGACGCCGCCCAGGACGGTGAGGGGTCCGTCACCGAAGACGGCATACTGAAGGACGGCGGGGACGCTGTGCAGCCTGTTTTCCACCATGGACACTTCCTGGTTCACCATGAAGGTCAAGCCCCCCAGTCCAACGTGGTCCTGGAGGTTGTGCCCGACTCTCAGATCCTGAACCACGGGGATGCCGAGCCTGGTCAGGTGTTCCGCGGGTCCTACCCCCGAGAGCATCAGCAGCTGTGGCGATCCCACCGATCCTCCGGACAGGATCACCTCCTTGGTCGCGCGGATGCGGTAGGCCTTCCCTCCCTTGACGTACTCCACGCCGTAGGCCCTCTTCGTGGGCCCCGGCTCGATCAGCACCCTCGTGGCCTGCGAGAACATCGAGACGTGCAGGTTCTTCCTCAACCTGGCCGGCCTGAGGAAGGCCTTCGCCGACGAGCACCTGCTGCCCCTCCTGATGGTGCCCTGGGCGATCATGAACCCCGTATGGTGCTCCCCGTTGATGTCCCGGTTCTCGTACCCCATCTCCTGACCCGCCTGCACGAAGGCCGCGGCCAAGGGGGTGTGCCAGGGGGCCTCCTGCACGGTCAGGTAACCTCCCGTCGAGTGATACGGCGTCCGGGCCAGGTAGGGGTTCCGGTTGTCCTCGGACTTCTTGAAGTATCGCAACGCGTCCTTCCACCCCCAGCCGGGATTCCCCTGCTGTTCCCAGGTGTCGTAGTCCTTCTTGTTCCCCCGAAGGTACAGCATGTAGTTCAGCACGCTGCTGCCGCCTATCACCTTTCCTCGAGGCCAATTGCAGCGACCGTTCTCCATGGCTGAAACGTGAAATCGCTTCGTACTAAACGCCTACCCGTTTCGAGGCGGAACCTTTTGCCGTCCTTTGTATCGTAACGTCGGTAATTCAAAAATTGTTAGTCGAGGGTAAGCCGAAGACCTATCGCGAGGAGGTCGTCCCCTTGCTCCTCCTTTTACCTAGACACGCGTCTCCCTGGGGCTCGGTCTTGTACTTCCAGTCCAGCTTGCTGAGCTGCAGATACCCGGCCAATAACGGCACGTCCGAAATCTCCGTCTCGTCTCCTCCAGCTTCGAGGAGGAGCACGTTCCAGTCCTCGATCTCCGACAGTCGACTCGCCACTACGGCTCCTGAAATCCAACATCATTTCTCACCACTTTTGCTGCATTTTGTACCTCGGGCTTATACGTTAGCCTTCGATTCCTTCGATTTTGCAGGTGGACTTTCAAGCGTCATCGCGAGCGGAGCACCAAAACTTAGAGGAGGGAGAAGAGATTTAAAAAAAAACGGAATACGGCAGAACTTATGGAATTACTTAATATATTTCTTTTTAAGAATTTAAAGTACCGACCTGCCGATCCGGCTCCCACGACGATGAAGTCATAGGCCGGGAGGAGCAATTCCGGGGGCACGTCTATGGGTCGGGATTCCGGGTCCATGATCTCGTACTGAAAGTACGCGATCGCGGCAGCCAAGACCGGAAAGAACCACGATAGGCTTCCGGAAGTGGTGCCTACCATGCTCGTCAGGACGCTTTCGATCCCCATGGCTCAGGCACTTTGTCAACTAGCTGAAAATCAAAAATAAAATTCATTAAAAATCCTTGAGAAATTTTATTTTTATCTAACGCAGAAACTCTAATTTTCATTGGACACCTCGTTTATTTTATTTAATACCACTGTAAACGTCGAAAAAATTACGGATTTTTGACTATTCGACGTTCATGACGATATAGCCCCTCAACGACAAATATTCATTAACGTGAAATATATTTCTGAGGTATCGAAGTTGTTAAAATAAAGTTGGAAAAACCTCGGCTAATCGCTTCCACGTCCGGAGGTCCCGAAAAACGCGCAGTTCCACTTCAACCTCGAAGAATTCTAACGCGACTGAGGTGATTCCCGGGTCTCGTCCTCGTTGTCATTCACGCTCGGGAAGACGAAGAGGGCCAGGGGTAGACGAAGAAAGAAAAGGTACCAATAGCATGGCTTCGAAAGAGAAGCGGCTTTCACCACCTAAATATTCAAGAGTTTGATCCTTAATAACCACAGCCATTGCTCCCTGCCCCGCCCGCGCCACTCGTTGCAGCTGCACCTACCTATGCGCATCTCCCCAAGAAACAAAGTGCATCCAAATACGAAAAATACGATTCCCTTATCGAACGTAAAGAAGTCCTCTCAACGAACTTCCGCCCCTCAAAATGTCTCTAGAAAAAATTCTCAGAAGTTAAATGCAACTTTAAAGACACCATTTTTTTTTTTTCTATGAAAATTCATGTACGCGGTGAAATCGGTGCTCGAAAATATTTCGGAGTGAAAAATAATTTCGTTTGTTAGCGAAGACTTAATTTATTTAAAGAATTTTTTTTGTCGTATCGAACGAAAACCAGGGAAAGGAAAGGAAAAATAATTTCGTCCCTGGGGGGAAACCCTGGGGAGCGATCGATTCCAGGAAAGCGAGTCCAGGAATTTTGGACAGGGGGCATCGATTAATTACACGTCCACAAAGTACTTGCAATAAGTAGCCGGTTTAATGGCGTCGAGCCGACATGAGGTTCGTCACGTACCCCTCGAGTGTCGTACAGTACAGCAATCGCTACCTCGGGTTACCGTAATGCGTACCTGACTCAAATGCTAACCGAATGTGAAACTTTCGACTATTAAGTAATTTACCGGGGACACGATGGAAACTTTTTTGCGTGCAGGGTATTACCTCGCATGATAAGTAACGAGTACCTATAACGAGGGTACAAGGGAGCGCGTGTTGGGAAATCTTGCTTTCGAACGAATTTTTTAATATCGAATGTGCCATCTCCTTTTTCCAATGTAACAAAATACCACGACCCACGTTGTAATATTTCTATCGCATGGTAATTCTTGCGCAGTACCGAGATTTCAACGTTATCGCAAAAAAGGGGTGTTTTCAAGGAACGGCAAGATTTATTTGTACAGTTCTTCGAAAATAAATAAGAGGGCTCCAGGAGTGGCAATTCGTCATCGTTAGTTGTTGGCAGCGGTCAAGGCTCTTTTGCGAGTAAACCGGCGTTTCTTGCGAGCACCCCATTCACGGGCAATTGTGGCCCGAAAAAATGGCGCGTATTTTCCTGGAATGCGAACAGACCGAAGCCGCGGTCGTATTTTACTCGAACTAGTTCCGGAATGAACGGCGAGCCGCCCTCTCCCGTCGCAACCGTTAGGCTTCCCGTTTTCAAATTAACGAGTTACCTGCGAATCCAATGAAATCCGCCAGAAATTCTCCATCGAATCTTCAATTTAGCGGTATTTCGCTCAGGAGCTTCGCGCGGTAAAAAAGATGCATCCGCGTTTTACGCGAACGTTTTCTAGAACGATCGACGACCCGTAATCGCTCTCGTTTCTCCACTAACCTATAAACGAACGGAACTGGATCCGTCTTGAGCGCGCTTATTTTCAGGAAAGCCGTTGTCACTTTTAACGGTTAAAAGGCGGCACCAAAAACTCGACAAATACGTCGAATTTACGATAACGAAGTCGAACGACATCGGGCGGGACTTTTTCAATTTCGAAACCGCCTCCTTCCGGCGCAACGACGTTACGTCGAAATTCCGAGAAAGCAAAAACGATGGAAACTCTGTCGAGACTAGGATTCCGATCATCCGGTGCTCGAGAACCCCTCGTATTTACTTACGAATGAAATTTCTTTAAAATTGACGTCATCGTTGAAATAGCCCGTGGATACTTTCCGAACGCGATTTAAATCGTGCAATAAAATGCGAATCTTCCCCAAAGTCCTTACCGATGACGTAACAAGGAAGGAAAGGTTGCGCCATCCTAACCTAGAAGTCGATCCAAGTTCAGGGCCGCGAAGTGTCCTCTTGGTCGGGGCCAAAAACCGATGGAGAAATCCTGCCACTGTCGCCAAACGACGCACCCTTGACCCATGGAGGGATCGACCGACCTTCCGGGGGTGACCTCGCGGACGCACCGAGACCGCGCTCGACCGAGCTCGACCGTGACTTCGAGCACGGTCCCAGGCCACGCGGCCACGTAGACACCTAACGGTCCCTCGCTCCCCCCGCCCTTCCCCCCGCCGGTTCTCCTCTTGCCCGATTCTCCCGTCAGGCACGGTTTTTGAAAATTCTGTAAACGGGAGAAAAATGCTAAAACCCGCCTCTCGTGTTCCAGGCGGATGCTGCGGGTCCATGAAGAAGCGGACCATCGTCGGCGGTTACGCGTTCACCTGGTGGTTCGTGACCGACGTGCAGCGACTGTCTCTCGAGGTGATGACCCTGAACCCGGTCTGCGAGAGCGTGGAAACCGCCCAGGGGGTTCCCTTGACCGTCACCGGCGTGGCCCAGTGCAAGATCATGAAAGCCGACGAATTGCTGCACACCGCCAGCGAGCAGTTCCTGGGGAAGAGCGTCCACGAGATCAAGTCGACCATTCTCTCCACCCTGGAGGGACATCTTCGCGCGATCCTCGGTTGGGCCTCTTCTTCTCTCCGCTCTCTGGAATTCACGGAAATTGAAATTCGATTGAATTTTGCGCCCAGGTACCTTGTCGGTGGAGGAAGTTTACAAGGACCGGGACCAGTTCGCCGCTTTGGTCCGCGAAGTGGCAGCCCCGGATGTCGGTCGGATGGGCATCGAAATCCTGTCTTTCACTATAAAGGACGTTTACGACGACGTGCAGTACTTGGCATCTCTTGGGAAGGCGCAAACCGCGGCTGTCAAAAGGGATGCGGATGTTGGCGTTGCCGAAGCGAATCGAGACGCTGGGATTCGGGTACGTGAATTTTTCTAGTCCGATACGGTAAAATGGAAGCGGACGTCTCGAAGGTTAAGGTGAAGTGAAACATCCTTCAAATCAGTCGATTCGAATACAACACTTTTTTTTAAGGGTATTAGACCAAACTGTCCGAAACTTTGACACATCACTCCTGATCATCTAAGAATTGTCCTGACACGTTCAAAATTTGGATTTTTCAAAAAAAATTTTTTAACTCAGTCCAGACAAGAACCAAAATGGCGTCGAGCTCTGATATTTCGATCAATGTACAATTATCGAAGGCTCTGGTATGAGAATCGAAAGGGTCAGGACAATTTTACGAGAATTTAGAACACTCTGGTAATCGATAAACTCGCATTTGAACGGGATAAAGGCAAAAAAGTGTTGTATGCGCTTCTTTGCTAAAACGATGGGAATACGAGGTCTCGGAGTGAAAATTTAATTTACCTGGAAATCACAGATGGCGCAGGGGGTCCCTCCGCAGTCAATTGGGGCCCCAGAAGGCACGAATCCAGAGGATTTCTGGAGTTTTACTTCGATTTCTTTATAATTATTGTACGAAAACGACAGGTGGAATATGCCATTTGGTACAATACCCAATATAATTCGACCTAGCTGTCGATATAAAAACGAACGTTGGCAACGTAGGCATTTAGAAAAATCTTCTTTATCGACGTTGATCAAGTTCCTCGACGTGTTTCACTTCACCTTAACGGCTTTACGTGTCTTGCAGGAAGCCGAGTGCGAAAAGGCAGCGATGGACATCAAGTACAACACCGACACGAAGATCGAAGACAACGCGAGGTTGTTCCAACTTCAGAAAGCCAACTTCGACCAGGAAGTTAACACCGCGGTAATTCACCTTTTTTTGTCGATGATTTGTCGGCACCTGCGAGTGCATAAAACGCGAAACAACGTCCCGTGCCCCGTTACCGAAGTTGCAAAGGTTGGACGTTCCGAGGTGACTTTTCCTGAAATTGCAGAAAGCCGAAGCCCAACTCGCGTACGAACTTCAAGCCGCCAAGATCCGTCAGCGAATCCGAAACGAGGAGATACAAATCGAAGTCGTGGAGAGGCGCAAGCAGATCGAAGTCGAGGAACAGGAAGTGAAGCGAAAGGAACACGAGCTTCAAAGCACCGTCCGCTTGCCGGCCGAAGCCGAGCACTACAAAATCGGAAAGATCTCCGAGGGCAAGAGGTAATTCTCCAAAAACTCCTCATTGCCCGTCAAAGTTAAATGATAGCGATCCGTTCTCGGTCGATTGGTCGAGGATGTCGTTTTGCAGTCGGCTGGCGCGCTTAAAGAGATTTCTTTCAGAACCCAGACGGTGGACGGAGCGAAAGCGGAAGCGGAAAAGATCCGTTTGATAGGAGAAGCGGAAGCTCACGCCATGGAAGTCGTCGGGGTGTCGGAAGCGGAGAGAATGAGTATGAAAGCTGCGATTTACAAGAAGTACGGAGACGCCGCGGTTCTTAACATCGTGCTGAACGCCTTGCCTAAGGTTCGCATACTTGCGCCTCGTTAAATGTTGGAATATCGCTGCCTTTTATATTTTTTAACGACTTCCAAAGTCAACCTTATCCTAAAGTTATCCTTTACGTAATCGGCGATGACCCAACTTTACATCATTTACATTAAAAAAGTACATCAAGGAATCAGCTTTTTAATTTCGGTGTCAACGTTTGCTAGCTTTTTATTTTTTTTTTCAGATTGCTGCGGAGGTTGCTGCGCCATTAGCTAGGACGGAAGAAATAGTTCTCTTAGGAGGAAATGACAAAACCAGCGGGGAGATCAATCGACTCGTTGGCCAGGTTCCCCCGGCCGTTCAGGCTTTGACGGGAGTAGATTTGTCAAAGGTATGTGGCTTTCTGGACTTCCTCGTTTAACCCTTTGCGGTCGTATGTCTACTCTCAGCCACCAAAATCCTCTTGATCTTGGGAAAATGCGACCGCAAAGGGTTAAAATTCATTGGTTTATCCAGGGTATGTCTCACGAATGGTCCAAAATCGATGAAGAAAGCGTGTACTCGGTCGAACGATCGTACGGATATGGATCGATTACAAATTTAACGGACTATCGCGACACGTGGTTCTATCGGTGGAAATATTATCACAGTAATTTGCAGCGATTAACTTCTACCGATTTTAGACCTTTCTTACGACCCCACCCTGTACGTTCGAACCTTTTATTCGGAATGGACTGAAAACGTTGGTCTTCCGATCTCGCGATTCCGTCTAATAAGATACGTTTCAAATTGGTATTTACCATTTTCGGCGTTGAAATGTCGAATCGGAGCTACGGTAAAAATTGTGAAACTTATCCGACCAGTTAAGAGACGCCCAAAGAAACGGAATTACTATCTCCCTGGAAATCTCGAGATCTGCTTCTTTTATTTTAGGTATTAGGAAAAATACCGGGGGCCAAATAATAATCTTTAATTGTGAATCCAGTACCCGGAGGCGCGATTTTGGAAAGCCGAGGAGGGAAATCAAAGGTAAACTTTCCGCTGCTACGCCTCCACTTTTCTGCTTATCCGCTATCCAAGATCTGCCAGCGGCGTGCATCTTTTCTCATTTCCCCGAATAATATATAAAAAGCATTGCTCTAACATTCCTCGCCATGACATGAGATATTAAATATTGCGTGTCCATGGGCGATAGACCATGTTCAACGTGCACGAATTAACGCGATTAACTCGATTACTACTTTACTCGTCGTCAGGCGGAAGATACGTAAATTTCGTGGTCATCTGCGAAACGACGAGATTAGATAGAAAATCAATTCTCTCCGGATGCCGCTAAACCGCGTTTATTCACCCTTTTCCCTTTTTCTACTCTTTCTTTCTTCGCTAAAAATGCATCTGTACGATACACTTCGAACAAAGAGATAACTCTGTCCAGTACTAATTTCCAATGTTAAAAGGCGCACTTTCTCCGAGTGCGGAATCGAATCAAACAACAAATTTATATTTTATTGTAAGGAGTAATTTTTGTCCCTCGAGTTTTCAGTACCTTTAGCAAAGTACCGCTGCCATATTGGAATGTTAATCGACAAGCCACAGATCTTTGACATAAGTACAAGTTTATGGTGCAACGGAGTGGGATAAAAAAATGACTTCCAACGGGTATCATTTGAGAACAATCATTTTCTTTTCGTAGATCCCGTTGCTCCGATAATTGTCCTTACGTCAAAGGCAAATCGAACTCATTCGGCATAGGAAATCATAATTTTTCAACGATAGGTTTCTACAATTATAAAGAAATTGTAACCAAATTATAACCAGAAACGCCTCCAAATTGTATGTTTAAGAGATTGCTGGCGTGTGTGTGCATTACGTGCGTTTAGTCGAAGGACATTAGTTTTTATCCAACTACTTATAAAGTTGTAAACAAAGCGTGCAATTAGAATCTTTTTGGCAACTCGACTGTTAGCGATTTTTTCACCGAGACAATATCCGGGAAATACGCGAGCAGGACCGTGTCGACGTGTTCGTAATTGAACGATTTTTCTCTACAAAATGTTACACATTGTTTCGCATAGGTATTCACATCTCGTTTTCAAGCTCTTGACATAGTCCGAGTTTGATTTTGATCGTGGAATTTTGTAAATCAGACGTGCAAAAGGCGAGCTTGAGAAACCTCATCTCGCTCCTTATGTTCCTTATATTTGTAAACGATTATTACAAATTCCAGTTATTTCTCGTTATTGTACGACGCTTTCTAGTATTCTAGTACGACGTATAATAGCCTCACGTAAAGAGACAGTACAACAATGAGCTTAAATGAGACGTGAATATTTACAGGAGTAGGAAAAGGCGGATATTTTTTTTTATAAGCAAATGTGGATATACCCCGATTTGTGGAACGTATAAGAACGCAGTTTTTTTCCTTTTGTTTTGGCTCTCTCGCCTCCGTTGAAACCGAAAAATTCGCGCTTATATCTGTATTTGGCGCGAAATGCCGTCGAGTTTCTTTATCACTAAAATTTTGAAAGTGAGTCCTATTAAGCTCAATCTTGTATAATTAAGCAACAAATTTACGTAAATTTTTATTTCGAGAGATACTGTGCCATATGTGTATAGATTAACTAATTTTATAATTGTTTTGAAGATGCAACGAGACCTCCGAATAACCGACCGAGCCATTTTTTTAATCACATTTTTCTGCTCTCTTCGTTAAGGCAGATTATTATATCGAGCCGGAGTAAAATTAATAGAAATTAATTACCGTCTTAATTACGGAAAATCGATGAAATCTCGCATCCCTTTCCGTCAAATTCTCGAGAAAACAAATAATCGACTGGAAATAGGAAAATAAAATGTTTTCTGGGAAACATTTTACCCCAAGCTTGACGACGTCAATTTTGAGTTCTTTTTGAATGTAAAGCTTAAATTGACGTGCTAAAAAATGAGCGAAATAAAAATAGTGCTTTCAGTTATTACTTAATCAATAAATCGATTTCGGCAGTAATTAGCGATGAGATGAATGACGAGTCTATCGTTAACGAAAGTTTTCACTATTGTGTTCAACGTAAGTAGATAATATTACGAGAGAAAAAAAATAGAAATTGAGTCTTCGTACAAATAACGGCAATTGCGAATTAATCTCAAAAGACGTTGTAAATATGCTTAGAGTTGTTAAACGACTGGAACGAAGAAATTGAATTTCACGTAACTAACGGGCCGCTCGAATTTCCAAAAATCGCCAATTTTTTACCCGATTTTTTTACTCCTGACCATTTATCGATAACTTATTCGTCGTAAAACGGAAGAAACGTTAGCAGATTTCTTATGATTTTGTTAGTTTAATGGAAAATCGGTTTTAAACGAGAATAAATATTAATCCGTAGAGCTAAGTGCCAAGCTGTACATTATTTAAACGAGAAAACATCTTAGCCAGTATCTATTGATTGTCGAAAAAGATATTTGATATAATCGAGTACAAAGAATTCTCTGAAGGGACTAAGCCAGTACTAATCTAAGAAGCGAGTACTTTATACTTTGCACTTCGTTCTTACACACGACACTGGGAGGAATTACTCGAATGGCTTCGAAACCTCTTCCTCTTGAAATCACTTCTTTCACCACACGCGCGAGAGAGAGAAGTAATCCAGAAAATTTATCTGAGTTCACTTGCACTTTGTGTGAGTTCACTATTCGAGGTACATAGAGACGTACTGCAAGTGTTCGATCGACGACATCACAGAAACTCCAAGTTTCTGGGGGAACGTTGGCTTAGGTTAAGTGACGATGAAATTGCGATAAATTAATAGCGAATAACTTTAGCGTCCTCCTCTAGAACGATAACTTTTCACTGTTCGGCTTCGAAGAGTAAGGTCCACATCTTTCGGAGCATTATCGTTACTTTCCAAATCCCCCGAAAATGTTACGTTTTCGAGAAGTATTCGTGAAAAGTCTCGATTCCAAACCTGGAAAAAGAATTAACTCTTAATCAACGATTTTCGTGCAATTAGAAATTCTTTCTTAAATTGTATTACAACGGAATCCAGACCATATTGTTTAGTTCGATCGATATCAAAATGTTTTACTGAACCAATTAATAGGTTTACTTGTTTATTTACCTTAGAGACTTTTCATGACTTCCATGCAAATATGTACTAAGGAACGTCTACCATGTAAGTTACCGTCTGCACTGTTTCATCGACAGATAGATATGAAAAGCCGCAAGTTGATTTTCCTCCGATCGAGTAGATAAATTAGAACGATATACATATATACATAAATAAATCTATATAAATGTATATTCTTTAAAATGATTACAATATAGCTAATAGGGAAACAATGAATTCTGTATATACTCCCCTGACGAAGAAAGATATTTAGGTAAAGTGTTCCACTCTCAATGTTGCCCTCGTCGCGGATTAAATGTATCGTTTAATACGAGACGCAAGTCATTTGCATTTTTTTAATTGCGATTACACGTTGCCCGTAAAGTCATCTCAACATTGATGACAAAGCACTGCGAGTCGAGTGTCGTATTTTTGCGTAACCAATTGCCGTAACCTAAAACGATCTGCCATCTACGAGTTGGAGAAACTCTGTGGTAAAAGTAAACAAAATCTTGATTAGAAGTCTTAAGGAAATTTTAGAAACGTTTAGATTTACCTCAGCTAAAGGATAATCATTCTTACGATTGTCCAAAGCCATTAGGAAAAAGAAAGAGAAAAACTTGCGACCGAAAGGCAAGACATCGCGAGTCTCTAAGGACCATTTTCGATCGCTATGACTAGGGAATATGGTCTTTACGGTAACGGTGCCTCGAGATGTTTTACCTCGCAATATGAACCAGTTACCACTACTACTAATTGCAGATGATGGTTTTTTATACTCCATTAAGGACCTAGAGAACTTGTGTAGGTATTACGAATATTCAGGTGTACTCCTTACCATAGTTCCCTTAAGTGTGTTGCACTATTTTATGTGTTACTGCTTACTGGTGGTACTGTAAAATGACATGTAATCGTACGACTGGTAATGAATTTTCATTGCAATACTAACAGAGAATATTTCGTTATACCGCTTAGCTATATTTATCCGGATCAATTTTTTGGTTTGACCTAATTCTTCGATTTACTACGGAATATATTTTCTAAGAACCCAATTATAAAGAAATAATAATCGATGCCAAAAGTTTACCTATATAAATAAAATATTCATATTGTTATTTGCAATTCGTACGATTATACGTTATTGCACAAGATTTCTTCGTTAATCGAAGAACTGCTTACTATTGTTCGAGCTAGTGTGTAATTATATTACGTGTGTCTGCTGTGAAAAGAAACATCGTTGTCAGGGAAAGGTATTCCAGTTATCATTGTATTCTTTGTTGCAGATTAATTTTTGCGAGGTTAAATCTTTTAATTCTCATTACCTCTTCTCGACAAGACCACAATTTTAGATTATTGATTTCAGTATCTCCATAAACACCGATAAATTGATTAACGTTGCTAAATTTACAATTTATAACAAAGAACAGAATAAATTCTACGCCTTAGGTGTTGGTATGTCAATTTTTAAATTATGGACATCCTTAAAAATGTTAAAATGTCTAGGCAGTCCGATAAAAGCCTATGTCCAATTGTCTTCCCTTGTTGAATGCATTATCAACATTTATGGGATGTTAAACGGATGTAAAAGAAATGAGAATCAACCCCTAAGGAGTATTTGAATTGTCTGTTGGCTCTATGACAATTTTTTTAAAGTTTTAACACTCCCTAGAATTGTCGTCAAGATATTTTATCGGTGTCTTCTGTAGAGGCTTTAATTTTAGTTAGTCGTAAGTCGCACTTCTGACAGTACAAGCGAAAAATGAGAAGATACGTTAATACTTGCTTGGTAATAATTACCTACGCGTTATCTTAATGATTATGTAGAACATAAAGTATGTAACTTTCGTTTCATTTTTTTTATTTTATTTTTTAATCTTAAATCTCTCGCCGAGTAGATTTGCCCAATTAACGTCCAGATTCCTGTTATCCCAATTATATATAATTTCCCTTATAGAAAATAAATATACGAATTAAAGACAGTGTTTATTTATTTCAAAGTCAATTGTATGAGCCAAACTCTTCTAAAAGCTGACATCGTAAGATCAATTTTCTAACAATATAACCTAATATTTCCGCTATTTCCTTTAAATAATTGCGTAGTCCCCCCCTCACATCTGCTAACAATATTTATTCAATTGTTTCAGCAGTTCTCGATTCTTTGTATTACTTTCTATAAAATGTCTGGTTAAAATTCAACATAAGTTGCTTAACGATTTTTATAAGCTACACACTTCAGACACATATATAATTTTATTGTTAGCTCAAATTCTGCAGAAATAAAATCAATATGTTGAAAAACCGCTGTGAAATATTTCCTACGGAGTACAGATATCAATATAAAGAGAAGAAACAGAAAAGGACTCTACTGTAAGAATTCACCTTTTAATTCGTAACATGCATCTTAACCAGTATCAAACGTGATCAAATGTTTTTAAAATACTGATTCAATTCGAATTTTGGTCCTGCTTAGTTTTATTAATAATCATATAAAAAAAAATGTGTACCAGTCGTATTTCCAGGTCTCCACCACCTCGCTGTTTTGAAGGACTAATCGATCCGGAACAAATCGATCCAAGATTAGCTTCTCTAACAATTCCCCCAGGAGCTGAAAAACTGGTGCAACAATTTACATTAAACAACTATCAGAGCGTTTATCGAGTCAGCTACAGAGATCATTGTAAGCATGCTTAACGTACGATCATGATTTGTTAAATAATTATTAAGGAAAATTTGTTAGGGCCCTCCAAAGATGACGAGCCTGATTCCTCACTCTCGGAAAAGTCTAAATTATCCAAGAAAGAACAAGAGAAGGATTTAGCAAGTGAATTGATAATATATCTTCGCAACCTCTACTTAGATCCACACACCGAAAAGGTCCTCGCTCCACCGATTACCTCTAAACGAAGTAATTGTCTTTTAACTTTTAAGACTCGCTCTATATAGTAATGTTTGTAGATATCAAAATTAACGGTATCTTCTTAAATGTATATCACAGTTTATGGATATATAAGGCCAAAAGATTTGCATACCACATTCTCAGCATATCAAGATTCCTATGGCAGAACTGGAGGAAACATCATGTTGCAAAACATTGAACTAATGGCAGCTGCTAAAAAAAAAAATCAAGCCCTAAAGCAGAGATTAAATTACAGAATCTCTGATGCAGAACCAGAAAAAGATCCCTCCATGCAAATTTCCAAAAAAGGCAGATTCAAGATGAATAAAGGTAACCTAAAGACCCTTTACATCGTATTCCATAAAACATAGTTTCTTTAAAATTATAAGAATTACTATTCGAAAAATTGAGGTATAGAAATAATTTCGAACAGGTATCTCAGTGATCTGTGAAACAATCAAATTCTCCTACAGCTAAAAATAATTTCAAGAGCTATCCAAATTGTCAACTGTCACTGAACTTGACCAATATTTCATATATATGTATTAAACACATTATTCAAAATTAACCTCAATACGTCAATTTATCGAATGCGTAGGAATTTAGAAAATGATTTTCGAGACGGACGAGGAGACTCGTGATTTCAAGACCGTTTACGTTAAAGATTTTTATCCAAAAAAGGGAAAGAAGCAAAATCCAATTCTTCCACCCGTCAACTTCAACCCACCACTTAATGTTCTCAATGAACCGTTTAAAGAGCACATAAACACACAACGAGTAAATAAAAAATTGCCAGAAAGTGAGCAAACAGAGGATCCGCAAGAGTACCTGGATAAGGTCAGTTAAATTTGGAAAAAATTACCTAATTTATTGAATATAATTATTATTATTAATTTGGTTTGTATACTATAATCCTACTCACCCTAATTTATAGATACATCGGAGGTACCCTCACTTGAACAATTTTCTTCCAAAAATTATACCCAACGAAGACTTACTCGAGCTGGAGCAAAGGAAATCGATGATGACTCTGTATCGAGTACACTTCTCCAAGCATATAGGTGAACGATATATTTAGTACATAGTTATCCCTGTTGTTTAACGATGGGAATATCAATGCTTATCGTATTTAAGTCAGTCAATATTTTTTAAGATTAATAGATGCCGATAACATGACTTCCATTTTTCCACAAAATTAGACGATTATCTCTCACTGCGAGCAAGACGTTTGGGTGGTGATAGGCAACCCGTCACTTTGCCAGAAAACTGGTCAATACCGGAAACAATTCAAAGAAGATCCTACAGAAATCCTCGAGATCTGGCACCGGAGTCACAGTTAATCAGGACTAGATGTCCCAAACATTCAAACAATTTGGATCCTAACTTAGAAGAGAGAAGAATTCTTCGAGTAAGGTAAGCAGTACGCAATATTCATTTCTGCATTCATTTCATTTTGCAGTTAAACATTTAAAGTGTATCTTGTAAATCTGTTTCATGCAGAACTGGCATTTCGGAGTATGAAGGCACTGTAGGTGCAATTGGGAATCGAGTCTTGAAGGAACAACTTTTTGGACCACCGTTACCTCTCGAGCCACCGCTCTTGCATGTCAAGAGATCCGGAAGGACGAAATCTGAATGTTCGATGATTCTCTTAAATACAAAACGCCCCTTCCTCTCCAATGTCATGTAAAAATTGAATAAAAGATCGACAAAAATTCCATTAATGTCTTCCCACGTTGGAATACTTCCAAATTCTAGGTTAAACAGGTTAATCTTTAACTAAAGAACGCGTAAAAGTGCCAAGAACGAGGTGTAAGGACCTAGGAGGTATTTACACGGGTAATCTCACAGGAAACTCCAACGTTGAATCATTTGATAATCCGTTGTCTAATGAGTCGTCATGTGAAACGGTACAAAAACAGAACTAATTTGTCGCTCGTATGGCAATTTGCCCTCATTTATCTGAATTCTCTCAGCCTCACTCTCTCGCACACTGATCGTATATTTATAGTCCACGCACACACTGTTGCCTCTATGAACTCTCCTCATGATACACGTATGTACAACTTAATCGAGATAGGCGACGCAACTTCCGAGTTACTCGAAATCGTAAAAAACACCTCCCTACTGTCGAGATTGTCTGCGTTCTCTCCCAGGAGCTTCCTTCGCTATTTAACTCATTCAAGGTAGCGAAAAAAGCTCCGTCCCCGTCAGACACATCCTTCGCTCGATCGCACAGCTCTCCGATACTTTCAAATCCTGTCGCCTTTGACAAAATGTCCTCAAAATCTCTCTACATTAATTTAGAAAATATTCGAACAGTGGACATAATTCATATTTTTTTACGCCAGTACACGCGATCGTAATTTTTTTTTGTATAAGTTCTCTAATAATTCTTATCGTTTTTTATTAGGAACCATCGCCAATTTTTTAATATGGACGAGATCGATTCACGGTTCGACGATCGCGAAACGGCGACACAATCGGGCTATTCAACAACGTTCTTTAATCGGCTTAATAAGTTACCACTATCTAACGTAAACTTCGTTTGAGAACGAGCTCGCGCAAGCTTATCTACATTAAATTAATAAATTGTACTCGTAAAGAAGTCTCCCGCGAAATTCGACCGACGAGTGCCGTTCTCCGCGTCCGATGTCCGAATCTATTTTATCTACTTATCGATGGTGGATTGTTCGACTTAATCATGGATTCCGGGATATCAAACCTAGAGGATGTTCAGACTGCGAGACACGCTACAAAGTCATGACCAATCTCTCAGTATTCGATGCCAATTCAAATCTATCCATTCATTGTACAACAAAAAAAAAATGTAAGTTCGCAACTTTTTCCTTAATATAAACTAAAATATTACTCTTTCACGGCTTAATTCTTGACGGTGTTATACAGAACCGGAATACTCGATGGAATTAGTTGAATATCATGTTAATAACAATGTTTAAGGAAAATGAAATCGATGCGAAGTCGAAGTCATGCCCATCGATGTTCCTTGCTTTTCCCCAATAAACTGCACTCGAAATTTCTAGAACTCGATTTCCTAAAATCACTACCATAGATCCTCCTATGGAGTGGCACCGTTTGATCTCACATAATTCCGCCCTGCTTCTCGCTCGTAAAGTCTTAACGATACATTTTTTAAGCTCAACAGGCAAGCGACTTTCGTTATAATGAATCAGAAGCGAGTTTAGTAGGGAACTGAATAGAAACGATCCCGAAGAAACCTATTTACACCTTCGACGATCATCAACTTTTACCACTTGAAGAAAATAATCGCGGACACACGATTGGATAGTCCAGGTCAATCACGATGAATGCTTCAAAGTCGTAGTTCCACTCGAAGAAAGCATGGACCGAACGCCATGAACTCCTTGCAGAGATGAAAACTCCATTGCGATGTTTTTTTCAAAACCAAATTGTAACTATTCTCTTCTTCCACTGAACGATTCACATCATGCTGTCACAGATAATGCACAACTCACTCGCACTCACGATCAGCTCCATGTATTTACTGAAATTCAAGAATAAAATAATTTTACAAAGCATTCGCGGGATCGTTAAAGGAGAGTAGGAAAATGGTATATCGAAATCATCGACTCACCTCAATTATGATGGCAGACGTCATGTTATCGGTGTTATGATGCTGAACTCCGGTGCTGGTTGCCGGTATCGTGATGGTGCGGATAGTGTTGGTGCTCGACGTTGTAATATGTTGCGTGATCATGGTACTCGTGTTTGTTCTACTGAATTCATTGGAGAAAGACGGACTACAATAAGGGTAACATCTAGTAATCAAAGTACGTTAAGTGCCCCAATGGTACAGGTGAACTCATCTAGACTGGAAAAAAAAAAACTGCCTTCACAACAAACATTTCTGCTGCTTTCGATCATTAGCTATGCAACCCAATGCACGAGTTCTCTATTGTGACGCGTGAGTTAAACCCCCAAAAAGCATTAATGCACAGAATGGAATTAAACACGCCGTTTTTTGAGGAATACTTACTTCCGTTTCTTAACTTGACCCGAGTGGAAACGCCCTCCTTCCCCGCGGATTCTGTTCATCGCGTGCCGATGCCGCGATTCGTGAAGATATTTCTTTAAAAACAAAAAGGGAGAAACAACATAGCATTAGTCACAGAAATTACACAGTCGTTATGAATTCTACATTTTCAGGGATAACCTACAGGCCGCTCCTTGGGGATTTTTCCTTCGGCCTCCAATTTTGCACGGGCCTGACGACGTTTCAAAATGCGTCTATACTGCTTGGCATTCACGTAAAGGGGTTCCTCTTCGAGGAATTCGGGACCAGGTAACGCGACTCTCTGAAATTGCGTCTGTCCACTATTCCCTGGTACCATCTGTAATTACAATAGCAAACATCAGTTGAAATAATTATAGCTGATTCAAAACGATACTTGCGAGTGCTGTGCATCAGAAAATACGTCCAAATTATTAATTTGCATCGTGAATATATCGCATGCAAAATTAATTATAGGTACTTTAATAAATTTATGTAACACGTGCAATCGTTAGACATACGTAAAGCTTTGCCTTTTTACTGTTGCTCTATAATCACTACAAGTCGGTATAACGTGTACACTGACTATACGAGTGAAAGAGTCTTTTCTAACAGTAATCACCATGACAATATTTCCTGCCTGAGTTGCTGTTGTAGTAGGACTGGAGAGCGGCTGCACAGGAGTGGTAGTAGCCGCCGAACTCGTAGTTTGCGCAGTGGTGCCAGCAATTTGCATCAGGTTTCCATTGATGTTTATCACTATAAAATTATGACGTTTGTTTCCATTTTATAATTTAAATGGATGTTCTTACGAAAACGAGCGACGGCGTTTACCCACCTGTAGGTTGAGCTTGTTGAACCTGTCCTTCCAACTGCACGGGTTGATAAATATATGTCTGTCCATCCGGAGTCTGGATTATTTGCGGAGTCTGCGGTTGTTGAATAACTATCTGCTGTCCCGCTCCGGCGAGACTAGAAACTGGAACCACCTGGATCTGGCCGTTCGGCGCCGCAACCTGGATAGCGGGTGGTAACATCATCGCCTGCCCTCCTTGACCCATCTGGACGACCTGGACGGTTCCACCGGTAGCTCCGACCATGACCGCCTGTCCCTCTCCTAGTTGGTCCATCTCGCCGGATCGTGCTCGCAGCTCTGCCAATCGAAAACGACTCAGTGCTAATACGACATTAAATGACTACGATACAAATATAAGCAGTCGACTACGATCAAAAGTCAACCACGGTCGGGGTGCCTCTGAGACGTTAGGCAATTAATTCCAAGTAACGAACTCCCGATAATTGAAAAGTCCTGAATGACTCGACGAGCAAAAAAGTGCACGGATGCATGGCAAGGCGAACCACCTAGTAGAAGAGCCAACGGCACGAGGAGGAGAGTCAGCCGTCGCCGACAGAGGTTGGACGATTCCTCGAGGGGTCTGGGCCCCGTCGACTCTTGGGGCCCAAACCGGCCGCCGAAGGGCGCGATCGAGCTGGGCGCTGGAGGTTGGCGACGCCGGGCGTCGCGCCTCGGGGCCGCCCCCGAGGGCTCGAAGACACCGCGTGGCCCGCCAGAACTCGCGATTCACGGTCCCTGCCTCGGCGAAGCCTGGCACAGCACCTAAGATGGCCGTGTCCGGGTTTTCGGACGCGGAAGGCCGCGCCGCAGGCGGCCGCTGGACCGACTCGGGGCCGCGGCTTGCCGCGGCCCGACTCGGAGCGGCTCGCGACCGTGACACGTACGCCGTAGATGTTTGATAATTTGTGGACTTACATTGGATATTTTCGTGGGCACTTTCCCAATGATTGGTCGGCAAATTGAGGACCAATGGTCGGCGATAGAGAGTCCTCGGCTCTTGTGTATTGGTGGCACTGAAGGGGGGACCTGCCAGTCCGATGGCAGCCCGATGCAGACCGGTCGATGCCCCTCCGCGCCGCCCCGGCTCGGCCAATCGACGCGCGCGCCGTGCCCCCCACCGCCGCACGCGGGAACGAGCGACGCGGTCGTTCGACGCGAGCCTCGCCCGCGAACCCCGACCGCTTCCCGCCCGATTTCAATCCGAATCCTCCCAAGAACGCCAAAGCGGCTGCCCGCGGCTCCGGTCAGCCCGGCCCAGACACGTTCTCCGATGTTCGCGCGCACGGACGGAATGGCGTCACCTACGAGAGGGTTGCGAGAACCGAGCCGATCCTGGCACCTACCTTCGACGCGGCCTTCGCTCGCTTGCGCAATCTTTTAGGTGAAAAGATCCAGTCCATTTTACAAGATTCGAAAATTCGCGCCAGTTTGCTCGATAGCTCGCAGTCGCTTCTCGGAGAATGCCTGCCGACTTCTCGCCTCTATCTCTGTCTACCGATCTTAGCGAGCATTAGCGAGAGGTTATGTGTCGTGGATCCGATTCGGTCAGGAATCAGTTTGTCTTTTCTCTGTAATTGGGGATCGACAATTGTTAGGAAATTGGCAGAACATGGCGAACACCGTTAAGCACGGAACCGAGTTGGCGTTATCGATGCTGAGGTCGCTGCCCAGAGTGTGTCTTTCAAATATTCGAGATAATCCAGGATCAAAGATCACCGTAAGCTTGAAAATGTAAATAGGCAAAGATACTTACTTTATCGTTAATGAAACTTACCTGCATCGATTTAGAGAAAAAGAGGAAGAGGTCAACACAGAGGGGACAAGCACGGTGCTGGAAACAAGTCCGGTCAGCGTCAAAATTATATGCGACCTGGATACGAGACCGGGAATACTCCTTTCTATCTTAGATTTGGTTACGAGCCTTATTATAAAGGACATCAGTAAGTTTGGTTTGGTTAGAAGAAATTAAGGAAACGTCTTACCGTTTTGAAATTCAAGTATTCGCTTTGCGTTACAATTATATCGGTTCTTTCCTTTACAGCTTAAGGAGAGAGTATCCTCCCATGTCTTTACGAAACTTGCAAATGATGATCGATACAAATCGTTTGGATATTAGTAAACCGATCGACTTAACCGCGATAGTACAAACAGGATTGTACGAAATATTACCCGACCAGCGACAAGCTGGTATTCATTTAACCGACGAGGTTGTTACAAAAATTTTCCTGCGACATAAGAAAGAAGTAACTATTCTGTTAATTTTATTTCATTTTAGGGTGAAGATTTGTTTAAAGCAAAAATTAACATAGAGGTTCAATGGGCAACCGAACCAGTAATTGCAGCTATCGAAAGAAATGGAGGTGTCATTTCAACGGCGTATTACGACGCACATTCTCTGTGTGCCGTTATCAATCCTGAAAAGTGGTTTAAGAAAGGTAATTTTCAATATTTAATGGATCATGCTAGAGATCAAATTCATTGATATGTTCCTGCATTGTATATTTATAATAATATATTTATAATAATCTATAAAATTACAGGTGAGCCAATACCAAGAAGATTATTACCACCGATGGATTGTTTAGAATTTTACTCGAGTGCTGCAACTCGAGGTTACTTAGCCGATCCAGAAAAGGTCTCTCAGGAAAGATTTATCTTATCTCAGAAGTATGGATATTTTCTTCCAAAAATTGAAGATGACCCTGATTATGAAATGTTGATTAAACGGAAAGATCCACGTCAAATTTTCTTTGGTCTCGAGCCAGGTTGGGTAGTCAGCCTCAAGGATAAAGCAATTTTTAAGCCAAAGGCTGAATATCTCAAAGAATTTTATGCGAGTTAATTGATATGTATAAAAGGGACAATAAATTATATAACTTCTCCCATATACAGTTTACATTATAATTAAATCTGTAGTAAATATAAAATTGTTTAATAAAGTGCTTTCCTGAGTATCTGTGTAGTGTATGAAATGTATATAACTCTTGTGATACATTACATTGTAGTGATAAACTCTTAACGTTCATAAAATCATAACATTAGATTGTAATTTTTGTATTGCATGATTAAACCTAGTTAACCCTTTGTGCAAGATGTTTCAAAGTGAATAAAATTCATTTATAAGTAAACAAATTGTTCTTGTGTCAATATCGTTGATATTAGTTTTCACAATATTAAAAATATAAAATTATTTATGGGTAACAATCTCAGTCATATAATATACAAACGTGTGTATGTCGCCCCATATTCTCATAATCTGTACATACAACTGCATACGCGTAAAACATCGAAAAAGTAAATGATTACTTTAACGCTAAATCATACCAAAGCTTGTCACGTTTGACGACGCTGATTATCATTTCTTGACTGACATTCCACAGCCGGGTTGCCAAAGTAGGATCAAGAGCAGCGTTAGAGGGTTCACAACGATAACAGTTGTTAAAGTAAACCCCCGTTGCTCCTTCCAGTTCCGGTGCAGTTGCACAAAATACTGAAGTACTTGCTGCTTGTTCCTGCGATATAAATTGAATTTTTTCATAAACTGCACTTATTTCTACTCGAAGTGTTATGTTGCATTTTCGATATTTCTGAAAATAAATAAGTAGTTTATATCTTACCAAAGACTTTGTAAAGGGTCTTACTATGGCGAAGAGTAATCTATATGTCCATGAATATCGTGATAATTCAGATGACACCATGTTTCCAGGATGACAACTAAATACGCTTACCGAAGGCCACCGCTTAGCTAATTCTTGAGCGAATAGGATATTGCAGAGTTTGGAATCATTGTATGCTCCCATTGACCAGTATTTATATGATGGCGGTGAGAGAGTTAGCGGATGAATATCTTCGACAGACTGTATAGATGAAAATCTATGCAATGACACATGTTCGGTACTATTAGCACACAAAAATAAATTGATATATTAATTACATTATCATATCATAATAATTAATTAATACCTATGAGACTCGCTAGAAACGACTACCACTCTGGCATTGCGGCAACAGCGTAGTGGATGTTCCAGAAGTAACGTCAAATAAAAATGAGATAAGTGATTTATTTGGAATACTGCTTCATAACCATCTTCGGTAATAGTATACGGTATTGCAAATACGCCAGCATTTAGTATCAGAATATGTAGAGTTCTGTAAATAAAGAAATATATTTTTTAATTAAAAAATACTTTAATAATAAAAGAACCACGCACTTCTAATAATGATAAAAATAAAATTATTTGAAAAGTAAAACATCTAACACGTGTTAGCATTGAATATATGCTTTTAAGATGCTTACTTGTACTTCTGCTTAAATTTTTCAGCTGCCTCTCTAACGCTGTGCAACGAATTCAAATCTAGTTGCAGCGTGTCACAAAATGTGTGCTCTTTTTCTTGCTGTATTCTTTTTGCTGCTTCTTCTGCTTTCTTTATATCCCGACATGCTAATACAATCCCACATCCGTGAAGAGCTAACGACCTTGCAGTTTCAAATCCTAAAAATGATTTATCTTTTAACAATTCAACATTTGCTTATCTTCGGCGTTTTACTCACCTATGCCAGTATTTGCTCCCGTTATTAATGCAAGTTTGCCACGCAGATCTCGACCATGTAAAACCGACAAGGCGGTACTGCTACCGTCAAACCTTTGTCTAACAGGTTGCGATACCTCTCTGTACTCTGTAGCAAAGGCCAGCCGGGGGTCCGTGTAAGTAGTCGTGCGATTCATGTGATCGACAAATAGTATTTTACCATCATCGGAAACACACCTATCCCAACCAGAAGGTAGCTCTAAAGACAACGATTACCTAATAAAAATTATCCGTCATGGTGGCAATCAAAATAAAACATATACATACCTCCTTCCACAATTTTCTTGCGTCCAGTACGAGGATGTGTCCACTGCGTCCCTTTTGTGTAGTGGCTATAAACAGCCAGTAAATAAAACAGAAAATAAATGTTATCAACAGGTAAGTCGTAGAAAATTAAAAGTCATTTTTATCGTTAATATAAAAATAACCATTTCTATTTTAACATAACCTTATTTTTTACGGTAAAACTTAGTAAACCTTCCAACGGTAACGTGAGTTCCTAGAAACTCAAAATATTTTCTTGCAGCTTCAGCAACTTACTTTACGTAATAAACATTTCCGTCTAACGTGGCGCGTTCCTCCCAACCGGGCGGCAATTCGTCTTCGCTGTCGGAATCATTCAAAACACCCACCATTTTGTCTGTTGCGTTCTTTTTTTATGGAATGAAGTAGCGCGCGAATTGCGCCTACGCGTGGCGGTAATTTTAAATTCTCCTCGCGATTCTTTATAACGATTGAATAATTTCACAAAAAGAGAATGTATTCTAATCATATCTTTTCTATTCAACGAATAGTACGACATTTACGATAAATGAGCTTAAAAGGTTCCTGAATTTCCAAAACGCAGGGAAAATATTGTCGGTTTCAGGGCAAATTTTCCGTGTACCAATCAGAAATCACATAAATTGCTAGCAGTTTAAACACGATTTAAACATAGTATTCACTCGACTAGCACATAATAATGAATAATAATAGAATACAGTAGAATTCGTTTAATTTTTTCGTGCTCTTAGTCACAACGGAAACTTGTCGATTACTGGCTGCCGCTAATTCCGCGTTTGTACTTTCGGACGAGAAGGCCGTGAAGTTGGTCACTTGCCGCGCCCGCATACTGCACGCAATCGACCTCGCAAAATCGATACCGCACTTCATTCTGTCAAATGTGCTCAAATGGATAATGGCAGCGACAGCGATTGAAAGAATGTCGCAGAACAATACGTTTCTGTCGAAAAGGAAGGAAGATGCCGAGAATAAAGACAACTTGTGGTAGGTTTGCGAGAGCGAAGCCGTGGACGTACGACTTATCGCGCAATCGGTGTGACTCGGTGCACGACGTCATCCTTAGCGTGCCACATGAGGGAAGCGCCAGTGCTTTCATCCGATTCTGTTTTTTTTTCAGGTCCTCTATTTTGGCCGAAGTACAAAACAGTGGGAACAATAAATTACCATCGAACAAGAACGTCCTTGTCTTAGGTAAATTACCTTTACTGCGTGGGTATACGAGTTCCGGGGACAGGCTCTGCATGTTGATCGTTCACTTAAGATTCCGCTAGAGCAAAGAGAGCAAATGACATCATTCCGCTACCTCTAGCTTCCTCCGAGTGATAATGACTTTTTCGTCTGCATATATGGACTGGCCTTAGGTCGTGATGTCTGTGACGATATAGAGTTTTATCGGTCATTACTTTATTCATTGAGATTTTTTAATCGTTGCGATCTCTGTCCGACAAAAGAGAATAGTCGGTACTGGTATTATACTCGAGATCGTTCATACCGATATCGCGAATTAATCGATGTGATTTCTTGATATTTATTATTTTGTTGGTTTACCGAAATGATTTATTTTGGATTTTAATAACAAATTATTTTCAGGTGATAATGAAAGTGGGAAAACTACACTCATCGCTAAGCTGCAAGGAGTGGAGGATCCAAAAAAGGGGTCAGGGCTAGAGTTTGCATACATCGACGTTAGGGATGATTACAGAGATGGTACGTGTGAAGATTCATGAGGATATTTGACAGTGGCATTATTATATTTATAATGCGGCTTTATGGCAGACCATACGAGGCTATCTGTGTGGGTTTTGGATGGAGATCCTGGTCACGCAAATCTGTTGCGATTTGCTTTGAACGCGGAACGGTTTCCACATACCCTCGTTATATTAGTTGCTGCCATGACGACACCTTGGGCCATTCTTGACCAGCTTCAAGCATGGGCTGCCCTTCTTGGAGATCACATCGACAAACTTCCTTTAGACAATGACGTTAGACAACAATGTAGACAACTCAGTGAGGATTTTCTTTTAAATAATGCGAGGCATGTAATTTATAGAGATCAAAAATGAAATTTTTTTTTCCTAGATATTAAAAAATGGCAAGAATATACGGAACCAGGAGACGAACTAGATCCAGGAAGTCCGTTACGCCGTACTAGTAGAAACCTGGATGATGAAACGGCAGAAGGTTTACCTTTGCCCGAAGGGGTCCTTACGACCAATTTAGGCCTAGACGTTGTGGTCGTAATTACCAAAACTGATTACATGTCAACTCTTGAGAAGGAACATGACTATAAGTAAATAGAAATTATCGGGATAAGTTCATAGGTTAAGAAATATCTACACTATGATTACCGTTTCTTAAATTATGCCATTTCATCTTACCAGAGACGAGCACTTCGACTTTATGCAACAATGGATCAGGAGATTTTGTCTGCAGTATGGAGCTGGACTGTTTTATACTTCAGCTAAGGAGGATAAGAACTGTGATTTGCTCTACAAGTACCTTACCCATAGAATTTATTCTCTACCATTTAGGACACCAGCTTTAGTTGTCGAGAAGGATGCGGTACTTATGTGAGAGGACATGCATATTCTTGATGCATTTAATGCTTCCCTAGTTTATAGCCTACTAAATCCTTATTATGTGTTACAAATCGTAGTCCTGCTGGATGGGATAACATGAAAAAGATCAGTATCCTTCATGAAAACTTACAGTCGATGAAACCGGATGATTATTACCGTGATATCATTGCTCAACCAGCAACAAATCGAAAAGTGAGTTACGATAACAAAGCAATACCGATGTTACGTATAAAAATTCAGCATCGAACGCATTAAAACTTTTCTGATATTTCCCAGAGCGTGACAAGGGAATTCGAAATTCAAGCTGAAGAAGAACAAGCCTTTTTAGCGAGACAACAGGCTGCTCTAACTGGCCTGAAGGATCCCACGCGTTCTCCGACAGCGCGGAACCAGGCAAGCACGGGCCCAGTCATACAGGTCGTACCATTTATAATTAGAGCATGCTCTCGACGTTGAACATAACCTACAGCTACGTGTTGTCGTCACATGATAACTTTACCATCACTAATGTCCACGATCATGCGATAAACCATGCAACATTAATCGTTCTCTTTTGCTTTGATTGTATTTGTGCTTACATTCGTTCTCATTGATGTTAAATGTCAGTAAAAGTGAGGTTATCTCATACACTGAGAATTACGAGACAAAATTCATGTCCTACGTGCTTTTTGAATGCGTCAACATTTGCGGGAAGATCTTCGTTGTACGATTGTGTTTAGCCTACGATCACCATTTCGTTTCAAAGCCACTCGTTTGCCATTCGCAGGGCACTGTCAAGTTAGGCACCACATTTATCGTCCAGTGTTAACATTTGAAAGCATGTTCTAATCCCTGTGGTATGAACCGTCCAAAGTAAATACGATCACGTTTCTTCAATCGTCGTTACCGTCCAGGAGCTAAATGTTTCGTGTACAGGTGGCATCGCCCAATAAGAAATTGGATCCAAAAGGCGCCGGAGGGACCCCGTCAGGAGAGGGTGTTTTAGCGAATTTCTTTAATTCTCTTCTTTCTAAGAAGACCGGAGCATCGCCTGGAGCACCAGGTTCCCCCAGTAGCGTGGGCACGAGTCCCGTAAAGATCGGTGAGTACCTTCCTATACCCAACGAATCGATAAATCAACTCACGGATCCTTTAACCGCACCACAATACGGAAACATTATCTATCTAAACTTCTATACTTTATTACATAATCTCGGCACTTTTTTAACGTGGTTTTGAACCGTCATTATTTTTTTTGTTAAGCTACTTGAGATAAATACGTATTTCTAAAACTTATATGTACTAGCTTTTATTTCCAATATTTATTCTTTTGTATCGACAAACTTTATTTACGCGATTTTCATTCGCGTAAAGGAATCCGCGTCTCTTCCGAGCTTCCAAAAATTGTCAGCAGATTCCATGGTTTCAGACGGCAGCGCGGTGGACAAGGCGGCGGTGCGCAACGATGCTGTGGCAGAGCTGGACCGCATCACGCGAAGCAAGAAGATCCCTCAGCCGGACCTGAACTCGTCGTCCGAGTGTTAAGCGGTCGCAGATCACTTCGCGTTTCTTGGCATCCGGTTAAAAGCGCGCGCTCGAACTCCTTAAAGTCACGCAACTGCCCGGACTCGACGGGAGCTATTCCTCGGAGCCGAAACAGTTTACGGTCTCGTCGTCCCCGTGGAAAACCTTAGACAATCGTTCGCGACTGACTTAGCACAATTCCAAGCAGCGAATGGAACGTTCGACTCGTGCACATCCGAAATGTTCAAGGAATCTGGAGAACGCGACGAGGCGCGCACGATTTCCACTCTCAACGAGAGACCTCCCTCGAGTCTGTAAATAAAAAATCATTGCCGTTCGCGGGATCTGGCAGTTCTCCGAAAATTAACGTAGCAACCGCGCGGCCTTTTCGCCGTTCCTCCCGACGTCCATCGAACGAATCGCTTTTCCCGAACATCGGTCAAATTTATTTATTTATTAAACCGCCTCTAGCCAACGATTGCGAAGTCCTGCCGACGCGAGCGTACATGTATACATACTATGTGTTCCTTTCGAAGTGTTTTTATATTATTACTTTCGTCGCTTAGGCTCATCTCTTGCACAAAAAAGCGTCCCACTTGAGGGTTCGATAAAGCCAGGTCGGCCATATTGGATCGTGGCATCGGACGCGAGAAAATCGCGTCAAATTCCCGGCGGGTATTTGGCACATTTTTTTCACGGTTTTACCGAGCATAGACGCCGTGGTAATCAACGGATGCATTAACTGTCGGCCAATTCGAATTTGCGATGACATTGTGTTCATCGTCGGATATTCGGCGCAAATTTCAGGCAATTTTTTGTCGCCAAAATTCAAAATGGCCGACTTGGTGAACACGTTGCGGTTTAATATCGCGGGAGATAACATTGTCGTAACACGTGTGCAATAATGGTTTGAGCGTTTCCTGCAGCAGTGATTTAATGTCGAGACTCGAATTTCGCAGTCGTGCTAAACAAGGAGTGGCAAAAATCGAGCGCGAATGCAATTTCATGCGAAGGCTGACTAAGCTTCGGAGGAGAGGGAGAGGCACTTCGCAGCTATGTAACAGCTTTGGGCGTCCCGTCTATCCGCGAATTAATTAATAGAAGAATATTAAATTAATGTAATAAAACTATTTAATATAATAATAAATCCGAAGTATCCTTGCGCACGTGTCCCTGCGTCCACCATAATAAATTATTTAGCGTGTATTTACGGCCACTCGCGCTTCTCATACTTACGAGGGGGAAAAAGAAAAATGGAAAAAAGTGTGTATAAGGGAACGAGTTTATATACGTTTAATTTTTATACGGCGGCTTCGATTTCGGAAAGTTACGGGCGGTCTAACGTAGGGAACCGCGCGATCGTTGGAAGAAGCTCTCGAAGAGATTACGTTACGACGGGGGAAGTTTGTACGAGTTGTATATTTACGTGAGATTCGTTTTCGTAGAGATAGGAATCGCTTTTGTATCGCAAACCGAACTCGAGAATGAGATGTGATTGTAAAAGCGTAGATTTAGCGCGTCGCACATTCGCTGGGCGCAAAATCTTGGTTTCTTTCGGAGGGAAACTGTATATTTAGTTAGTACGCGCATCGCGTTTTGGCTCATAATACGAGACTCATACGAACCTTATTAAAAATAAATAATTTTTCACACATAAATGTTGTATTTTCAAGAACCAGTGTCACAATTGACGTAGCTTTGACATTTGTCTAACCCAATAAATCATTATTTTCCACTTAATGCGAAGAATAACGTGGACCAAGAATCGCTTAAATTATATATAATTAGTAAAAAAAAATTACTTCAACAATGATTATTTTTATTCAATTCGTGTAGACAGAATGCCATGTAGTCGTCACAAGTGACCGAACTTACTGAACACTGAAACTGAACTTCACGTTTTCGCTCCTCTGTAACAGTATTGTTTCGACTATTTGTAATTAACACGAAATTATAAATAAGGATTAAAATAATACATAATACACGACGAAAAAGGTGTACGCTCATGTATGAAAACATCCAGCTAAACATTAAAACTTCATTCGATGACACGAGTACTTCGTTTTTCACTCGATCGCATAGAAGCAGTTGCGAAGGCACACACTGTGTGTACATTTGAAAAGCATACAAAAGATGAATATTTTTTAGTTCAAAACTGAAACAAATTTTATGACGAGAAAGCCTGCACCCGAACCCTTGAGATAAGTCTACTATGCATAAATGCAAAAGAACGTTAGCAGCACCTTCCATTAGAAATGTTGGATCGAATTAAAACTTTTATTGAATGATAACCGTGACTTACAATCTGGTGCTGAGAATAACAGCGGCAGCTACAGGTTTGCCATGGACTTATGAAGATCAAAACTACCTAATAAAGTCGAGCCCAGGACCGATGAAACACTGACGGATCAATTTTTGTGTGTCATGGAGTATCTAAAGTAATTTTTCTATTTTTCTTCGCACCACTCGTTCTCCCTACGTACTTGCTCTTCTTCGGCGGCTGTAAAGTCATTCTTTATATTAAATGTCTTGCGGGTTTCTTCTGGAGTTTTGCCTTTGATCATGTTAGCGACGGTCTTGCACGTAACGTCTAACAGTCCCTTGATGTCAAGATAATTTGCTGCCAAAATCAGTTCGAACAATGTTCCTTGATCGACCTGAAAGTTATATACATTAGAAACTGCGATACTTAAACATTAACATAAAGACTCAGAGATTCATTTATCGATACCTTCAAGAAATCCGCATCCCATGAACTGATGTCATCGGTGCGTTTTTCTTTGTTCTCGTCGTCTTCCGGTGGAGGAGGATCGTCTTTATGGTACGTCGCCCATTGAATTACCTTCCTCAGGATGGTAGAGTTTACATTGGGCAATGGCACAATTTCTTCCTCGTCTTCGTCCATACCCAAGTCTTCTAACATGGTCTTGATGGTCACGGAGCACTTTGCAATGTCCACGTCCACTTCGAAGACCTCTCCATCGGAGCTTTGTAACTTTATGTTTGGCATCTGTAACATACAAAACGGAGAAATAATAAAAGAAACCATTTTAATTTAGACGTGAACTGCAATATTGGCATTCATGCCAGCCGCTTCTCAGTTTCCTGTTACACTCGACAGATGGCGCCACGGACCAGTCGTCCGATATCCCGCGGAATGACCGCCATAAGTAACTAACATTTTTTCCCACGAATTCGTCATATCCATTTACAAAATATTGGCACAAAATGCATACATACGCGTAATCTTGATCGTCGCGTGCTCGGCATTCGAGTACGCTTTTCCTCGCAAACGGTCGACTGCTCGATTACCCGATAATCATTTGTAGTCATCGGTGATAATAAAAAAATACACAAAGACTCCGAGGCAAAGACAGTAAATGTGTCGTATACTTTGCATACGTTTCTCATCTTAATCTTTCTATAATATTCTTAGAACAGAGATAAATTTAATCGAAGGAAAGTTGCTCCAACCATTGTTACGACGCAAGCACTGTCCTTCTCCGGAGGAAAATATTGAATCCCATCGGAACGTTCAAGGTCTCTTCGCAATGTGTAACCTACTCGAAAAAGGATACATCTGCATTGAGTTTAGAAAATTGGGTCAGTAAATACAGCACGATCTGTGCTTCGCGAAACAAAAACGACAACGGACATTACATTACAAGCATGTCTGTCGTATTTCAGCTGACAGGCAGAAAACTCCAGAAAATCGAAGGGACCGTTGAGTCCGTTCCAACAGAAAGAATCTGATCTCATGTGCAGTCAGACTAAACAGCGGAAATATGTTTTCTCAACGTTACCTTGAAACGATGTTTCATTCGATGTATAACGAAAACGAAGTAATTTCTAACAGCATCTAAAGTCAGCAATAACCACTCGCCCTGCGTTCCCGCAGTCTTTTTTCACTCGATCAGGCTCGTATACGCATTGTCGCCAATCCGCTAATTCTGAAAAACTGAATTCCCTATCTAGTTCTTTCTCAACCATGGATAAAAGTTACACAAGAGAAGCTACCGCATGCAGCTCAAAGCTTATGAATTCTGGAATAATTTAGCGTTCTTCGCTGAGAACTTGATACATTAATTAAAGAAAAAGCTAAAACATATCTTTATCACTAAACAGCATCCTTAAAAACAGGGATGAGCGAAATGACGTAGAATGCATTCGTGGTCGAGGGGCAAGGAGATTATGATAAATGTGGTAAGTAGTTATGCATTTTTGAGGTTATAAAAAAATAGTTTCTATAAAAATAAAAATAATGGTGCACTGTATTAAATCGTCCTGTAAGAACAGGTCGGACTTTCAAAATTGAAAAAAAAAAGAAGTATGGAAGTAATAATACGAAAATTACATTTTAGAGATATTAAAATTGTTTACCGTATTTACAAATTATAATTAACGATACTGGGCATGCGTACAAATTTAACCAATCCGATTCAGGCACCAAATCCCCCCGCATTTGGCTTCACTCCCCTTGTCAAAGATTGTATGTATATACATACATACCTGAATGTATTGCCGTTTGTCTAGCTTCACGCATTTTTCAGTAAAATTGTTGAAAGGTGTATTATCTCCCACATTTTTTTTCCAGCAGCATCGGTGTCGTCCTTATAATGAACTTTACTATGAAAGAAATAATTCAAAAATGTAGGATTCCCCCTTTCTACGTACGGGTGCGTGAACAAGGATCATGTAAAACAAGGAAAGTATTTTAACAATTAACTGCATAGCGTACAGTACCAATGGTTCTCTTTGCAACCTTTCATCAAAGAGTCCAAACGTAACAACTTTTCATGTAAATGTATCGTTTAGATTTTTTATACTTTTTTTCAATATTAGAAATATGAAATTGTTAAAAATGTTTATATACGCCCACAACGAATAATTGCTTTCGATATCCTTTAAGGAATTCATCTCTTTTAAATTCTTCGATATTATCATCCGATGGAGAAATTTTAAGTTTAGTCAGTTGAACTGAGAAACATTTTGTAATTATTACCGTGTGCAGTATAATATATGTACAATACAGTATATGTTTCTCTTCAGAACGATCCTTGAGTCGATCCGTAAATACGAAGGAGTAAGATAGTCCATGTTATCTATTACAATCGTCATACAATTTTAAATGCAAGTGTCCTTCCAGATCATAAAAGCCCTATGGAAATGTATGTTGGCGGAGCTCATCTTTATCGAATACTTAACCATGTTTAATCGATTAGGAATTTGGCTTGGATTTTTCTTATACATCGGCACGAGTTCTTGCACGACACGAGGTACAATTACAGAAGTAATTGGCTTGTACAGTAACTCATGGTTCTACCTATGCACTTGCGATCACATAATTACCGTGGAAAATACCGTACAAGAATAGCTCATATCTTCGCCTCAATTGCACCGCCTAAATCCTGGCAAACTGCACATTTAAATTATATACGAAAAGGTAAATATCACAAATTAGGCACAAATTATTTAAACTTTAATGTCGATTTCTAAGCCTCGACTTGAAATTAACACGAAACTGTCAAATAAGTCCTATCCTGTTCATCGAAACTCGCTCAAATTACAGCTCCGAGTACAATAAATAAATTCGATTAACTGTAAATCCCGACTCTTGCGTAACAACCTATGAAAACGGAAAATAAAATAAAAGACAGTAACCATGTACAAAGTCCCTACCCTCGGTATTTACCGAGTACCTAACAGCAACGATTAAAATAGAGACAGTTCAAAAAGAAATAAACGAACTACAAAAAAAGTGTAAAGTAAAAAAAGGGAACAGTCAAATCCTTTAATGTGAACGGTGCAATTGGGCTCTTGCGCTTATGAACACATCCAAGGAGTCACGATATACATCGCTTTCGCCGTAACACACAACAGGATCGGGTATTCGCAACTCTTGACGTCTGGCAGTCGAAATTCGAACGAATTCATCCCGTGTTACTTGACACTGTAACTTAATGGAGAACGATATGCAAATTAAGCTAATGAACCCTGTAAAAAGAAAGTCGAATAAAAGCGAATTAAGCCGTGCAAGTATAAATTTGAACAACAATTACAGACCGACGAACGCAAAGCTATCGATCTCGCTTTTCTATATCCTTTCGATACCAATTTCTTCACCCTTATCCAACTTTTTCTCTACACATGGTGGCAGCGAAGAGAACGATCCTTGTGCCTTAGATTTACGAGCAAAGGACCGTTGGGACGAACGTCATAACAATCGCTGACAATGCCGCAATAGCGACTAACGAAAAAAGAGAGAGAGAGTTCGACGTAACGTGGACGCGTTATTAATTATTAATTAAAGTAATAGTAACACTAATCGGCGCCGATTCGTCGATAGCGTTTGACCATTTCGCGAGGTTAAGGAAACGGCGCGTGGACGTTTACTCGTCCATCTTGGCGATAACCAAATACGAGACGCACAGTGGCTCCCTGGAAATCGCAAAATAAGGCAAAATCTCGAATTATTTATCGAAACATCTTCCGGGATGTTTTGCCGCTAACACAGGTCCAGCGCAACTCTTTCGTATATAATATAATCAGGGAGTGTACTCTTCCGCGTTGCACTAACATGGTTACCCTTAAATATATGTGTCGGCATATGATTACAATAATTATTACGGTTTTTTTTACAATTTTGCGAAGTATTCGACGAGCAACGCCTCTAAAGGCTCAGAAATCGCGTAATCTGCCTCTCCGCAAAACCCGTAGAATTTACCATTTCTCAGGAAATCAAGTCACTACGATGGATTGCCAAGTCGGTGTCAGTGCATCGCAGAGTTTTATAGCCGAGTACGGAATATATGTATTTAACGGTAAAGATTCTCGGACAGGCGCTATGTACAAATGTTTAGACGTATATACCGAGCACGCGCGTATGCGAACAGTAATCCATGAATATTAACTAACTAATTAACTAACATTTCTCGTTACTTAACTAACCTCGATTACTTTGCGTGAACTATTGTACAATGCGATGCTTAAATAAAGTGTACGAATCCTTTTCCCCTTATCTGTTCCAGTGCACCCGGTGTCGAGGAACAATTGTCACATCAACGATTCACCATAAGTAGTGCAAAGCACAATTTTTCTCTTGTGTCTCCGTTCCATGTCAAATTGCAACAAACTGTCACCGAGATGTAAAGAAGACAAGTGTTCCCCTGGGTAACGGCGATTTGTGGACGAATGTTATATTCGCTTGGAAACTTTTCTTTACGCCGTTTGGGTGCGTACTAATTGTTTATGCTGCCTAAATGACGGGGTACCATGTTATTAAGTGCGGGGTGCCTCATTACGCGGACAGCCGCTGTTGTTTCGTTACAAGGACGGTTATGGACTTAACACGTGCGTTACTCGGTGATGCGACCATCCCGTATGTAATGAGGTGTCTTATTAATTAATTTCATTACATGGCGCAGAATCTGCCTACGATTTTGGCGATGCTACGTGGCAGCCAATTAACCCACGACATTGTTAAAAATTCTTGAACCCTCCATTGTAGTCCTCTGACCGAAGGTTTCATTTCTGTCTAGTAAGAAAAAGGGGACAATAATTTAAAACGATTGTGTACGCGCGCGTAATGCACAAAATTTAACGCAGATTAGATTTTGCATCGTTTATATTTTTAATTGGCACTATAGATTTCGCACGTGGGAAAGAATAACGTGCAGATCCAGATATTCCATTAAGTACCATGGTCCATATTTGCACGCGACTTCACTTCATTTGGCTCCGTCCTTATAAAAATATGCAAATAGAAAAATATTTCACCTTCCTTTCCTTTTAACTCGTTGACTGCCACGTCACCCATATTCGGGTGACATACCAATCAAATAAAATGTGCGTGGCAGTCAACGTGTTAAGCAACCAAATTTTGTGGACTATATTTAAATTAAAAAAAAAAAAAAACAGCGGGCTGCATCATCGTTCATACATTAAATTAAAATTATAAGTGACAAATACCAATATTTGACCATAATCAAATAAATTATCAATTTATCAACTCAAGTCCCGAAAGGCATGTACGACGTATCTTGACAGTCCAGCTTTAATATTCTCACAGTGTCATCGACAATCGATTACTCTGAATCATCACAATGTGCCGAGGCCAGAATTAAATTCCTTCTTTGCATGGGAATCCTTTAATTGAACTCTAGTTGCATAACTATTATGTACTCCATGTGTTGTGATCTTTAGTGTAATAATAAAGACAAAAAAAAATGAAAGACGGTATAATATGTAAACGTACGAGTAATACACAGAATTTTATGCCCCTAACAATTTAAATCAGAATTCGTCTGCGTGGATTAACTGGATTTCACGTAGGATCACCCAATGGATTTTGGACGCTGTTATAACCTAAAAACCACGATATGCGCAAAAATAGTCTTTCTGAGGCGATCAATGTTAATTTTGCCAAATATGTCAGTAGATGGTTCAGCGAACCTTCTTTCCATTTTTTTTCTGCCACTCGATACGAGGGAAATTGGTAATACAATGAAACAACAAACACGAATACAATTTCCGTATCCATGTTGCATTCGGTTTACATTCCCTGAAGCTACGTCGCGCTCGAGCATCGTCTTTCGTTATTCGTCAAATCCAGAGCCTCTTGAATCCTACGAGGATTCGTAGAGAATTACACATACAACAATTTTTCACGATGGATAGACACAAAAAGGAGGACGCGTTGCAATTACACTGGATTACTATTCCCAAACCCAAGTCATAATTAACCTTAAATACCGATCGATGCATCGTACAATGACAGACCAAACAAAGTGCTGTATCCAAAATACTGTTGGAGTTTCTACGAGTTCTACCATACTTATAGAAAATGAAACATCTCAGAAGCCATAGGGCGTATCCAATACTGGGACATAGAATTTTCTCATACAGTCAGATATACGTATAAACATTTGAGTCTTTCGATGAATATCGAGACATTCATCTTCGAGACTCCTAGTTATAAAAAGTAACATTAAAAGTTTCCCATCTGCGAATGATGCAATTGCAACGATACCTTCTTTACAGGCTCGTATAATGCAGCGAACGATTTTGTGAATATACAGGTGAAGGAAAAAGAAAATACGACAAACGAATACGAAAAGTGACGAAGCTAGAAAATTGAACCAAGAAAGTTCCGCGAAACTGTTGCCACGACCAACGGACCAGACGTACAGGGAGTTGCAAATAGTTCTCCACCGACGATTTGCCAAATTTTTCTGCCACTAATACTTTTGCACATTCAGGTTTCACTATGCAACGGTCCCAAGCCCACCGTATTTCAGCCTAGAAATTATCTACCCCATCGATGGGAGACCAACCTGGTCCCAGGAACGGGTGCCATCGTCGAGGTTAAACTCCAAGTCGCTTTGAGGTTAGGAACACAACCCGACAGATCTGGATTTTCACCTCGCCTTCGAATCACATTAACCACGTTCCGTGTACGTCTAATTGGTCTAACAGTTCCGGAACAACCGCTAGGTGATCGCACCAGGTTGGCACCTCTCGTCCCGAATCCTTGTAGTAGATCCAACGGTAAGGTGACAATCGATTAAGAGCTCTTCGACGTCCATGCAGCCGTAGTGAACCGCGCCGAGACAGAAAACGGAGATAATCGCTCGCAGGCGGTAGGTTAAGAGTGCGGCAGATGTATGGTGTGCGTCTCGTTGCCAAAGATGAGTCTGAGTCGCTTCATCGGAGGCGGAGGAGGAACCGGGAGGTCGACTTCGCGCCTCTTGCGTCGCCTCTCGCGGTCCCTGCTTTTGTGTTTCTTGCGCCGCCTGAGACTCCCGTCGACGCCCTCGACCCTGAGGACCTCGTACTCTCGCTCGTAGCTGTCCTCGCTGAGGCTGGTGCCCGACTCCACGACGTCGTCCAGCACTGGTGAACGCTTCATCCTCAAGGTCAACTTCAGCCGGCCTCCGGGTCGCTCCGGGGTCGTGGGACACACCAGGCAGTCGTTGCTCCTCGACGACTGCCAGTGGCACACGCCGGAGGACGGTTGCGAGCTGCAGCTCTCCTCCAGAGTGGATAACCTGCAAGGAAAACCTTTGTTACCCACCGTGACGATGGAACGCGCTCAAGAGAAGTCCGTTCGTTGATTTAAGATGAAGTGAAACACCTTTCAAATCAGTCGATACGAATACAACACTTTTTTTTAAGGGTATTAGACCAAACTGTCCGAAACTTTGACACGTCACTCCTGATCATCTAAGAATTGTCCTGACGCATTCAAAATTTGGATTTAAAAAAAAAAATTTTTAACAGCCTAGACCAGAACAAAAATGGCGTCGAGCTCTCATATTTCAATCAACATACAATTATCGAAGGCTCTGATATGAGAATCGAAAGGGTCAGGACAATTTTACGACAATTTAGAACACTCTGGTAATCGATAAACTCGCATTTGAACGGGGTAAAGGCAAAAAAAGTGTTGCATGCGCTTCTATGCCAAAGCGATGAGAATACGAGGTCTCGGAGTGAAAATTTAATTGACCTGGAAATCACAGATGGCGCAGGGGGTCCCTCTGCAGTAAATGAGGGCCCCAGAAAGCATGAATCCAGAGGATTTCTGGAGTTTTACTTCGATTTCTTTATAATTATTGTACGAAAACGACAGGTGGAGTATGCCACTTGGTACAATACCCAATATAATTCGACCTAGCTGTCGATATAAAAACCAACGTCGGCAACGTAGGTATTTAGAAAGATATTCTTTATCGACGTCGATCAACTTCCTCGACGTGTTTCACTTCACCTTAACCTTGCTATCCGTCACTTCGGGTGTTATATTTTGGAATATTTTATCATTCGTGGTACTAATAATTAATAAAATTACAGTATTTGCGAACTCACCCGCCACGATTTTCCTGGATTTGAGACGTGAAGTTCTCCGCGGTCCGAGTGCAGCTGCTGTCGCTGCTGTTATTGCTGCTGCTGCCGCCGCCGCTACTGCTGCCGCTGCTGCTGCCGCTGCTGCTGCTGCTGCTGCTGCCACTGCTGCTGCCGCTGCTGCTGCTGCTGCCGCTACCGCTGCCACTGCTGCTACCGCTGCTGCGACTGCTACTGCCACTGTCCGAGTCCACGAAGCGATTTCGGTGACCGTCCCCGGGAGGCCAGGGTTCCTGAGGAACCAGGACGGGCGGCTGGGACTTGCACTCCTGCAGACGCAGGGCGTCGTGTCCTAGCCGAGCGTCTTCCTGCTTCTCTCGCCTCCCAACGGACGCCCTGATGTCCTCCAGGTTGCTCTCGCGCTCGTTGAACTCGTAGATGTCGCCCTGGATCCCGGAATCGTCGTCCGCGACTCCTTCGGCGGACGCGGTGACCGTCTCGGCCGTGATCTTCGGCCTGACCGTCTTCCTTCGCTTTTGACTCCGGGTGAACCTACCTCCGGACCTCGAGGTTTTGCTGCGACTCTTTGAGACCGAGAGCGATTCTCTGACGTGGATCTCTTGGGACTGGCAATCCTCCACCATGCTACGTGACTCCGGCATTAAATTTCCAGCTGACGCGATATCGTCGTTATCGGTACCACTGGAGGGTCCGTTGACATAATCGTTCATGCTTCCAACCATGGAAGATTTAATCGAAGCACTTTCCTTAGATCTTTTGTGTCGGACATGCGAGTGGGAGAAGTTAATCTCAAAATCAGACTCTTCGTGCCTGTCCGAGGGTCTTTTCAACGAAAAGCCTCGGTTACTTTCCACGGGATTAGGTCTCTTGCTTTCGGAGGTTAGGTTTTCGTTCTTCCGACTCCTGCTGGTCATCACATCGGACCAATTAGACCTACCCTTCGAATCGTGAGTGGCCGCGAACCTCCTTTCCATCTCCAGGACATGGGAAATGGAATTTCTGGATTTCACTTCGAGGTCATCGATGGCATCGTTGAGGGCCTCACCCTCGACGTCGGCATCTCCATCGGCGATGTCGCTGTTATTGTTGTTGTTGTCATTTTCGTCGTCTCCTACTTCGTCTTCGCCACTAGAACGCGTGAAGTTCGCATGGAAGTCGTTCCAAGAGCTTACGTAGCTTTCACTGTAGTTAACGCACTTGCCGTTACCAGATTTCACAGGTTCGTCCCTGCCTCGCAAACGATTATTCGCGAGTAGATTATCGGTCGAGGAGTCCACTTTTCTAATTCCAGGAACAACGGAACGCACAGCTAAAGGATCGATAAACTCGCTCCTAGACTGTCGTCGAACGAGATCCTCCTTTTCCCCCGTCATCCCTTCGCACTCTTTCACTTGCACTTCTAAACTCGTCTCGTGGAAGTCGTCCAGCTGGTGGCAAGATCTGGCATCGTCTCGGGGTAAATACACCAATCTGTCGATATCCTTAAAACCAGAAGATCCGGAAACCTTGCCATCGACTCCCGGATCATCGCTCTCCACGTCGGGATGTCCTCCAGGGTTCACTTCTCGTGCGTTATTTCCTACATTAGATTCGAACGTTCGTTCGCACTTGTCGAACTCCTCGTCCGGATACTCCGGAGAAGGGCAGCCTTCGCTGTCCTTGTCGCTGTCGTTTCTTCCCAGGTTATCCTTCTCGGCACACGAAGACCTTACGTGGGACAGATGGCATCGGTTGGCCCCTCCGAAATGAGTGACGCCCTCGTGCGTCCCGGATCGCCCTCTATCGTTCGCGGAGGACCCGTTCCGATGTCCAATCATCTCGGTCTCGACCTGGGCGGTGAGCTTAGGAATGCCGATTTCGTTTTCCTCGTTGCCCTCTTCGGGATTCAGGGCGGCACCGACGATGGTCGAGACCTCGCTCTCCGAGCACTCCTTGTCGAAGATCGAGTTCCTCCTGTCCAGGATCGCGGAGAGATCGTTCTCCACCTTGGCGTGGGGTACGCGGAACGAGCACGAGAACTTATTCTCGCCGCCCTCCTCGGATTTCAGTTCCTTCCGAGAATGTTCTCTGCGGACCATCCGAGAGAACATGTCCATCTCGGTCCCGAGAGCCGCCGTTGTACCTCGTCCAGAGTCCTCTTTTCTGTGACTCGCGAAGGAGTCCTCGCGACCGCTGGTCGCCAAGCTGTTCGACCTCGAAGATTTGACCTCCTCCACGGTTTTTGTCCGCTTCGTTTCTGTTCGCTTTTGAAGCCTACGGAGGGAAATATCAAGAGAGTGAGTGCCACCGGAGAGTGGTTTCATCGAATGGAAGTCATCCCTGCGGGACTTACCTGGAGGCTCTCAGACTTTGGTTTCCCTTCATCCCGGGGTTGTTACTATCGGTCTTGCCGGCTTGCTGTTTGTTCCTGAGATTTCTCGTTGTAGCTGTATTGGGAACCGTAGACGCGTGAGGAATGCGTCCCTGCTGCGTGGACCCTCCGTTCTCCAAGGTGGTGGACAGTTGCTGGGGTTGTTGCTGCTGTCGTTGCTCCTGCTGAGCGATGTCCGAGAACCTGCACCCTTGGGCGATCAGCAGCTCCGCGTCGTATTTCGTTAAGCCTTTGCGCCGCAATTCCTTCATACTGAGAGACTGCGGCGCAACTGCGACGTTCCCGACGAGAACTGCGTTCCTTTCCGTAAGCGCGCCGTCGGCCTGCTGCTTATTACCATTTAATGGCTGCTGCCGATGCTTCGTTCGATTGATTCTGTTATCTGTTTCTCGGAGACGATAGCCTGAAATTTTATCAATAGTCACCGTTCTTATAACTTGACCGAATCAGTTTGTGCCAATGTACCATTTCTACTGGGTGTGGGGAATGGTCTTTGTACAATCTGTTAGTTTCGAGCCAGTAACGCTTTGTCACATTGGCGTAACTTACATCGAAGGAAGTACTTAAAAATGTTCTTCGGGTCACATGGTTATTACTTTCGTTACCTACTTATGATGCTTATGTAATTAAGAATCTGTGGGATAAATTTGGCAAAGTGACAACAGTACCGGAAGAAAGTTCCTCTCCTGGTTTCTGATTCGCAAAAGCCCCTGTGCCTCGCCTTTCGCACGTTTCGCATTCGCAGTAACAGTTGCCGTCTCCGAAGAAATCTTCCCCGTAGAAGCAGGTTATCTCCTCGCCAACTTCTATGTCGCGTAGGACTTTGACACACGCGGTATCTCGACCAGTTGCAACAAACTGGAGAAAAAAAAAAAGCACCCATTGCCCAAAATTCGTTGCATATTATACGAATTAAAAAAAAATTAAGTCGTTTCTTCAATCACTAACCTTGCAATTTGGTCTGCAGTCGTGATTGATGTAAGCTGCGGGGCCCAACCAGAGCTGAGCACAATTTTTTCTACAACTGAACATCACCGAAAAGTCATTCTTTCCTGGATGTAACAGCGCAGCCTCTTCCTGCAACGTACCCATTTCATTATTACTATTAATAAAGCATAAATTTAATATTATCATTCAATTTTCATAAAGTATAATTTAAATTATTTTTCTTTGGGTGTTCATTAAATATGACAAACCTTCTCGGTAAGTTCTGCGATACATCCCACGAGACATGGAATTTTTTCATGCTTCAACCATTTACGAGTTGCACAAATTTTGGCTCCCTTCTGCCCTTCGAGCGAATATCTGTAGCATGGTTGTATCACGAAACCAGAATCTTTGTCGAATACTCGCAAGTACCGGTATATCTGGAAAGTAAGAATCGCAAGTCTTGTAGTAAATACTCTCACCGCTAAGCTTCTATGATATGAATTTCTTCTCAACTACCAAGAGTCATACTTACGTGTTTCTCCAAATTTACTTGCTGTTGCTTCGATTTAGTGTGCGGCAGTCTCGCACCCCAGTCACCACCCATTAATTTTTTGTATGCTTTTTCATAATTTTGTTGCTGAATGAATTCAGTTATAATTTTCCGAAGGTCATCTTTATTTGCTTTTAACGGCCTGTATCTGTTTTACACATTTTTTAAGAAATTCTGTTAATAAAAAAGATCTGATCGCAAAAACCAACCGATGGACTACGATCATTCACCTGATATTCATTTTGTGCGTGGTGAAGCCTAAGAAAGGGTCGAGTACAAGAGAGGTAGCAAGGTCGTCGTTATCGGAAAGTTCTTTGGGTGTCATTCCGCACGTCCCCCCGTTACCGTTAGGCTGCATCTTGGCACCCATCGAGCCAGCCAGTCTCCGATCCTGCTTCCTCGCTGCAGCGCCCGAGCCCTGAACCGAGAGACAGTCCACCACCATTCTGCGGCGCTTACATACACTAAAAAACATAAGAGTCAAGTTATAAACAAACCAGAATACTTACATTCATATAACGATTGGAAAACAACACAAATTTCAGTGCCCGCGATTAATTTTCAACAGCAATATTCGCTATAATTAATAACTACAACCATATACCTAAGTATTATCAAAATGGTTGACATTTTAAATCAAGCAAAATGCGTTCAAAAGTAAATTAAAATATTTTTTTAATAAAACAAATCAGCAAAATATTCAAATCTTCGTCCGCCTAAGTCGCAAGTTTCGAAAGACCCTTCGCCTATATCTCGACATGAGACGCACTACAAACGACACAAAACTCACTCATGCTTGAATTTGTTTTGACAGCGAGCAAACGAAGGATACTAAATTAATCCACTAAAATTTCTAGACACATTCGCACGGACCAGAAGTATATAAATTAAAAGAAAATTCCACGGTTCACGGATCCCTGTACCAATGTTTACTTCCCAAAGATTAAACACAAAGATGATTTAGAAAATCTAGACAGTTCCGTGTCAAGCACCAAGAGAACGTTAACCCATGACACGGTGCACCGTAACAGTCAGGGTAGAAATTCCTACGTTAGCGACTAATCCCAGGGAACCATCCCTCGCTCTTAAAATAAAGGGCACGGAGCGGTCGCATCCTGCTGCAATTCTAGGTTCCTGTAGCACAGTTAAAGTCGAGCCGTGAAACTCCGGAGGTCGAGGCCAGTCGGCAGGTCCCAGGTCCCGAAGCGAAGAAAAGGCCGAAAACCCGAGTGGAACTCGGGAAGCGACGTCCCGGGGAAGGGGGAGAAAGAAATTCCCGTAGTCGAATTTGACAAGGGACCTGTCGGCCGTGGCCCGATCGGACTCAATGGCCGCGACGGATGCGAGGCGAGGCGAGGCGAACGGCTCGTCTTCGATCGGGTGCCTGGCCTCCCGGGACTCGTTTTTGGGACCCGGAGAAGGTCCCCCGCGCGCTTACGAGGCCGTTCCTTACCGTGAAGGAGGGTTCCTCGCAGCAGGCTTCTCGCATTCTACCGACGGCCGCCGAGCGCTTCGCCTTGGTCAGAGGAAGACGCGTTCCGATGGGCGACCTATCATGGCAGGTCGACGCGCACTTCTTGACTTTTACACCAGGAGCCGCCACGCTCCGCGGGCAGCTTTTCCTGGGAGTCCTCTGCGCCTCTCGCCGAGCTTCTACGGGATTCTCTTCCTCGACGACCGAGCCTCCAGGAGCTACCGAACCCGGAGACGTCGAGGACAGTTCTTGTTTTGGAGCTTCGCGATCTGTCGTTCTCCGTCTCTCTCTCGGTCACCGTACGTCATGCCAGCACCGTGAACACGCCGAGTTAGGGACTTAGGGACTTCGACATGGGTCCTAGGGAGCCCATTATAGCTGGTAGGACTGACGCAAACTGTCATGGCGGCGGAAGAACGCCATTATGGTTTTCAAGATCTCAGATACAGAGATGAGTTGGGACATTGTTTACGGGCAGGGTCGCGCGATAGCGTTCTGTGCTGCCCTCGGTGGAGAATGCAGGCGGCTCGTGCACGTGCCCCTAATAGCGGCACAATTCAAAAATAAGTCAACTCATCTCTGATACATATCGGAAGTTCCCACTTCTCCGTGGGCCTTCGATAGCCCTGAGATTACACGATCGCTTGTACAGCAAGTCTTTCGGGTTCGAATCCCGCTCACATCTAAGAGAGATTTCTTGTCTCCTGAGGCAGGGTATACCTGATAAGTCTTACTGTAGGAAAACCGTAGGAAAAATCACCTTTGGTTATTAGCGACAATTAATCTTTCTTCTCGTGGTTGAACGACCCGCGCTCCTGGTCACCATTAGTTCTCTCCGGTCTCACCGAGACCACAGCGCCACATACCGCCACCGGCGCGGTCGTCGCTACGCATCGGTCCTTCAGGAATTTCCTTTTTTAACTTTATGCATGTACGTGCATACATATATAAACTTGTCAATTCTTTGCAAGTATGAAGAAGTAGAAAAGTTGTCAATTTATTGACATCTCTGGCATTGATCTATAGCAAAGAATTCAGAAGTCTCCATAGAAGCCCAGAAGGATACGGACGTTCGATGCTCGATAAATAGTATGTTAGCCAACGGATGGCGGCGCTGTAATCATCTCTCCATCTCTCTTAATCTTATGGCGATATATAGCGATTGCATTCTTTCTTTTTCTTACACCCAATACTCGCCTTTCTATATGCGTCTCTCTTCCTCCCGTACGTGAGATATCGTTGGCTAACACGTGCGATCTCTTTTTTACCCCCACTTCTGGTTTGTTAGCCAACTTTTAGAGCATCAAGCGCTAACATAGGATCTGGGCTTCTATGGGACTTCTGAATTCTTTGTCTATAGTAACAAATTGTACATTCATAATATAATTTCTCAAATGTCGAATTCTGACAGTAAAACGTCAGGTAACCTTTTCAATTACATTTAAATCTGTAATTTGATCATTGTTAAACTTGGAAAATATTGAAAAATGATACTTTAGTTGTATTTCCATAATTTTGGTTTAAACAAATTTAGTTTATTTAAATATTTCCTATAAATCTATGTAACATTATAGATATTAATACAAAATTGTAATTTTTATTAGCTAATTTATCTAGAATTAGTAATGTTCTTTGATGGTATTTCAACATTTATATTGTGTTTTAGGTATGAGTATATATACACCCTTGCCAGTGACAGTAATTGGTCAGACAAACACTTCCGAACGTCGAATACAATACTTGGAAAACTTTTTGGAAAGTACATTACCCACATCTGATGTAAAAGGAATTGGTCAAGAACTGCGAAAGGTATGTACGAGCTTTATATGTATTATGTCAGCTATGAGATATCAAATTTTAATACATTATCTTGGGTAGTAGTAAAATATCGGTATAGACAAATTTGAATACAACTAGAACTGCAGGATCAAAATTATATGAATATTATATATATATAAACAATAATAAATCTCAAAATAATAAGTTGTCTTTGCTGAATTTGTTTAATATTATTATTGTTACAATTCTTGCTTTCAACAGAGTTTTATCTTAGCTAAGCATAAACCAAAAGGTTTCATAAAAAAACAACCGAAACCAAGTATTTTACCACGTAAGAAACGTGCTTTGATAAATATCACTAAAAGGTTAAAGAGTAAAGGCTTGAAATATGAGAATTTCATTCCATTAAATGATTTATGGCTGGGTTACATGAAACGAATGCTTTGTACCAATACTTTTTTGAAACTGCCGAAAAGTCCCATTGAACCAGGTTGGGAGGCTGTAAATCAAAAAATAATGAAAGCCGATTTTCATGGAGCAGCGATAAAGGTCATAAGATCAAAATGTCCCAGCTTAGTCAAAGCCAGTGGTATAGTCTTACAAGACACTAAAGGAACATTCAAAATAATTGGAAAAGATAATATTGTTAGAGGTAAGTGAAATTATTTTGACCAATGGTAAAAGATATAAAAGTATTTCATGTTTGAAACATGTAATTTCTATTAAAGTGCTGTACAGAAATAATATGATATCTGTTTTTTGTAATTACAGTCATACCAAAGGAAACCGTTGTCTTCCAAATAAAATTGAAAGAAGTAGCACTGCAAGTATTTGGAAAGGACTTATGTATACGCCCGGCAGAACGTGCCGTTAAGAAATTTAAAAACCTTCATGTTCCTATATTGTGATCAAATTTGAATGTAAATAAATTCATTTTATATCAGTAATCGTTTAGTAAATCATAGACAAACCCTCAAAATTGTAAAATATTTCATATAAAAAAGAGTAATATTTATAAATTTGTGAAAATTAAGATAATCAGATTCATAAGAGAAAAATATTTGACAATGTATGGAAAATTATTCGAAAATAGCCCATCAAACATGTTTGCATTTATTTTAAACGTTTTGTAGCATTTCGGCACATCCATTATATCTTACAACAAAAACAATAGAATGCGATCTCATTTTACACTCTTCATTCGAGTTAGTTAATGATCAATAGCCTATTTACTTCTTTATTCTTTCGTCTCGAACTCATTCGTACTGTACTAGTATATATGCCTCCTACATTCAAGTTACATTAATTATTAATACAATATAATATATAATGATATATTCATTCATTAATATATATATATAATAATTACCCCAACTCTGTGTACGCATAGGTTGCATATTTAATATTCAATAATATTAATAATAATTCAATTCATAATATTCAAATAATCGGAATATTGATACAGTAATAACATGCGTACAGGGTCAAAACAAGATTCTTCCAGTCTGCGATCTGTTTATATACTTCATAGCATTTTATATATTCCTTGATCGAGTTTTGGGAATTAGGAGAGAAATGTAGAAAATTATGATGAGAACTGATGCAGTATTTTTTGGGAATGTTTCATGTTTTCGCACACTGAGCGGTCAAGTTAGAACACGTTTAATTAACATTTACAACTAAGCTACAAATTTACTGTGATCTCGAAATACGGAATGGACATGCTACTGTCGTTTAAAGACGGGAACATACGAAAGCAGGACCTAACCGAAAACTTGACCAAATTTACAAATCTATTATGAAGTACGAGTAACAAAAATGACAGCACTGAACACCAACGTTCATTTTCAGTAAATTTTTTACACCTCATAGTAACAACAATTTACAGACGATACGCCGAAGCATCTTCATTCCGTATGAATTATTTTACTGTAAATGATACTAACGCAAAACATATTCTCGCACTGTTAAACATAATATACAGAATGGACTGCATAACGAGGGTTGTACGCAACAGAACAATTTCACATGGGACGTTATGCCACTAACGTACGGCAATAGCGTAACTTTTTTTTTTTTTATAAGTAATACAGGCTCCCTTTCACGTGACGTTCCATTCAGAACAGCGAACGGTCAATTATCTTGAACATGGCTTCGTGAGCCAATTAAGTAATATCGGTATTTATTATGATCAGATTCAATATAAAATATTTAATTGACTGACCGTAGATTTGCATGATTAAATAGGCACAACAGTATAATATATACAAAGAAGCGCAATAAGAAATTCAAAGAAACAACTGATGACATCGGCTCTAACAAAGGCCAAGTGTAATATTATCAAATTGCACTTTCCTTTTTCCCAGTGTTCAAACGAAGCTTGACGACGAATTAACAACTATTTAAGGAAATAGGTGAAAGCCACATAAATTAAATAAAAACAAAATCAATGATTAATTATATTATGCGAATATATTAGGACCCGACAAAGTAATTTCTAAAATAATCAACAGTTCGCTATCCCGGCTCGTTCGAATCCGAATCTCGTACGGCATTAACGCTAACGACTTAGCGTTCATCCCAAAACACGGCAAACGAGAAGCTGAACAAAATCCTAACGGGCGATGCACGAAAAAAAAAGATTACACGTAAACGGTGTACAATGTTCTTTTTTTTCTCGACGTCGAGGCACGTTCACCAACGCTCATACACGATTAAAATGAAGATGGATCACCCTGTCCTATAAAACAAAATTCAATACCGCCACGCCACTGATGTAAAAGAAAAAATAACGCGAGAACAATCTTTCATACACTCAGGTTGATGAATTTAATCGTTCTTGCATCGTGCAACCTCTACAATGAAACATTGAGAACTCGAACTCAGCGCGAAGCCGAATTTTCGCTAGGTCGGAAAACAGACGTAAACTATGGCGAGATATTCGTCTCCCCCGTTAATAGATATACTCTAAGTGTACTAGAATGCGCGATGTAATCCTTTATACATAATTCTTCATAGTGCTACGCCACGAGGAAACTGTGAATATTCGGAGGAATATCATAGATGTGTACAGAGTTCGCCTGAGGTGTTTCAAAAGATACCGTAGTGGTCGGGATTAACCGATCAGGGGTTTTCTCGCTTGCCATCTCATTTCCAGAAAACTGACGACTCCATATGTCTGCAGGTCAATGTTAGTCTCTTTCCCGCGTCTATTGTCAGCATTTCTTTGTTTTTCTCCTCTCCTTCTTAAGCGGACCAAGCAAAAAAGTATCCGCCCTACAACGAAACTCTTCAGGCAGTTAATTACACCTACGTACTAACGAGACAACTTCGCTCTACCTCGATCGTATAGAAAAGGAGGTATTGCTGATCGATGCTGGTATACGATGCGCTGTATACAGCATCCGCATACGAGTGCGCCGTACAGTGCATCTCACATGCCATAACCTTGATACGCTGCCGCTGTTGCTGCCGCTGGCGCATAGACACTCTGCGTAGGGGCTGCATAAACATTCTGCGGTGCATAACCTGGAGCCATCATGCCAGGACCAGCGGTCAACATCAGCTGAGGCTCCGCTAAAAAGAACGAAATAAATTATCAAAAGAGCCCTGCCACGAGAGGAATCGTGCGCAAACAATTAAATTCATCTTCACGGAATCGCACCATGTACAATTATTAATCCAATTTTTAGACCACTTGTGTATACAATCTGACTACGATATAACAGGAAAACTGATTAATATCGAATAGCTACTTCGATTATAAAAATAAAATAAAGTACAACTCGAACGAATATATGATGAGCTCTACATACGCATGATCATTGGTTTATGTTCTTGATGATCAGTTTCCTCGATGCGACGACTTTCTGCTTCTTCGAGTTTATCGACCTAGAACGCATAATTAATATATACTGTCGATAATTATTATGGATTATAAGGCAGTTTTAATTTGTCCACACAGGTTGACATCGATCAAAGGTAGAAAGGGGATCATGAGGTTTACAATTATGTGGGCTTATAATGTTACAAGGGGTATGTGTAATTTGTTATTAATATAATGCAAAAACATGCCACATTGTTTCACACAACGAGTATTCAAATATAATACCTTAGTAATATATTCCCGTGCTACTTGGATTAGGTAAGGCATTGCGAAGTGTAGAATGCGATGTCTCCAAGCGAGCTCTAATATTACATCGGGGTGAAGCAAATCGTAACAGTGGAACAGGCAAGCTGCGAAACAATCCTTCGAGCCCCTTTCCAAAAACCACTCCAGTAACTCTTCGGCTACCTCCGCATTGCGCGATTCCGCCGCGTATTCCATCGCGTCACTAAAAAACAATTTTGTATAATTACAGTAATTGAACGTAAATTGAAATTAATTTAATAACAGAAGTTCACTCTCGGATATTTGGTCGAACCAAATCATGGGATGTTTTGCATGAAAAAGAAAGTCATCTACGGTATGAGATTAAAATCTTAATCATCCCTTACACTAATTCAATTATTCGAATCATGTCATATTCTCACCGGAACAGCCTGTCCTTTTTACAAAGCTCCACGGATTGCTTCCACCTGTTATTGCCCTTGTATAAATACGCAGCAATTCTTCTGAATTCAATGAGTTCGTGTTTCTCCAATTGCTGGGCCAGGGCAATGTTATCAAAGTTATCGAAAGCATCGATCGAGGTTCGGAGACCCTGGTAATCCTCTTCGTCTATGAGTAGCCCGTTGAGAGCTTCGTTAATAGCTTTGTTGTTCAATGCTTGGACCGATCTTAAATAGGGCTTCACCAATTGAAGGTGACCCGTACGAGTGAAGTACGCCACCGCCCTTGTATGATCCATTCGAGGTGCAAGTACCAGCAATATGTCGTTTAACAAAAGAGGTTTAAACTCCACATAAAATTGAATTGCCTTGTAATACAGCTCGACGTTCGCGACTTTAGTGATGACATCTTTAAAGTGGCCTTCGCGCCATGCTTCCGTAGGATGCTGCATCATAGCCAGTACAGCATTATCGTACTCTTCATATTTATCGTACAGAAACACCAGCTCTGCCCATAAATGTGCTTGCTCAGCTGCACGAAGAACCTATTTCGTAACATAAGTTTTTATTTTATTATATTCTTCCATTGCTCCTTAAAAGTGGTAAACTGCTGCGATCGAAGGGTCTCAGCATTAAAAAAATTCCATTACCAAGTGAGAGAGCTGTACAGCTTTATCACGTAACGTTAACAATGAATACTAGCGCAATACATGTTATGTGCATCTGCGAATATACCTTTGGTATGTTGACGCGGGACCAAAACAACTCTAGGTGCTCTCTCATCCTTTGAGGTTTGTACTTGCTATACAGTATGGCAAGTTCTGTGAACATGCCCATGTGAGCTCTCTCAAGACCCAGCGCAGCTTCTAGTAGGTTGATGAGTTCCTCAAAGTGTCCCCGATCCTGATAATAATTGATTAAGTCTTCCAGCTCGTCAGCATGTACGACTATGTGCAGTCCGCACATTTGTGCTAATCTGAACTCTCCACTGTCAACGCAAGCAAAGCAGACTTCTTTCCACGTGCGAGTTGAATTAGCTTTGCGCGCGCTATCAACGGCACCCTGAAACTCCTTCAAATGGACCAGCGTTATCGCCAATCGAGCGAAATTAGACACGTTGTTGTACAAGAGTTTAGCTGCGTCGTACATCTTGTCTTCGAAACATCGGTCGCCTATCTGTAAAGATATATCAATTTGTTAGACATTTTAGTAAAACTGCATAAACGGTTCGCTGCAGATCAGCGATATTGCATCCAATTAAAATGACAGTCTAGAAACTCGTAATGAAAAATTTAATACAATTAATTCCTAAAGTATTTATTGCTCACCTTCTGTATGTCGGCGTGATTGGGCCCAGAGATGAATTCCTCGAGATCGGCGAGTCTGCTGGTGCGAGCGTATGCGTAGATCAATTCGCTCTCGATAAAGGACTCACGCGCTTTCTTACGAGCCATTTGCAAGTATCTAACCAAATCTTCCCAATGGGAGGTCCTGTGTGCAGTTTCTACCACGTCGACGTAGGCGGACGGATCGTCGGCCTTTATGAAGCTGTCGATGGCTTCTTTGACCAAACCTTGTTGCAATTGTGCTCTTGCCAGTTGGGACCAAACGGCAGGCTCGTTACACCTAAATTTATTAAATTCATCGTAATTTATACGGAAAAATGTTTCGAACAATGGAAATAAATCAAATAAGAAATAAGTTCCAGACTAGTGACAATGTAAACAGATCGATGGAAATTATTTGATAGCTTTACCTCTCGGCGAATTCATAGGCTCTGTCCAAGTTGTTGACTTGCTCGATGAGCACTTGAATGGCTGAAGTATTCACGTCAAACTTTTTGAAAATCGCGAAAGCTTCCTCGTACAGTTCATTATTAATAGCAATATTCGCAATGTCGGGGGCATCGTAGTTATCCAACCTGTTAATGTACTCCATGACGCGTGTACGGTCCGCCTTTATGGCCGTCAGGATTAAAAGGTTTTGCAAGTTGCGATGGTCACTGAAAACACTGCTATCTAGTACTATTTTTTCGAGGAGCTCGATCAATTCATTGGGCAAGTCTGCTGTCATGAAAGCCTTTACAGTTACGGAGATGTCTTCAGGGTCCTGAGTCTCCGATAATGCTGTCTGCACTACCTATATTATGGAAGATAGGATATTATATAAAATGTTTTTTAAAGAGTACCACACTTATAACAATTCTGACATTACGATGATAGTTTTGACAAAACTGAAAAAAAAATCTTTATGTAGAACGTTTCCATTCCACACCTCAAAAACAATAATTTATTGTCAAGTTTGAGGTTAACTGTAACACTTGCAATTAATACATTTTTTATTAATTAAATTTTCATGTACAAACCTGATCAATCAACGGTCTTTTGTAAGGATTGCTCTCAAGAAGAACTTCAGCCCAGAGGTCGGGATCCCGTCGTCGTACCAAATATCTTGCCTCACTTTTGAAAAGACTGTTTTCATTGCACACGCTAATCAATTCGCGATCACATTGACCACGTTCGTATGCAATGCAAGCCAAGTGAGGGTCACGTTTCTCGCAGTACTTCCCAACGACTCTACTGTCATAAAACTGATTCTCCCTAGAAATTCAATACTTATAAATGGAAACATATGGATATGATATATATCGATAACCCAGTTTTATAAAATTATGTCAATGTTCTCAACAAAAATGGAAAAAATATTCAACATACCAAATTACAAGTTTCTAAAGGTCCAAATACAATTAATATATCCCAAAATGTGTCACTTTTCATTATTCAAACATACAAATTATTATCTTAAAACGTACGTACTTGAGAAATCGTTCAGGATTATTGTTGCTGTCAATATAAATCTTTGCCAACGCATTATGCGTGGCGGGCTCGCTACAACCTTCGTGAACACGAGATTCAAGCCACGGCAAAAGAAGTTTAAGACGATTACGTTTTTCGACTTCTTCTACAAGTTCATCGGTAGAGAACTGTCCACGCACAACCAGGATCAGATTTTTTATAATGTCTTCTGAACAATCAACGTCCAATAACCCACCAACAACGACGGGCAATCGAGATGGATTCACCTGGAATTCAATATCGAGAAGTCCATAACAAAAATCCTTCGTTTATAATTTTCAGTACACTTAAAATAGATTAGAATTTGATAGTCATTCATACCTTTTGCACATATATTTCAATATACTTTTGCAAGTTGTTTCTGTATAGATACAGAACAAGATCGTGAACAAAGTCAAACCGATCACAAACAATAATCAAAGGAAGCTGGTCGGATAATTTCGCCTCCTTCAAAAAGTTCTTTACTCGTTCCGGATTATAGCAATTACTCTCGCGACAGATTCTCTCCACTTCTTTGATTTGACCAATCTTACAAGCAGCTTGAATGTACTTAAAGTGTACTTCTTGATCCTGGCTAAAGTTGACAATCGAACCGAGGAAATAGAACAAACCTTCATAAGATTTGAAGCTTTCAAAGAGATCTGAAATATTAACAAAGGAGAATATTTTTAAGCAACAGCTATTTCTCCCCTTTAAGTATTACGTAAACGAAGTTATGAAATAAAAATTTCATTTCTAACGTAGAAGTGTATTATTATGGACTTAAAAGATCATTTCTTAAATTAATACCTATAAGGGCCTTCGTAGTCAGTTGTTCATGATATTTTGTCGCAATCTGTACACATATCTGCAAATTCTGTCTTATGTTAGCAGTCAACATCGCTTTCAAGCATTCCAAGGAGTCTTCAACGGACAGTGTTCCGAAGAATCCTACCAACCACTCTGGTGAGAGCAAATGAGTGTGGACAACGGCTCTCTTAATGTCATATAAATCAGTATAGTGTTCCAAGGCACGTTGTAACAATCCCGCTTTCTCACACAGCTGGGCAACGTGTGCTCTATCATAATGAGTAAACATTTGATTGCCTAATATGGCGTCGGCAACTTGTGGAGCAGACATCAAGTTCATTTCCAAAAGCCGTGTCTGGAGCGCACCCTCACTCGCTCGATTATTCTTCAAAGCGTCCAACAAAAACGCTGTACATTGTTGCACCATGTTTTGCTCCATAAATATGTCGACAATCTGAAAGCATAATTATTGCCAAGAATGCAATACTTTCGTATAAAACAATAGGAAGGATACAAATTTTAGAGTTTTATGAGGCATCATTCATATACCTGATTAATGTCGGCTAAAGGTTCATCATCTTGTACCAGCATCTGAGCAAAGGCCACACCTTGATCGGGGTTGATCCTCATAACATTCCTCAACAAAAATATATAGTCCGGTGTGTAAGAGACTTTCGTGGCATAGAGAACAATCTTCTGGAATTGACCAGTCTCTGCGAAGCACTGGATTACTTTGTTCGGAACGTTAGCCCTTAGGTAGACACTTAGAGCAAGAGTAGGATCAGCTTGTTTAACTAAATCTCCCAGTTCTTCGCTGCATTCGAGCTTATCCTCCTTTAGCCACTTTTCCAAAAGTTGTTTTCGTCCTTGAATCAATACAGGACGACACAGTTCCAAGGACTCATACTTGTTCAACTGACCTTGATCGAGCAGGATTCCAAAATATTGCAACAGTGGAGAGGTTTGTCCCTGAGTAGCTGGGACCTGTAAACACAATTTAATTAAATTCAATGCCCATGGTAATAAATAAAAATCAAATAAAAAATGTCAAAACTACTGACAGGCCTTTCATAAAACAGTTATTAATATGTGGGAGAATCTAAAAAAATGTACCTGTTGGAAACGTTGGATGGTGGCAGGAGTTCTAAGAATTCCCTTGGGTGCGTTTGCTGCAACTTTGGCAGCCTCGGCATACTGTCCATTTTGAAATAGTATGTTGAACTTCCTGACAAATAAATCCTCTGCACCGGACAGATTATTTCTAACAGCCAATCTTAAAGCCAATTCAGGATTTTGCAAAACTCCAGTGATGTACGGTACTATATTTTCCTCATCAACGGAAACTGATAAAACTTGACCCTTTCGGTTCACCCCAATTATACCCCCGGAAGCCTCATGAGGGGCTGTCACGAAAATCGTTTCCACTGAGATGCGATTCATAAATATGCAAGTTGCCGATTCAATGTCGTACATGTGTATGTAACCATATTTTGTTATTAGGTAAATGACATCGTATTTGGAGCTGACTTGCATCGCAACTGGGAAGTCATTTCCTGCTTCGGTGGGGAAAAACACATCCACTGCCTTCTTAGGGAATGGTTGGTTACCAGCAGGAGGCTGACCAACTTCGATGATATGCAGCTTAGCACCTTGAACAGTTCTGACGGCAAAGCAGAAGAGATTGCTAGGCTCTGCGTTTCCCTCCATCTTAAACTGTGCAAAAGAAGCTGCATGTCCTTCGATAGGCTGTGAGCACTTTCGTTCTACGGAATAAAGCTGCATTGCTCCAACAACTCTGCTGTGCTGCGCAGAGATCCCGATGAGCAAAAGCCAAGTTTGTTTCGGATCAGTTCTGTAGTTTATTATCTGACAGCCATTTAACGATGAGTGACGATCGAACATTTTATGTGGAGTTGAGTCTCCTTCCATGGACCAATGATAGACTGCAGTTTCGGTCACTAATGCCAAAGTATTCAAGGAAATCCACTTCCAAAATACGACGTCTTCAGTCATTGTATGCGCCTTCATTTTCGACTTCATTTCAATGTTAAAAATCTGCAGAGTCTTCTGAGCTGTTTTTTTTTTTTTTTTTAAGAAAAAATAAACATAAAATAATTAGTTAAAAGGGTTACTAATGTCTGATATAAATTGTATGGTAACGAAGGTTATTAATTACACTCTTTATTACATTCAAATGATGCCCAGAGATTGAATATTTAGTGAAAATGTAAATAAAAATGATCTGATGTCATAGACTTGTTATATACTTCAAAATAAACATTTCAAGTTACAGTTAAAAACAATTTGGTATTGTAAATTTTTATAAAATTTAACATATTTCTACCCCTTAGGAATTATTAATTTTTTTTTTTTTTAAATACTTGGTGTATGCAAGGTCAACAGACGCAGTTCTAAACTACATAAAATATTTTGTATTTCTTACCTTTGAGTGCAATAACCTTACTGGCGGGGTTCATAATCGCTGAATCGGCAGAAATTGGTCTCCTGATTGGGTTAGCGGAGTCATTCATGTCTATAATGACAACTTGGGCGGTATCTCCAACCTTTTCTCGAACACAGATAAATTTATCCGATTCCATTGTCAGCGTATTAAAGCTGACACTACTAGCACTGATACCCACAGCTGTCAACTAAAAAATGAAAACAATGTGGGAATATTTTTACCGTGTTTACATTTTCTCCATAAATAATAGGTACGATCGTGCCTTTGAAAATTTTAAATTGCATTTACAAGATTTTCATTACGAACATCAGATTTCCAATGTCAATACCCTCAACCCATACTCACCTTAAAACTTGTATTAAATTATATACATAACGGATAAGGGAATATAATGTTCATTAAATATATGAAGAGGGTAGTTAATTAGTTAGTTATATTTATGAACATTCCAACACTACACGTATAACATGAACAATAAGCATTCTATATTTTTATATTAGTTTTTAAAGGCATTAGTCAACCTAATGTGGCACCATCATATAATAATGAAATGAAACCATCATTAATATCTGCTATAAAATATAGTATGATATTAATCTAGATTCATTTCAATAGCATTAAATAAAAAACGGAGTGATAGATTGAATTTGATTTTTGGACGATCAACTCCAATTAGTTGAATAAGTTTGATAATTTCTTCTCGAGCCTGGCACCTTATCATTGCTTAACGGGTTCTTCCCATACTCTAGTTTAAATGGGTCAAGTAATATGACTTTAAGATCGAATTAGTCCCAGAATTGAATTACAACCAAATCTGACTTATCTATTATCTAATAACTGTTTCCATAAGTCTTCAAATTCATTCAGAATTTCCCATATAATATTCCAAGTATGTAATACAAAGGCACAAAATAAGATGTTACGCACAGCTTTTCCTGCATAATTTTCCAAACATCCTACATTGAATTACAGTATCAATTTCATTGACATTGCATCGATTATTAAATTACACGTTATACACGTAAATCTCGGTCTCGATTCCCCGGGAACCGTGACACGACCAGCATAATCGATTGCAATGCAAAAACCGGAATTGACAGTGCAACTGTCAAGTTCACGTCGAGTAGCCAATCTCCGGGTTTCGCAACAGCCCAAAGGAGCGTCGAACCTCGAGGGGAGGGTACCTGGCAAACCGATGCCAATCCATATTTCTCTTTCAAACAAGAGTAACTGCCACCGAGGGCGAGTCAGCGAAGGGAAACGAAACGAAAAGGAAAAGGGAAGGCACGGGAGGCGGGCCGACCGGAAAAGCAGGTCACTTACCTGAAGATGTTCCTGAAACCTTATGGGCAGTATTGACGTCATTTTCGAGCCGGTCTTTCCGCGCTAATTCGATGTTAAAGGGCTCGGTAGTGCGAGCTCGAGCTTGAGGGCGAGCCCGGATGTACTTCGAGCGGGACTCGACAGTTGCTTAGTGCGAACCTCACCCGAAAACTCTCGATTCGCTCATCCGCGCACTGACCAACTGACGCAGAGCCAGCACCGCCGTTCCAAATCTGACATCCAACATGGCGGCCGTCGTAATCCGCCCCTCTCGAGAAAAGTAGGCCCCTGCGCCGCGCCTCGGGGGCAGCTCGCTCCGCCTGGCGCGGCAATGACGAAGTCCCGGCAAACGGTGTCGTGCTGACGCGATAACGACCGATAGCGTGGAAACGTTTGTCGCCCTCGAAAAGCATGGATTTCCAAAAGCCGAGCGGCGTTATCGCTTGGCGGAGGATTACACGTGGAGGAGTCAAGATGGCGGCGTCCAGCACGCGAGCGACGATGCGATACATCTCTTTCTCCCATTGGGTCGAGTCGGCTTATTTTCCAGCTGCCTCGTATGTTTCCCCCATTCCGACCTCTCGGAGACCAGGACATCTTTCTCACGTTCTGTTGGATAACGAGGAGGAGAGAGAAAGTCTAATGAGAAAGAAGTATAGGGGCTCTCATGGCTTATATATCTCTTATGCGGGGAAAGCAAAGATCGGAAGATGATCGATTAATATTCTCATGCCACGGTGGGTAATGATGTTCCGTCATGGCCGACGTTACATTGGCTGGAGCAGAAACGTGGCAACGCTGTATATTTTTCAGATAGTAAACAGGAGTGCAATAAATAATTGTACCAAGTTTTATTCGATTGAATCTGATTCCTCATTCGGCAAATGATTTTTTTAGTTCAAGTAGTTCTGTATTCAAGGTTGATAGTTTCTTGCACCTTGGAAAATAATGAAAGAACATGATGCATGTAAACAGATTTAATAACGAGTGAATTCAAATCTTAATCATTAGGTATTCATAAATATCACGAGTTCCATGGTGTCATGTTCTATACACAGGCATGCATTACGTCGGCCGTATTAAGCTGGGTCACCTGTCTCGTACGTTTTCTATTCTTTAATTCTCCCATTTCCGAGAGCGGTGAATGAAGTTACGCCAACGAACCAAATACATTGAACTCTTGTACTACTCATTGCTGCTCCCCTGAATTATCTAGATTATTGACACGCTCACCAAATTTTGGTTCTACAGGCATATGATTACCAACATCAAAATGACAACTGTTCATTAAATAATTCAGAATTAAACTATTTTGTTTCCTAGTAAAAATTAATTACACCTATAAAAATGCTAGTACATAATTTGATTAATGACTTACATATAAATTAAAATCATTTTATTTCCCAGCAAAAGATATACTGTACATAAGAATATTTCTGTACTGTCAGGTCTCTCGTTTACACTCTTGCTGCAAAATAAAATCCTCTCCGTAGTCTTGATCAAGGAATGGATAATTAGTCGAACAGACCAAATCCCATGTCGTCATCATCGGATTCTGATTCCTCCTTTGCAGGCTTCTTTTCCTCTGTAACAAAACAAAGAAAATACGTTAACAGTTGTACTTTCTAATATGATTTTTTTTATTAAGAATACTCTGTAATCAGGACAAAAAAGACATCACAATTTTCAGTCGAAAGATGGTGATAAAATAAATCATCATGTTATGATGTTAAAAAGAAAATTGTAACAAAGCCTTGTTTAATTGAGTTAAACAAACGTGAATACCTTTCTTCTCCTCAACCGGAGCAGCTGCACTACCAGCGGGAGCAGCAGCAGGTGCAGCTGCTCCACCAACTGGCACTGATGATAATTTCTCGCGTCCTGTAATTAAAAATTATATTTTAATATGTATTGCACATAAATAATAATAAATGCATAATGTTAACTTCATAATCTTGCTAGTGGGATAAAGAAACAACATCAATGTCAAATGACGTTGAACATATTACCTTCAGCAATTAATGTTTCAACAGACTTTCCATTCAATTCTGAAATGACATTCTTTAATCTCTCGCCATCTGTTTCAATACCGACGGAAGATAGGATCTTCTCGATATCACTTTGGTTTGGCGAGGCTTTGCCTCCCAAAACAGCTAACAGGTAAGCGGCCACGTAACGCATTCTGTAAGAATACAATTTTTTGTAATATCTGCATAAATAAAAAAGAATACAATTTTAAAATTTGACTAAAATCAGAATAAAGAATATCATCACTGACTTTCAGGCGAAAGATGGTGATAAAATGAATCATCATATTATTATTCTTTTCTATTATTTTCTGAGACTATTAAATTTCTTAATTGTGAAAATTAAATCATACAACAGTGACTATCTACGTAGGACTGCCACATTACTCCAATTCTAACCTATTTCTATGTTCACATGTAAGGTACAAAATTATAAATTCGAAATTTATATAAATTATTCGGTAGCCTTGTAATTGACTTTCAAATTCATTTGGATTCGTAAATGAAAACAAATTACAACCGAAAAAATAAATAACAGTAACAATTCGATATCGGCGTCTACTTACAAGCCGTGACGTGCACGGTATCTGAAACCATCTGGCTACATTTACCTTATTATTGAACAAGCATCCAATTGAGAGATAAGTATTTATTTTATTTACTTTAAGTAGATAATATTTCGGTGAAATATAAATTCATATGTACTTACTTTTAAGTCTTTACGACGCGAAACGTGGTTCACGCTATATAACCTATATTCGCCCAACGAGTTGGACGTAAAGAGGATGAAAGAGTGAACCATGGGGCTGACCAGAGCTGACACTCGCATGTTATTCTTCGAGACTAGTGTTTGCAGCGACCTCTGGATCAATAGTACCGGAAGTATGAACTAGCAAATTTCCTGCCATAAATTTAAATTGAATGAAATTCAGAAACTGTTATTTAAGAAAAAATGATCTAATATTACTGTAAATTTTGCAGTTAATAAGGTTAGGTAACTTATTAGCTGAAAATCTCACAGATATAATAATTTCTGTAAAATTCTAACTTTTTAATTTAGTTATTATCATTTCTTATCAATTATAAATTTTAAGTTAATGCAATATGATTTGAAATCATTATTTTCAGATCGATCAGGTTCGTAATATGAACAAATATGAATAATAATGAGATAAATTAAACATTTTTCTTTTATAATAATCTATGAGTTTCAAAGAAACATAACCCATAGTAATGTCATTTACATTCTACTTACCACGTTACATATATCTATATATGTACATGAATATACCATCCTACGGTGTTTCGTTGTANTTATAATAATCTATGAATTTCAAAGAAACAACCCATAACAATGTTATTTTCATTCTACTTACCAAGTTACATATATCTATATATGTACGTAAATATACCTTCCTACGGTGTTTCGTTGTATTTCTATTCGATGATAACGATGCTAATTTTTACGCAACTTTAAAATATATTTGCAAAAGGAATACGTTATTGGGAACGAAATGAGAACTAATTTTCCTTCTCTTGTAATAAGGAACGCATTGAATGTCCTGGGTTTCTTTCGTACAGAAATAAAAACACACTTTTTCTAGTAATTATTTATTGCCAAAGTTTGTTACATTCTCTATTATTAAAGCTATTACCGCTATTACAGGTTATTTCAAATTTGTATGATTAAGACGTATGAAAATTTTAAATAAACAGAAGAAGGTAGGTTGAGTAGAAGGTACAAAATGAAAATCATAGATGTCACCAGGGTACTACAGGGTTTTGAAGAAATAATACAGATGTCACTGGTTAATGAGTAACGCGCAAGCGCAAAATTAGTTCTTCACTTCCGTCTACTAAGTCAGAGGGCGCTGCAAATACCATTTAATTTCTCCGATTAGAGTGTCACCCACCGAGTGCACCGTGGTGCACCGGCAACTCGTAACTTGTTTAGTTAAGTGACACTTTTGCGGTTAATTGGGAGAGTTACCGCGTGCTATTAGTTTACAAAGAGAAACTTTACTCGAAAACATGTCAAAATTTCCATTCGGTACACCTGTCACAACAACAGCAAGTACGGGATTTGGTTTTGGTGCACAAAAGTAAGTATGGCATTCTAACCTTATTTATGCAAAACGATACTAGTGGTTCAAACCAGTAAAATAGTGTGATACCGATAAATATAAGCAATATTGAAATTGTTCTGTACGAAAAAGTCAAGATAACGAATAATTATTATATAACTTTGTAGGACAAATACTGGATTTACATTAGGTAGTACACCACTTAGTACTACAAATCCAACCGTTGGTTCTGGTCTGACTTTTGGTACACCAGCCTCGACAACAACCATGGCCTTAAATCCCAGTTTTTGTGGCACTTCCGCTACTCAAGCTCAGTCCAACCTACTTCTAGGATCAAATGTAACAACTTCAACTTCTAGTTTATTTTCAACACCAATATCTTCAGCAGCTGCTTCCACTGGTCTTACATTTGGGACACCAGGCACAACGAGTAGTTTAAATTTTGGAAATACTAGTATTACACCTGTGACAGGAAGTCTTGGTTTAAAAGCTCCAGTAACAACTGCTCGTAATAATATATATATGTATATATTCTAACTTTCCTTACCTGCTATAACATATTATCATTAAAACAATGTACTTTATATTATAGCATCTCTTTTCGGAAGTGCTCCTACTGGAGGCTTATTTGGTGCAAAACCTATAACAACTTCTACCACAACGGTAGCAACTACTGTCAACAAAGGTCTCGGGGGTTTGGATGTATCTATTAGCAATAAAGGACTCTCTCAGGGGAGCAATAGTCCTACAGCTGCTAAAGAAAATTTGTTACCAAGTGAACTTGTACAGACCATAGATAATTTCAAGTTAGTTCATACATATCATTTTATTCCTGTATAAAAAATTGTCTTTTAAATGTGCTAAAATTGATCTATTGTCTTATCTTTAACAGAGCATTTGTAAAAATGCAGAAGTCATTCTCATCGGACATAGCCAGGGGTTCTGCTAGACCTTTGAATCGATGTGCCGAAGATACCGCATCACTGATGGAAATGCTAACATCATTAGCTGGATCTGTTCAACGAGATCGTTCCTTAGCCGATAAATTAAAACACGATACAGCAAAGGCCTTACAAAGTGCCGAGATTGCTCAAAGAACGCATGATACACCTGCAGGGCTGCAGTATGAAAATAATGCTCCACTATTATTTTTCATGGAACTTGCAGAACATTTTGAACACGATTTAATGTTGTTCAGATCACAAATTGAAGTGACAGAAAAGCATATACAAACCATGATGGCACCCAAAACACTAACACCACAAGGTAAGTCTTGTTTCTCTGGTGTTTTTCTATATTATCATTGCGATTCATAACAATGAATTTATAGAACTCACAATGGCTATGAGAAAATTACACGATTCCCTTGTTGCGGTTGCTGGCAAACTACAAGGTGTACATGCTAAAGTGCAACAACAAAAAGAGCAGTATCTCAATTTAAGGAAATATGTATTAAAGGATAGTACCAATGTATTCGAAGACATTAAAATAAACGGGAGGACAAGCAAGAATAACTTTGGAAAGGTAACAAGTGGTCCAACACCCTTTGGTCCAGGTTTGTACAAAGTACATTAGTAACATAGGACTACTGTACTCCAAAATTTAGTATGTTAAATAACATTTATTCTTTTATAGGAAACAAAACCTTCTTATCATCGACGGCTCTAAGTTGCAGTCGAACCCCAAGTTATGGAACACCAAACCCTTTAGGTGAGTAAAGCAAGAAATATCTTTAAAACTAAGTATCTCATCTAGTCAACCAAATCCAAAACCGTATGATGCATTCGTATCTGTCATGTTATAACAACCCCATAAACGTGTCCTACATTTAGGTCTTGCGTGGATTTCGCGTGAGGTAGCCATCACTAACCTATAACATCACTTGGAAGCAGCATAGAGTTAACGGATACTAAATATTTATAAACACGTTCTTAAAAGCATTGCAAACATCCGCCAATTCTAATGATACTTCCTGCTGGTTAGCTAAAATAAACTCTGATACCACCACAATTCTCTCATGATTTAATCTCACTGTAAACTAGATTTTGAGTTATTTGATTTGACGTTTGTTTTGCATTTCCAGGAAAAATATAGTGGCTGTATTTAGTTGTTGAGGTACAAACTCTTTTAATATCGTTTACTTGTGTTGTCTGCTGTGGGAATAGATCAGGTGCTTACGGACATCACTGTTGGCAATTAACTCCCAGAGTATGATACAAAATATTTCACTATTTTCTATTAAAAAAACAACCCCCAATAACAGTTAAAATCTTTGCTACGTTGATTAGCATTTTAAGTTACTTTATTATTTTCAACCATGTACATTATGGACATCACGGAGATCATAGCACTTTCCCAAAGATGGCTTTGCACCGATGACAAATTTCTGCGCTTTCTTTTGTTGCTTCTTATTTAGAAATTATAGTTAATATCTATGTGTAACCAATGTTCTGTAGCATTATAAAGATTGCTTGATACTAACCTATGAAAGAAGCAGTAATTGGACTTGACATGAATAAGAGAACAAAGGTGAAAGAATCCAAACGCTGTAAAATGGTTTTTCTCCACTACACTTCATAACGTTTCTCAATTGCAGTAAAAGGTAACCGAGAAACTAAACTGAACCGTGCTAATCTCCTTCAGAATTTATCACATTTCTTGATTAGAATCAAATCGGTCACTAGTTTACTTATTAAAATCTTACTTATTAGAGAACTGATATCAAAAGAATGCACATTTGTTTCAGCTTGGGGAAGTGCCACGCCAGTTGCAGCAGCCAGTAACATCTCTCTGGGTACGACCATGAAACCACCAACCACAAGTTTAAGTTTCAATCCACCCGTAAATCTTACAGCACCTCTGTCAGCCACTGACTCCAATTCCAGTTTTCAATTGCAAAAACCACCTGCAGGTGTTAAAAGAGGAAAACATTAAATGCATGCCCCTTGTAACATTACTCTCAGTATTTTTCTTACACATTAAACATCATCGTGGCCTTAACCCTTCTTTTACTTTTCTTCTCGATCGACTGTTACCAAGCTATCAAGATTTCCTAAACATCAAAAGCGTGGATTTATTCATTTCAAAGAGAAGAGAATTTATTTAGAGGGATAATACTGAGTCTTTATTAATACAATATATTTTACTCACACTTTTGTATCGAAGAATGGATTTGTGACGACTCAGTACAATTCCTTTCTTTGGCTTATACACCGTTCATTGTACATGACCTGGTCTTATTTTAATATATTATATGTGGGTAAATATGTATATTTTGCAAATTATTATTTTGAATCTATTATCACTACTATTATCACTAATTTTATGAGTAAGTTAATGTCATAGGTTTGTTGAGATGTATACCGGTTATTATTTCACTTTCGTTTGATAAGACCATTAATCGAAAATTCTTAATTAACTAGTTAAGGATTATCAGATAGAATGTGAAATGAAGCATGAAAAACCAAAGAGTGATATCATGTTTCAGGTCCACTTGGTTGAATTACAGCTTACAGGCACTTTGTATACGATATGTTGAACTCTTTAAAAATATAAATAAAAAGATACTCTAGCCTTGATGCGATGTTAGTAATTATTGCACACTCTAATTTCTAAGTAAATTTTCATTTTTGACCGTTGAAACTATTCCTATCACATGTCATTTCAGATATTTTTCTTACTAAATAAGGTTTCATATTAAATCATAACAGAGACTAACAGCATAATCATGTAATTTATGGCATTTAATGTTCCTTTTTATGTATAAAAATTCATTACATGTACAAAATGCTTTGAAGCAAACACAGTACCATTATATGGCACCAACTTGTAAGATGGGAATAAGTAGTTCAAAAGCATTTTGAACGTAAGAGCTTGCGTTTGCCGCCTGCAAAAAAAAATAACGATATTGAATAATATAAATCACGTAACCTCAGAGCACAATGAAATTTTATCTCATTGATACTTTTTTTGCTGTCCCTTACCTCCAAGTATATGGTAGTGATGTTAGCATTGATGACTTCTGGTTTTTCAGATTTTTCAGCAAACTCGTTTAGGCAATTTGTGAATAAATCTGAGGCAGATCTTATTTGTCCTGTCAGAATGTGCGTAAGTTCCACCAGTGCATCTGCTTCATTGACGGTACTACGTCGTTCCTTTATTAAAAGTAACTCAGCAGTCTTGTGGAAACGTTCTACTGCAAATGCCGTAATTAGTGCTAGACTTTTAACTGCTTGTTGAAACACAACTCGATCGGAATGAGGCTGCGTCTCGACAGATGATAGATAAGACTTTGTTTCTTCCCAGATCTGATGAGAGGAATTATAATTAGTACTCAAATAAACATATTACAATATAATTATAATAATAACAACCCTTACATTGAACAGTCTATCATAGGTTATATTTACACCAAGGTCTTGACAGGCATTATTTAGTTTTTCCTCCAGTTTATCTTCATCATTATCCTCATCCTCATCTCCTAAATCACATAATTCTTTCACCTGTTCCAAAGTTTCCTGCATGGAAGTTAATTCACTATCATCCAGGCCTACAAGCCGTTGTTGTATTTTTATATTGCATTGCTTTGACAACATCTCTAAAGCTTCTAAGTGAACGAGACCCTGACAATCGTCAAAGAGACTTTCGAAGTGTATTTTCCTTGCTAATTGTTTCTCCTCCAATGATTTTTCCTCAGCATCTGCTTTTTCCTTTGCTTCTCTAAGGATCTTGGACAAATTTGGCTTTTCATCTTCATTTAAAAAGAATGCTCTTTTCTTCTTTAAACCTGGATCTCCCTCTTGCAAAACTTCCATGGTTTTCTTGCCTATAGTTTCCAAGGTATCTAAGCCACCGGTAATAACTTTGGAACTAGTAGATTCAACAAGTTTTGTGAAAGATGAGACTCCAGAAATAATACTGCTGAATCCAAAGATTCCTGGTGCTTGAGTTTCTTCCAATGATTCTTGTTCTTCACTTTCTATAAAATGTATACATGTAAATGAAAACTTTCCCGATTTCATTTAACACATTCAATGCCACGGTGGTCACCGATGACCATCATTCAGCTTTTTGTTTACGCTATGACAGTCGCCGTTAACCGAAATTCAATATGTTTTAATATAATACAATTTAAGTGATGTGGAGAGAAAATCTCAAAATATATATGATGTTGAATGTGTTAATACAATAATTTACAAAAAAAAAAACCAAGACAAATGTTTACAAAATATAGGATTCAGAATAAAGAAATATATTACCAGGAGACTCTTTTTCTTCATTTAATTCCTTAGCCAATTCAGCAGGATCAGGTGCTCCAATAGATTCTTCCAACATTGACAGCCCATGGGTAACATGGCTTGTCAACGTCGACACTCCAACAGTGGCAGTATTTATCAATGAACTGACACCCCAACTACTCCAGCCTCCCCAACTATTGTCCTCATTTTCACTCGACAATGCCGCACGATCCATGCCAGATGAAAAGCTCTGTTCACTCAATTCTTTTGTTATATCAATATCTTCGATTCCTTTCCACCCTTCCGACTTAAAAATTTCTTTAAACTTCTTGTCAGACTTTAATTCCTCAGGCATTTCCATAAATTCTTCCCAACATTCTGGAACACCTGGAGGCCTAACGGCATTGTCCCAAGAACTATCCCATGGTGGTATATCCTGTTCTTCTTTTTTAGAATCGCTTACATTCATTGTACCTAACTTACACGTGACATTATCTACTTCTGCAAGGCATTCTTCTACCGAAGACTTTTCATTCCGCTCCAATGGTGCAATCGCTGCCTCAATCGCACCGTCACCCACGATCGGAGGTTTAGCCAACATTACGGAATCAACTTTAACCCCTAATTTTTTAGTTCCTGTTTGTCGAGGTTGTTTGGATTTCTGTTGTCTATGCATTCTCTCTGTCTTTTCGACACGTTTCTTTGAAGCAGCTGTTACTCCTAGACCATCCGTATTGACCTTCTCTTTCACCATTGAATTAGAACTTGTCCGACCATTATCTTTTACTTCTAGATCATGCTTAATCACATCTTGAGCTTTATCCAATAGATCACACTTGTCGTCACTCCGAGTCTCGACTCCTTGAGCGTGCTTCTTTTCGGCAGCCATAACGTGCCCTCTGTGAACTCCATCTTTATCTGCATCATTAGTCTCCTCGGTTGACCTATCCATGTTGACTTTCTTATCAATATTCATGCCACTCTCTTTATCATCCGACAAGGAATCGGTCGTACTCGAACAAGTATCATTACGACTTGCCCTCATAGTACCAGGTGGAGTCTTACTAGGAATTTCATCTCTCTTGACAGTTCTACGATCCATCAGCTGTTTATCAACATTCCTTGTATATCTAGGGCTTTGTATAGCTGACATACATTCGGTGCCATCATCCGACTCGGAGTCTACAACAGCTTGAGAACGTGGCGACGAATACGTCGTTGATGCCCTTCGAGGGTTTACCTCTTCGTCAGCGCTTTCAAAGTCGTCACTTTCCGACGTCGCCATGTTTCCCGCGGTGACGTGGTATATTCAGACGTTCCTTTAGGTATTTAGGAGCGCTGGTGGACGTCCTCGGCGCCCTGAAAGTTACCACGCCCAGGGATACTTTCCGGGGAAAATAATACACTTCGCTTGATCGTCGAACCTGGCGAACTTCTTGCTTCGGTGATCATCACATCGTTCTCACGTTACCTGCTGATTGGACGGTCACATAGACGGATCATTATGGAGCAAAAATATGGATTCTGAAACATGAGTAAGGCAGCACTGGGCGTCATTATTTCGGCGGGGGAGATGCAAGAGACGAAAGGGGAAAATTGCTCGAGTGGTCTGGCAGCCACCTTGCGTTGTGTATCGGCGGCAAACCAAATCTATACCGAACGTCGAGTAATATCAAAAAACCTATTATAAGGGTGAGGTATAAAGATGACCTCAAAATATTAAATTATGGCCTTTCAAATACCGAAAATTTCGTTAATACACGCCTATCCGAATTGCATTCTATTAACAGGGTATTGACGTAATTGACCTACTCCAAGTTAACATTTCTGTAACAGTAAGTCAATAAAATATCCAGTAATATTTAAGGTGATATGAAAAGGTCATTCTATACATATCAACACGTGAAAAAAGTTTATGAAACTTTTCTCCAAACTGGGTGCACTGAATTATCTGAAATTTTAACGCGTGATTATAACAAATGCATACGAATGTGTCCACATGTGTAACAAAGGTATAAAACTGATACTTCTTTTATTTCCTAAAGCTGCCGCCCCTCGGTACTGTTAAACAATCCCAAGATTGGTGTTTCGCCCGCGAATGCAAGATCTCGATGCCCGTCTTCTAAATTGATTAGAATTGACGTTGTAACGAGGATTTCTAGGTCGCAAAGTGTTAACAAGTTAATTCGACAACCCGATTAACGGATTAGTTTTGTTGTCAGTTTTTGTTTCATAAGCTCCCCCCTCGAATCGCTTCAGTGCAGCAAAGTGCTGACAAACATGACCTTGAAGAACCTTCCGTATGCGAGCGCAAGAGGGATAGAGAACGACAATGTATTCTGCTACCATTTCGCAGACCTTACCCTATGGCAGCGAGTCCGATGTTCAAATATTTCATGAAAACAGTTTAGAAAAATTGATCGCCTCCCCTCCATAGAAGTTTCCAGCTTGCATACGAGACCGTGGATCTATCCCGTACTTCAGGCTCCGCCTCCTTGTTTCTTCCAGCGCCATCTTGCCCAAGAGTCACTCTTGAGTCCGCTATTGCGCATGCTCGCCATGAGGAATGCGCCGAGCCACGAGAGGGGATTCAATCGCGAACCGTCGCAGCTGCTCCCCAAGTGCACACACGACGGCGAGAAAACCACCTTTCGCTGGCCCAAAGTCAAATTCCCAGAATGCTTCCAACGGAATGTCTAGATTTCTTTCGTTAAATATCTAATATTAACTTCCTCGAGGTCCGAGAACTTGGATGCAGCTTTACCAAGAATGCCCCGCCGCGGCGCATTTTTTTCCTACGAACGTAACTACTATCCGACGAGGAAAGCAAGGGAGAACGAAACCGGTAATTCCGGCTTATTTCTGATTCCTAGGACTCCAAATAAATAGTAATTGTATTTAAAATCAGGATTCGCGGATTACATTATTCCATGCTCCCAAGCACGTAAATGCGCTCGGTAGGCGAGGACAGATGATCATTCCCAAGGAACGCGATATTCCGAAAAAAAAAAAAAAAACAGTCCTCTCATGCAACGACGCGTCTACGCACCGAAAGTTCGGCGATACGTCGACCGCGTTTTCTGGGAGCGCTCCTAATTAATACGCCGCAATTAGAGCTGCCGGCGAGAGGCGAAAACGAGAGGCGACGAGGCCACCTCCGGGGGCGCGAGAGAGACAGGGCGCACGCGCTCGCTCGTCCTCGCTGCCTCGCCGCATGCCGGGCTCGGGTGAGGCGCCGCGCGGCAGATGGCGCTAGGTCGGCCGACGGCGCACCTGCGCTCGCGGAGTCGCCCGGTGGCGCCGCCGCGGCCGGAATGCGAGGTTCGGGAAAGGGCACCGGCGGGCGCCGCCATTCGTGCACAGCGGTCAGAGACACGAGAGCGCTCGGGCTTCGGGGGAGGTGGCAGAGAACGGCGGCGGTGGAAGGGAGAGAGAAAGAGGCGCTCGCGGGCGGCGGGGCGAGGGAGGGGAAACGTCGGCGAGCGCAAACCGCGCGCACACCGCGCGCACGTCCCAGGCATGTCTCGAGTCCTCGACATGCTCCCGGCTGGCGAGAGGTAGAGACCCTCGAGAAACGGTACGAGCACGCATCGGGCCGCGCTTTCACGCGCGATCGGTCGTCGGAGGCGGCAGTGCGGAGCAGCAGTGCGGAGCAGTGCCGCGCGCGGAGAGCGCCGAGACGCGCCGCGCCAACGGAGGTTAGAGGCTGCCGCGGAGGGAGAGAGAGGGTGCTTGGCCGCGGTCGCGGGCCCGAGAGAGAGGCCGAGGAAGACGTCGAGGAAGACGTCGAGGAAGACGCCGAGGAAGACGGTGCGTAACCTCGGACAGGGGTGGAACGGGCTCGCGAGTGCGCAGGTGGTCGCGTGGTGCGCGGGGCGACCTTGACGGAGTCCCTCCGTCCGCCTCTCGCTCCCGAGAGAACCGGAGCGGAGCCCGCCGACGAGGATGGACGAGTTATTATGGTGAAGTGAGGAGTGCGCTCGCGGCCGGGTAATCGCTCGGCCGTCGTGTGTCTTGCTTAAAGTGCCCGACAGCAGTGCCGTCCGGTGGTCCCGTTCCCCGGGTAGGTCCGGTGGCCTTCTTCGCGGTTTCCTCCGGGGCCGACCATGTTAACGGTGGAATTCCGCTCGAGAGGAATCTGAAGGCGGGGACTCTGACGTCACTCCGCTCATGATAATGAGGTATTCATGATGGCGGAATAAGCAAGAGCGTAGTATAGCCGGTGTAATTCGCTTCTCTCTTTCTCTCTCTTTATCTCTCCGTCTCCGTCTCTTCCCCTCTCGACGCTCGTCTTCTTCCCCCTCCGAGTGTCCACCCGTCCATTCGTCCATTTATTATTTTTTACTCGTCCCCCGGTCCCTCCGTTTCTCTCTTTCATCCCGCCCTCCCCGGCTGCTACCGTGTACCTGCGCGCGCACGCGCTCGTTTCCCGGCGCGCCAGTGATAGGTTTTTGGATGGATTTAGAGCGCAGTGAAATATGCCAAGGAGACGGAATGGGGAGATACCGCTTCCGGAAGGGTGGGACGTCGCCCAGGACTTCGACGGCAAGGTGTATTTCATCGACCACAACACCAGGAAAACGACCTGGATCGACCCTAGGGACAGGTAAGTCCTACGCGCGCTTCGAGCCTCGCGGCCACCGCGACTGCCGGCCCGCTTTATACGTGTGCCCCTGCGCACACGCGGACTCGCCGCGCCCGCATTCCAGACGCCAGGGCCGCACGCCGAGCCCCGCGCGCCCGGGAACTCTCGAAAATCCATTCTTTGGCCGAGACCGCGGGTGCCCCTCGATCCCACCCAGGGGCGGGAGATCTCGCCGCATCGAGTCGCTCCAACGGGCGGTACCGTTGGAATCTTAATTATCGGCCCTCGTAACGCCGCCCGCGAATTCCGCGCGGCGTATCCGTGGAATTCGAGCCGACCGATCGTCGCGGACCAGCGGTTAACGTTCGAATCGTGCCGCGTCATTTTCAGCCCTCTCTGCTCCGAGCTCCACGGGCGAGATCGTCACTTCGAATCCGCGAGATTCGAGTGGGAACCTCGCATAAGGACGCTCGTTTTAACTTTCTCGAAATGGAATCCTTAACGACGGGGAATTTATTTTAGATCGCTCCGGGAATCGGGGTCGTCGCAGCCTCTCTCACGGGCAGGGGGCAAATTCAGCCGCACCGAGCGAAAAAGATGCAAGGTGAACCGGAGAGAGAGAGAGAGAAAAAAAATGAAAATCCAGCTAGGTGTTCTAACGTTCCATTTCGACTCCTCGCTGTGTACGGAATAACCCACGATTCCCGGGATTCTCCTGTCGGCGGAATTCCCGGCTCGATCCCGAGGATTGACCTCGCGGAAGTCACGCAAGCGCTAGCGATTTAAAGCCGCGCGAAGCCCGGCGGAATTCCTCGACGAGAGGTGTCCCCGTAACGTGGAAAGTCACCGTAACCGTACCCGAGTCGTCCGCCGTCGCCCGCTGTCCTTGTTCGTTCCACGAGCACTCGGAGGAGAGTGGCAAAAAAGGGGATCGCCGAATGGAGCCGATGCGAGAGACGTTAAGGTGATACGAAAGTGTTATATATATACATGCCGAAAAGTCGAGGTATTTATAAAACTTCTCTTCGGACTGGGCGCATCGAATCATTTGAGACGTCATCACGAGATCACGGAGGCCCTAAGGAAGAACGCGATGCTCGTGAGATTACATTTTTCGAAGAAAAAAAAAATTCTATTTATCTCGGACAAGAACGAAAAAACGTTTTTTTTTCTTTTTAATGATATTTCACGAGCATCGCGTTCTTCCTTAGGGTCTCCGTAGTCGCGTGTCAATGTTTTAGATAACACGGCGCACCCAGTTTGGAAAATAGTTTTATAAATAGTTTGACTTTTCGGTGGGTATACGTGCACCCTTTCGTATCATCTTACAAGGAAGGTACCTGAGGTGTCCCCCTCCGATTTTGTTCATTTTTAAATATGTTATAGAGGACTAAAATCTAAGGGACCCGTGTTTTTTTTTATCGGCGGATAAACACTTTTAGGGGGTGAAATCAGGCTTCAAGGTTGGCCGTGCAAGGGGGTGAGTTGTCTGTTTCATATAGAAGCACTCGACCGATTTTCATGAAACAACCGTAGGGAATGAAGAATTATGAAACATGCAATTGGAATTTTTAGGAAAAATTCATTTTTAAGGGGTGAGCCACCCTTTTGAATACTTCTTTTACCCCTTACGCGAGCAGTAATTGCTCTATCCAAATGAAACTTGGTTAATTTATAAACCAGAACACTACAAAAAAAGTTTCAATTGGATAGAATAATTACTGCTCGCTTAAGGGGTAAAAGAAGTATTCAAAGGGGTGGCTCACCCCTTAAAAATGAATTTTTTCGAAAAATTCCAAATGCATGTTTCATAATTCTTCATTCCCTACGTTTTTACGGTTATTTCATGAAAATCGGTCGAGTGCTTTTATATGAAACAGCCAACTCACCCCCTTGCACGACCAACTTTGAAGCCTGATTTTACCCTCTAAAAGTGTTTATCCGCCGATAAAAAAAAAACACGGGTCCCTTAGATTTCAGTCCTCTATAACATATTTAAAAATGAACAAAATCGGAGGGGGACACCTCAGGTACCTTCCTTGTTAGTGATCTTTTGATACTGCCGAGCGGGTATACCGCTAGGCGACGATGACAGGCCGCTAGGGAGCCATCCGCGCCGCCGACGTGGCCGGATAGTCGGGGAACACCTTCCGCTTGGGGAAGGTTATCGCGAGGAAAAAATCTGCACGCGCGACACGGAGCCACCGGAGAGCCGCGGCGAGGTGCGTTTCGCTTCGCCTCCTCTCGGCGCGCCACCCGGATTGGTCGGTCGTCATTCGCTCCCGTCCAATCAGAATTCGCGAGTCTTAGGACGGAGCCACGCGAGCGTGCCTTTCAAAGTCCGTCGTGGAGATATTAGGGTGTCCCATAAGTTTCTCCCATTTTTTTTTTTTTTTTTTTTTTTTTTTTTTTATACGAAATGAATACACGGCGCGGAAGGAACTTGTGGGACCCCCTAATATATATAACCTATCAGGGGGATGTGAAAGTGGCATCTATAACGGATCGATCGTTCTTGACCTTTTCTCCAAATTGGGTGTACCGGTTTGTTTCAAATCTCACCACGCGAATAAGGAGACCCTTGGGTAGGTCCTGAAACTCGCGAAATTTCACTTGTTATTAAAACTTGAAAATGGTTGTAAAGAAATTATCTTAAAATTTTTATTTCCTGGGTTTCAGCGCCTTCCTTGTAGCCGCCATATTCACATTGTCGAGCTTGAGATGATTCGGTACATCCAGCTCGGAGAAAGGTTTCATAAACGATACCTCTTTGGCACCACTTTCACATCACCTTAAGGTGACATGAAAGGTGCCGAGGAATTTAACCGGGGTCGATAAATTAAAATTCATCTATAACCTTTTTGGTGGTAACGCCATTTTGAGTACTCAAGTGGGAACGTAAGCTGACGCGTCCCGTTAACATTTATATTTATGTTGAAGTCTTTTACGGTCTACGTTGACGATTACACGAACTGATGCGTTCCGTGTGTCATTTCGGTAAAGTAATCGTAAAAGTAATCATATCGATGTGAAACTGTCGAAATCCCGGGAATTCATTATTCAGACGACTGTTTAGGACCAACGTCGCCATCTGTGACGTTTAGCTGCAACTAAATTTTTGCTCTTTACCTTCGTCTACGCGGGCCTTTACGTTCCAATTCGATCGTCATTGTTTCGGCTGGTCTTCGTAGTTGTCCCTAGATTATCGGTTTCGGTAGCTTCCATCGTTCTTTGACGGTAATGGTCATCGCTGTTAGGTTTCGTCTACGGAAGCGGGTGGTGACTTCCTGGAAGCCCGAGGGAGGGACAATGGACCCAACGGGTCCTCTAGGTCGACTCCCTCGGTTTTTGCACCCCGCGAGCGGCGCCCCGTCGCGACTACCTTTGTTGCCCAATTTGTAGGCTGTCGGCGCGATGATTTACAGCCCGGTCGTTATACGGGGACTCGCTCGCGGTCCCGGGGCCTCGGGGATGAAATCGATCCTCCTCCCTCGCCGTCCCGAACACCTCCAGGAGGAACTGCAGATTTCCGATAGGGGAAGCGCCGGATATCTCGATCTCCGCTCGGACGGTATCGGGAAGCGGGTTCTCGTCCGGGTGAAATTTATCGACATTGCAGTTCCCTGCTAATTTCCGAGGTTAGGTTACGCGACTCCTCGAGACATTGACGAGCGCTTATCCGAGCACTCTTGCCCGTTAAGGTGATACGAGAGTAAAATAATGCATTCGCGGGATTTCGACAATTTTACGTCGATCCCTTCATCGTTACTTTATCGAAATGACATATGGAACGCTTCGGTTCGTATCATTCTCAACGTATACTGTAAAAGACGTCGACATGAACATAAATGTCGGTAACGGGACGCGCCATCTTATGGTCCCACTTGAGTACTCAAAATGGCGTTCCCACCAAAAAGGGTACAGATGAATTTTAATCGATCGATCTCGATGAAGTTCCACGGCGCCTTTCATATCTTAATAGCATTTCTCCTCGATCGAGATGTAGGGTATTACCTGGGTCGATCCAACCGGAAGAAAGAGAGGAATCGTTTCCTGCTCGGTTGCAGCTGCACGTGGTGCTATGCAGTGTTTGCCGGTCGTCGAGGGGAACTCGTATTTTCCATATATTTCAACCGGAGGAGGACGGGCACCTCCTCGATGCAGAGGGGAGGAAGCTAAATGACTAAATTGAAATGGCGACATCGACCCTCGGCTCGATTGGTCGGATCCGAGATGACTCGGGGAACGGCTCGCGGTCGCATCCGGGCTCGAGTTCGAGGCGATCCCACGTGGAGCGTCGGGCGAGCGCGCATGCGCATGCGCGGCCTCCCTTCGGAAGAACGGGGGGACCGACCGGTATATCATGTGTATGCAGCCGGTCGGGGTCTAAAAATACACTTTGACAGGTTTTAGTGCATTCTCCAGCGCTGCCCGCCTCTCCCCGCGGTTGCTCCGACCCGGGAGGACCCGAGGGTCCCGAGATTAATCGCGCGCCGATTAATCCCGATGGCGGCCGAAGGAAGGTCGCCCAGCGGCGCGCGCGCGCATGCGCGTTTCCTCTCGGGAGAGATCGGCCCGCTACGGGGCGGGCCCCGCGAATCGATTACTCGGGCCCCATGGGCACCGTTCGAGTGGTTACTCACCGCGTTTACGCCGCGCACTTGGATTCCGCGACTCGCAACTCGGAATTAAGGTCGATTATACCATCCGACACGGATCGACGCGTATCGGTTCCGACACGTACCGCTGCCGATCCGACGAAACCTTGCAACGCCGGTATCGTCGGATTGGCAGCAACCACCCCCGGTAGGATAAAAAAAAATAATACCGATACGTGTCGGGTAGCCTAAATCGACGTTTAGATGCGAGTCGGTCAATTTTTTCGCCCCGAAACTCAAGGTCGAGTCAAGCGGCGGTTAGGCGAAGTAAGGCCCCCCTCGAATCAGTCGATTGGAATAAGACACTATTTTTCAACGGTTTTGGATAGAAATCCCCGAAGCTTTGACACGTGACTCGTGAGT